AATATTAGGCGTGCATCAATTCACGAACCCGCCCCTGCGATGTGATGGAAATGTAACAATTCCATGAAAGGATCGACTCACTTGTAAAAATTCGCACTCTCTCATTTGTGGTGTATGACATCGTATGTCCCGTCCCGTTTGTTCCATCTCGCTCGCTCCATTAGGCTGTACGGTACGCATACCAGCTGCAGCAGAACTCGCCAATGTTCACACGATTCAGAATCAATGCACGTGCCCTTAAACCTAACGGTCCATGTAAATCGGTTACTTTAACGCGTCGGCTTTCGAGATAAATATTATCCACAATAAAGGTTTTTGTGTGGGTTAGATCGCATAGATATAGATGTGTCGTTAAACCCGCCACCACCCGACACTCTCCAACACATCGGTGTGCTTACGTAGTCACTAGTTGGCACTTTTTGTTTACGTGACAAACATAACTTAAGTGGCAGCGTCGGGTGGTAGCGGGTTTAGTGACATTGAAATTTACGCGATTGAACCCACAAAAATACCTCTATGACGGTCGCATAGTTGAATGGATTTCTCAGCGCGTGTCGGGTTTCGAGGAAAGAGAGCGGTGGTGACTTTGCTGCACGTAACGGGCGTCTCGGAAAATTCCACCGACGATCTTTATTTAATACTTTATTTAAGTCATTCCGCTGCCACCGCGTTCTCTGTGACACTCCGACTCCTTCTGTGAATCGACAGATTCCACCTCGGGTTTTCCACTGTCTGGCAATAGGTGCGGCATGGGTGTGAGTGGTGATCAAACAACTGGGACTGAATTGAAACTACTAAGACTATATTTAGATATTTTTTTATTTTACCCAGGTAAGGCCCACTGAGCGACATCGCTATTTTTCAAAGGCGACCTGGTCACCAACGACAGCTCAACGAAGTGGCTTATCATCACGTGGACATTTATAGCAGCCAAATGCTTTAAACGCATGTGGCTAAAGTGGAGGGAATCACGGGAGGACCCTGAGAAAAAAATTCACACAACCACAGGGGGACAGAGAGAGAGAGAGAATATTAAGAAGCGGATGCAATAATGCATCGCGATGGTGGATTCGCTATTGCATGCGTTTTCACCAAACATCGGAAGGAAATTCTAGTTTTGAAGCTTTCGTGACTGCAAGGATTCATACTCTTAGTTTTTTTCGGTAAAGTCACGTAGGTAAAAATAAATAAATAATGAAAATAAATCATTACAATAATAGAAATAATCATAGAAATAAAATAATAAATCACGACGTTTCGGCGGCAACACAAGTCTCCGTCATCAGGTGGGACCGTCACAGCTGAATTTACTGTATTAAATTAATGACGGAGACTTGTGTTGCCTCCGAAACATCGTGATTTATTATTTTAATTATATTATTATTTCTAACATTTTTGTAAGAATTTTTATTATTTCTTTAATTTTTACCTACATGACTTTACCAAAAAAACCTAAGCGTATCGGAAGGAAAGGCAAATGTTTGCCGGCGTGCGAATAGAGAGAGAGGAGGGTCTTGGGCTATGATCGTGTCCTTGTAAAAGAGCTGCTTAGCTCAACGGGGCCTTAGCAGCGTAAATAGGCCGAGTCTGAGAGTGTCTCTCCTGCCCGAGAAATGGTCCGGGGTAGCTGGTTGTGCAAAAACCACCGCGGGGTGAAAGCCTCATCTTGACGAACGCTCATATCCGTTCGGTGTGTGTGTGTGTGAATGAGCCATATCTCGATCGTCACCAACCACGATGTGAATCTCTGCCCCACCTAAGTGAGAAGGCTTTGTACTTCACACACGGATTGTGATGTTTCAAAAGGAGGGCGTTTCATACGCGCGACTCGGGACTCGGATGTAAGCTCTGTGGTATCTCCTTCTGTGGGCCGTTCTGTAACGCGGCGCGACGGGACTGCGCTGCGAGAGTCCTGAATGGAAATCATTCTCTGCCCTGACATTTTCACCGATGGAAAATTTCGTACAAGTTTTTTTTATATACAAAAAACACTTGTGATTATATTTTTTTCGATTTCATTTCATTTCGTTGCTGTACTGCGGTGTATGTTGCAGAAAGGTCTCCCTTAGAAAGTGATCATTTGTTCTCAACGAGCTGTGCCCTAGTTACTAAATAAAAATAACTATTTCCGCGACTCTGATTCGCGGCTTGCATTTTTCCACGCTTCTGTGCACCCCCCCCACCCCCACCCGCCTTCCTTCCAGTCTCCGTCCACCTTTCATCGTCGCCGTTGTCGCCAGCGGCCACGTTTCTGCATCGCGAGTCAGGGGATGAGCGCGCACCCATTCAACAACGTTCGATGTCAACTTCAAGAAAGGCTCCGCGGAGAGACGGGACGAGGAGGAGGCGGCGGAGAGGACGCGTGCGTTCAGAGAAACACGCGCAAGGCCGACGGCAACATGCAGGACGCGTCACAGGAGGCTGCGAGCGGACGATGGCCCTCGGTCGAGGCTAATGACGGAGCGGCAGCCAAAGGGGTGGAACGCGCCCGAGCGATAAAAAAAAAGAATCACCTCGTGTGCACGTGCTAGGTCCTGGGCCTCCCATAGGTCGACTCAGCCTCTAATGAGCACCTTGTAGCGGTGTGTAAGCATCGGCACTGGGGAGACAAAGGCGGCCGCCTGGGCATGGTGCTGGCTACGAACCTTCGCGTGTGCCGTGCCGGGTTTAATATCGGTGCTCGTCACAAGTCCGTTAAGGATATACTCAGGAATCGTCGTCTTTGGTAGACTGCTGCATCACGCGATGGCGACAAATGGCTGCGACTTTCATCCGGCAGCGGACTGACTTTGTCTGCTGCTGCTGATGATGACTGCTGCGAGTTAAACAGGAGAGCCAGGGCGCAGCCTCCGCCGTCATCTGTACCGACGGCAGTGCCGCATGAAGCTAGTGCGGAGCCTGTAGCATTATGCTATAAAGGGGCCCTAAAATAAAATAAAAACACAAATATAAAAAACTAAAATTTTACTTGCATAGTAAAGTAATTGTATTTTTAATTTGCTATACAGCCAGATAATACGAAAAATCGCTAACCTTAAACACGCAGTCGTTCATAAAAGTTGAAGGCGGTATAGTACTATAGTAATAGAGCGAGTGCAGAATCACTGAACCGGAATTGAGAGCTTGAAAGCATTTAGCGCGGGGCCCTTAAAAGTGCGGGACCCGAAGCGCGTGTAGCTACTTTTGCTTCTAGGATAATCCGGCATTGACCGACGGTGATAGCGCAAAGAGGATACTTTCAGAGCGAGAGGCACGTTAAGTCAGCTTAATTGTCAAAAGGGGTGAGGGGGGGGAGGTGTGGGTGGTGGAGGTTGGAAACATTCGTCGGGTTACAACAAACCGAACGCGACGGAACATCCTGAGCAGGACGCTGCCTATGTTCCACGCGGGTCAAACAATCAGCAGATGCATCGCGCTGGCCTCTGTGATCCGATTACGAGGCGAACAGAGAGAGAGGGGGGGTGGGGGGGGAGCTTGGCGAGCTGGGTGGAATGCACGTAGCTGGGTCGTGTTATTTAGGACGGTTTAAGTGGCAAATGGTTTGCGCACTGCGCAAGGAACCCGGGGTTCGATTCCAAACCGCGACTAACATCAACGCGATAATATCCGAACCCAATTCCTAGGTCTTTCCGTCGTCAAGTCACCGTGTTGTCTGTAAACTGTGCACACGGTCAAGGAGAGGGGGTGGGGGTGGTGGAGCGGTGGCGCAGTGGTTAGCGCACTCCAACTATCAACCTGGAGATTCAGTTCTATTCCGGGCCACGATGGCCACCATCAGCGGTGACCGATATTTGAATCGGTCCCGGGTCTCTTCTAGGTCGAGTTAGCCTTAAACGAGTATCTGGTGCCGTGTATGAATATTAGCACTGGAGCAGATTGGCGTGGTGTTGATCACAATCACCCCCGGCCCACATAAGTGCTCGCTAACAGCACTTGCCCCAAGAGTCTGTAGATGCTACACGGGGGATCTTTGTCCTTGATGATTCAACACCACGCAACAATGATACTTTCAATGAGGGCAACTTGACCCCAATGAGATATACACTTTTCGAGTGGATTACACAAACGCTATTTCACAAACGGAAAATTCCTATTCGGCAGGAGCATGTGAATCGGACGCGTGCCCAATGAAGCGATGGTAATAATCACAAAAAATAACCCGAAAGAAAACCCAATAGTTTTCGATAATAAACAGTTCCTTGCGTAAGCGCATCGGGCTGACATTTCGTTGGAGCAGTCGTTAGTGCCCAGTGCTAGGAACCCGGTGACCTGGGTTTGCATCCAGGCCGTGGCTCACGTCGTTGGCAAGGGATACCTGAACCAGTCATGGAAATTCTCCGCGATTCATCAACGAGCACTGCCCATTGTGGATAGTTAATCCGCAGGACACGGGATCGGAAGGTCTTCATCCAACAATGGATTGACAGGAGGCTGTGGATCACCACGAGTGTAACATTTCAGACAGAAGGTCAAATTCCTTAAAACAGTCACCCGCATCGGATGGTGGCGGATTAGTTCGCAAAACTCGCTAGGAACCCGACGACCTGGGTTCGAATTCCCGGCCACTGGCAGCGCCGTTCCCACGTGGTATATGTGCTGTGCCTCCCTCTAGGTTTGCTCAGCCTTAAATGAGTACCTGGTGCGGTGTACCAGCAAGAGTAAATGGAGAATATGCAAGGCAATTGGGGGCGTGGTGCTAACATCACTAGCCCCTCCTGTACCATAGGTGGTGATCATTGTCGCTGTTGTGTCAGTGTGTTTATGTGTCTGTGTTGTTATGTGTACTGTGTCTTTATACGCGTGTATACGTAACATGCAGAACGGAGCAAAACTTTCCTACAGATTGCGAGTCACATTATGCACGTGTTTTATCTGCTGTAGGGCAGTGCTAATGACAAGCTACTTTTTTAACATATACAGTGCCAATGAACCAAGTCCCCAGATAGTTGATAACTTTATTTTCATTTTATACGTTTTAAAGACGCATTTCTTCGGTGCCCCTTCTCGATCGATGTGCCCATGAAATGAGTTTTGAGCAAAAACCCACGACAAAGATCCACATTCTCGTTCCAACAGACCGCTGATGCGAGTGCTCTTAGCGAGCACCTATTAAGGGTCGGCACGGCAGACGAGTGAGGTTCGATGCATCAGGCACCAAGCTCGCGGCACGCGTTTCTCTCTGAGTTGCTAAAAATAAATCGGCCCCACATTTTGGGGCTGGGTCAACCTAGGGGTTGGTTGAGACTTAGGTTCCGGATACGAATATCAAAACTCGCGCAAATCGCTGCCGTGGTCTCGTACACACAAGACGACCGGGGATTGCACCCAGGTGTATAACGATCGTGTTCTATCTTCTTGGTTCTTTCGGTAAAGTCTTGTAGAAGTGACGCTGTCTCCCCGACAGACCTAGTCTTCACCTGAGGACGGCTGCTTGCGTTGTGGCCGAAACGTCGTGAGAATTATTTTATTATGTTTTATTTTTATTATTTTATTATTTCCCTTCTACGTGACTTTACCGAAAGAACCAAGAAGATGAATCCCTGCAGTCACGAAAGCTTTACATCGAAAAAGATCGTTTTCTAGTGCACTAAACCCTGACCCATCAACAGAACATCGATTCATGAAATCACACACACAGGCAGGCAGGCAGGCACGCAGGCACGCGTGCGCGCGCACAATACAATCGGTGCATCATCGCCGCATTTACAATCGGCTTAGTATTGGTCCCACAAGCGCCGTTTAATCGGGTGCAAATCGAGGGTTTGGAAAGTCAAACAAGATGGACAAACGAGTACACGGAATGCCTTACAAAAATGGTATCGCACTTGTGGCGCAGCGCTCGCAAATAAACGGCGTTAATGGATCCGCACGAAGTTGGTGACTCACATCTGCGATCTCGGGTATTGCAGAGGCATCGGTTTGGTGCATCACGCCCAGGACCGGAACAAATTCGGTCACAGTTCCTATGATCACTGTTACATTGCTTTTATGGCTTTATTTTGGTGATTTCGAAAAAGTTTTTTTGGTTTGGCCAAGTTTGTTTGTTGTAGTACGGAGTTAGACTGATGGCCTTAATCTAAGTTGTCTTGTGGTTGTTGTTGTTGTTGTTGTTGTTTGACTTGCATCCCACTGGGATGTTTGCACACAGCGTTGGTGTACGGTTTTTTTCTGCAATATTTTGCTGTCTTTTCTTGGGTCTTTTGTTTGCACTTAGCCACATAGTCACTTTAAGATGTTTTCTTGTTCATGTTTTTGTTTGTTGCGGTTGCACCCGATTCAAGAGCCGAATGGCTCACAGGGCTCTATACCTAATACATGAACTGAACTTCGTGCAACTCCTAGAGCCAACCTACCTGCAACTTTACTCAAACGGGAAGGGGGGGGGAGGGTGGTGGCAGGGCGGAGGGGGGACGACTGTGAATTGGCCCCTTTGTTGGGACCCAAGTGCTGTTCGCCAGTAGCAGCGCCTACGAAGGCCGGCACGGCACACGAGGGGGTGGGTGGCCAGCATCACGCACGGGCCGCCTTTGTCTCCGCAGTGGCGATGTTTACACACCGCACCACGGTACTAATTTGAGGACGAGTCGACCTAGGGGAGGCCCAGGACCGGAACAAATCATCGTCACGTGTGTTTGACAGTGCCAACCCCCCTCTTCCGGATGGAAATCGCTCATTTAAAAAAGGAATTAGCTAAGCATCCCACTGCAGGACCCTCCTCTTGGTTGAAGGATTGAAACTCTGCAATGCTATCCTGGTAATTATTTTGCTATCCTAGTTAACTCTGCAATGCTATCCTGGTAATTATTTTGCTATCCTAGTTAACTCTGCAATGCTATCCTGGTAATTTGTTTTGCTATCCTAGTTAACTCTGCAATGCTATCCTTAGTGGACATCTGTGGAAAAAAGAGCTTAATAGCTCATCGGATTCCTCCTGTATAAATACATGTTCTCACTCCGATTCTGAATCTGTATTGCGTGCACTTTTTGGGGGGTTTTCGTCTTAAATAAAACAAATAGCCAGTGTCCACATGCGGATTCAAGGGACTCACATTAGGGATCCAAACGACTCAAATCGAACCCCACAGACGTACACAGATACCCTTTCCTCTCTTCCTCCGCGCTTGACCAATTGCCCCTTTCGCTCTGCAACATCAATTTTTGGGGGTCAGCGTTTCAGACGCGGCTCCCATCTCCGCAACTAGCCGTGCCTTCTTCACCACGCCGGTTGCGAGCGCCGACTGGCGCAGGGCAACTCTCGCCGTCGGGCGGTGACATGAAGAATGAAAGTGACTTACAAAAAAAAATTACAAAAGCGTTTTGCATCGTCACAAATAAAAAAAAGCGTGCCCACCGATTGCCCTCCCGAGAGGAAGTTCCAGGAGTTCGTGCAGCTCCTCTGCACGTGTCGCGTCGCCACCTAGAGCAAGTAGCTCCGCATTACACGAATTGCATTCGCTTCCAAACAGGTTCAAACTTTTCCCAAATAAATGTCCTCGTTGTTGCGCTCTTCTCTACACGCAACGGCGCGCCGTTGACTAATAAAGACGGCGTCAGGATATCTGGCCGATTTCATTCCGGAGACGAAATCGGCTGGAACACGAAGTTAATGACCTATAGATATTTTTATTTATTGACCAGGTAAGGCCCACTGAGCTCTAGAGCGCTGTTTCAGAAGCGACCTGGCCACAAGGGATAGCTCAACGAAGTGGCTTATCACGTGGAAATGTATAGCAGCAGCCAAATACTCTAAGCCACGTGTTTATTCTAAATGTGGAGGGGAAACACCGGAGGACCCGGAGAAAAATCCACGCGACCACGTGGAGAGAGATCGAGGGAGAGACATGAAAACTCCAAATATACACTTCATAAGGGTCAGGGGTCAAACCCACGACGCCCTGCATATCAGGCGAAGTAGTTAACATATCGCCGCCACAGATTAAAAAGTCCATCCCCCGAAGGGGCTGCAGTAGGATACGGACACAGCTGCCCACGGCCTCTCTCCTCGCTTGCGGTGGGAACAGCCACTCACGGGAAGAGCGTCGTTGCTGCTGTTGTATTGCTGCTTCTCGGAATAGGAATGGGATTCCGCTTACAAACGAGCATCGTTACGGTGTAGCCTGCAACACTTACCGCGCCCACGTCATTGTCTGTTCCGGCAAAACAAAAATCTACATTGCAAGATTTTGTTTTTAAATACCTTGGCGCTACGGATAACCGCCCGTGCGACTTAGCTGTGAAGTGGGTTTCAGTTGTTTGTAGTCGGCTCGGGGAACCGCAGATCTCACTGAGCTCTGACAGTAACGACCCGAGGTCACATTGCGGGGGGCGTGCACACCCACGTTAGAACTGATTCGGATCTCCAAATATATTCGTCGTCACATCCCCGTTATATAGATATTTATATTTTTAAAACTCTTATATTTTAAATCGCCTTCTGCCCGTGGCTCTTCGTCCACCGCCGCGGGTCACGCCGGATGGCGCTCTCCTCCCGTGTCCCCCTCGAGGTCCCCGTGCTGCAGGAGCCACTGCGACGTGGGGGAGAGGGCACACGGCAGAGAGAGAGAGAAGAGAGAGAAGAGGGAGTAGAGGGAGTCGACAGCGACAAGGGCCGGGGAACAATTTATCGAAGTCAATTCTTGGCCGCCACTCGCCACCTTCCAAGCGCTCGTCGCGGTTGCGTCTCCGCCGGTGTCCGACGTTTCGCTCGGCAAGGCTTCTTCAGAAACCGAATTCACAAGCTGCCCGGCACACTCCGGCGTTAGATCCTTGAAGAGGCTTCCCAGCTACACGGAGCGAAACGTCGGACACCGTGTCGAACAACAGCGATACGGCAAGTCCTTCGTTTAGCGCGGCGGCGGCAGTGGTAGATGCGTTCCTGTAAAGTGCCGCGTTCGGGGAAATATGCCTTCAGCGAGAACAATTTCCCCATAAATAATGTAGCGATAAAGTTCGGCGAGCTACGATGCACTACTACGGACACGCAGCGAGATGGCGAGACTAACAACCGAGGATACGCCGCTGTAGCGCTCAGCCGCGCAGCTCAAAAAATTAGTTTGTTACCAAACCGCTCAGAAACCGCGTTATAACCGCGGTGCGGTCTGCGTTGTTCCAACTGTTCCCCCGCGGGAGAACCGCGTTGGAGCGAAAACCGAGTTGTGGTGTGAACGCCGCGCGTCAGGGCGAGTACTTGCCGCATTCCGAGTGAGCGCGCGTGCGCGGCAAGCTGCCGTACCTCGTTTATGTCCGGGAAGTGGTCCCCACCGGCCTTTGGTAGCGCTTCGTAAGTCCCTGTAATGCATCGTCGCATTTCAAACGTATACAAAGTAAACTTGTTAACGACACCGGTAGCTATAGGGAGCATGGAAACATGCGAATCTCACCGTGTATGTTCTTAAGCATAGCCCAGAGGTCGCAACCGGGTACCCGATACCCGTACCCTACCCGATACCCGGCTACCCGTACCCGGCCGGGTACGGGTACGGGTACCCGTTTGCGACCCTGGTGCGGCCGGGTATGGGTAAGGAATCAAAACCCGTTTGCGACCTCTGGCATAGCCTATGCGAATCGATTAATCAATAAAACGTCACTGACATTGACTAATGTCCAGGTGGCTTGGTGGTTCAGCTGTCAGAGACACTGATTGCCGCATCGCTAGATTCCTCGGTGTGTATCCGGGTTCCAGGCGCCCGTGATTAAACCTGGTTCTCCAAGTTGATGGTCTCAGCCCACCGACACATCATACATGGTCGCTCTGCACTTCATTTGGCAAACTTCCATCTCTGAGAATTAAACATATCGGCCAGACTGTCGTGCAATGGGCATTACTCTCAGAATGAGAATAGGTTTTACGCTTTCTGGCAATAATACAGTTGTGTTAAGATGTTTAAACACCAAACAAAAACCTTTTGCAAGGAATCATGTCTGCATGAAGCACATATACTTGTGATGAAAATGCAAAAAAAAAACATGCTCTGGTAGTATATGCATTGTCTTTGAAACAAACTGATTGGTCCACACCAGAGACAGCTTTCTTTAGAGCCTCGTCTCAAAACGGTGTTACACCAGAGGACGCCAAAAGGCGAACAGCACAAAGACAACGCCACTATAAGACCTCCTTTACCAGTGGCAAAATATAGTTGTAGGTTTTTACTCTTTAAACTGGTACGCCTTCTGGTGTCATCTGGTCCAACACCAATGGAGACTAGGCTCTAAGGAAAGCTGTCTCGTGTGTGGACCAATCAACTTCAAGGACAGTGCATATCATTATCATCATCAGAGTTTATTTTTGTTTGCATTTTGACTACTTGTGTTGTGGTTATTGCAAACATGATGCCTTGTATAAAGGTGTCAGTTTTGTACCAGTTTAAAGGGTAAAAACCTACTACTAGACAATGCCACTTTCAGGGCATTGAGAGCTCGGGGTGAGCAGCTACATCATGGGGTCTCATATGTTGATAGTGGCAAGGGAGGTCCCTTGATTGCTCTCAGTGTGAGAGTAAATGGGAGAGTGCTGCCCCCTAGTGCATAGTGTGCCACTTGAATGCATCTCAGAGGTAGTTCTGCGATATCTGCTTCCACGGGCCTTTCTCTTAACAACGGGGCGTGATGATGCACTGCTGTGCTAGAGCTCCGAATGGACTCCTGATCTCGCCGCATAACGCCGATGGCACGATCGGGGTAAGATCGTGGACACTTTTTGGACACGGCAGGTCCGCGCTTAACGGGTGGTGCTCACACGACGCGTTTTCGCGTGTATGCGGTTCTTGCACGAGAGAACGCTGGTCGCGCAGCACGGAACGCGCACCGTTATAGCGCGTAACGCGCACCGTTATAGTGCCGGTGTACACGCACGTGCGCCTACAACAACAACAAAAACCGACGACGAAAACGACGAAACAAGAAAGATGCTCGCGGCGGCGGCGTTCGCCGCTCCCGCGGTGACTTCACCGAAGAGCCGGCGAAGCGCGGCGACGCAGACGGCAAACTCGGTGAAGTCCAGGGCTCGGTCGGCGCCAGCGAAACGCTCCCACACTCGCTCGTACACGCGCCAGCGGAGATGGAAGCCTGCGCGCGAGGAAACAACGGGTAAAGGTCCCCCGTGTAGCCCTAACGGACCGTTAGGGCAAGTGGCTGTCCGCGAGCAGCGCCGACGAAGGCCGGCGCGGCACACGAGGCGGTGGGTATAGCAAGCACCACGCCCGGCCGCCTTTGTCTCCCCAGTGGCGATGTTTACACACCGCACCAGGTACTCATTTGAGGCCGAGTTGACCTAGTGGAGGCCCAGGACCGGTCCAGATAATGGTCACTGGTGTTGGCCGTGAGCAGGACTCGAACTCGGGTTCCCCCGGGGTTCGTAGCGCAGTGCGCTCACCGCCACACCACACACCAGGGGTGGCAGTACAGCAAGTAGGCTTGCTCTGCCCGTCGATATGACATTTTTCTTTCAAACGTGCGGTGCGATTGATCGCAGGTGCAAGTTTGCATTGAAGCCGGGTTTTGTCACAACCTTTCCCAACTGCAGACCAAACCCCGGGCAGATTAAAACAAAAACCGGCGTTATGTAATCCGCACGGTCTTAACCGCGTTGCACACGTCACCGCTAGGCGGAAGGCCCCTCCGACTTGGGAGCAGCTCCAGAGAAGCCCGTCCATCTGTCGCAAACAAAAAGTAGCCAAAAAGTCCAATGATGGGATGTGACGGGGTTTTGGCAACAGCAACACTGGTCCTGGACTGTCCGAATCAGCACCTGGACAGGTGTTAACTGTAACCCTTAGATACTCCACATCTGCCACAGTGTAACCCAGAGGTGGTGTACGGTGGTTGGCATGGGCCCTGGTGTGAGTAATGCGATGTGGGCCCCCACCACAACCCCCACCACCGCCACCGTCCACTTTATTCCTATCTGGTGACTCGGGTGTCTATGTCCCTCCAGCAGTCCGTGTGGGGCCCGGTGCAGTTGCACCGCCTGCGCTACCCTCGCCGGCTTTACCCGAGTTCTCGAGCGCTTGGCCCAGCTCGTAGGAGGACATGGCGCCCGAGCCGTCCCTGTCGAACGCCACGAACACGTCCTGCGGGGAAAGCGAACCGCGGGCGTGAGCCGCCGAAGGTGAAAAGGTTGCAGGCGCCCCCTGCAATTGACGCCGTGGCGCCGGCGACAATCGCGTCTCGTCTGTCTTGGGAAAAGAAAATGTGGTTACATATTGGAACGTCCGTCTCGTTTGCGGGCAAAGGATTTACGCAACGAGAAAATCATGGCACGTCACAAATGGATAGATATTACGCATCGTTCAAATGTCGCCGTGACAAAGCTTTTTTGGCAGTAATTGAGCGAGTTGCTCACGTCTAGAAGGCATGTTTGTCTATCTATCGCAAACATGAATTACGCAAAAAAATATTCAAGTGATGAGATTATTTTTTAAATAATGGCCATTTACCTGCAGTTTCTTTATCTGGGCAGCAAACGTCTTGGTCTCGGCAATGTCCATTTCTTCTTTGCCTCCGAGCTGAATGCATCCAAGATTAAGGTTTAATCCAATGTTATATTTGCATAGCGCTTTTATCCAAGGCGCTTTACAAAGGCTTATGAGTGGTACAAGCAGGGTAACTAAAAGTGATGGGGTTTTGGGGAGGGTGGTTAGTGGGTATCAGAATTACGGAAGTGCCAAGGGATGGAGGGATGAAGGATGGGGCCAGGCAGGAGCGGAAACTCGACAGGGGGAGGGGTGCTCGCTGCTTCACGTGGAGGGGAAGTTTGTTCCAGTGCAAGGGGGCAAGTAGGGAAAAGGAGCGGTAGCGTTGATTGTGCACAAGGAGAGGGGGGTGGGACGGTGAGGGGCAGAGATTGAGAGCGGACGGAGCGGGAGGGGATGTGAAACGAGACGAGGGCAGCGAGGTAATGGTGGGGCAACGCCATGAAGAGATTTAAATACCAGCGTAAGGAGCAAGAGTAGACACCGGTGGCAAATCCCAGCTTTGAGCCCGTGCGTCGGATCCTGCCCAACAATGCAGGCATAGATAGCCAGGTGGCGTTGGCGGCAGCGCACGTCTGTAACGCGGCACTGTCGATGTGAGGGGTTGGCGGATCACGCAGATGTTGCAGAGCTGCCTTCCCGCTAGCATCGCGCTGCCACCGTGCCCTGGCCAGCAAAGACGTGGACTCCCCCTGTTGCATCTGTACGGGATTGAGTGTTGCTCCCTCGCACGCCGTGAGGTTTTTCCGGGTGCTCGTGTCTCCACTGGCACGTACACGCTCGCTAAGTGGCCGACAACGCCTCACTCTACAAGAGGACTGCAGAGCTTGGGCGATTGTTGACGCCAGCTCACTTAGAGCATTGCTCATAGGGCTCGGCAAGGTAACGGAGAGAGAGGGAGGGAGGGAGGAAGGGGACCCATCCACTGAGCTTTGTTGAAGTCGCTCGCTGGGCCGAGACAAAGGATACCACGTCTGGCATCAGCGCGCCGCACGAACGCGCGTCGAGGCGCGCGGGGCCTGTGTGCTCTGCAGGAGAAAAAAAAATCCATCGACGAGGAGCTCAGATGAGTCAGTGGAGGCGGAATCGCGCATTGCAAACATCCAGCACAATCAATGCAATCGATGCGCAATCGATGGGCAATCAATGCGCAATAAATGTGCAATCAATGCGCAATCAATGCGCAATCAATACGCAATGTATAATCAATTCAATCAATGCACTATCAATGCACATTGAATGCGCAATCAATGCGCAATCAATGCGCAATCAATGCGCAATCAATACACAATGTATAACAATCAATGCATAATCAATACATTACGAATGCATGATCAACCTTCATGGAAAGCGCCACAATGGTCAAATGTAGACATCTTACTGATGTTGAAGAGAGCCACAAAGTCGGGAGCGGCGATGGTCTTCCCCTGCGGAGAGACGCGCCGGCACTCTTGAGACGTACAACAAAAACTGTCACGGTCCTGAACATTCAGACTGAATCAATAATAATAATCTATCCAAAGACGCCTGGTCGGCGTGGAAGAGTAGGCCAATTGCCCGTTATAAGGGGGCCCTCTAAAGCTCCCTCTAGTGGAGGCCTTTCCGCCAGCAGTGGCGTGAGTGGGGAGTTGCACGGCCGCTCCTTTATATTCACCCAGCAATGACCCTGAGTTTAAACACGTACTAGTAGGCTTTCGCGACCAATATTATTCATGATAAATGTTTTATTTTATTTTGGGTTAGATCCCCTAGATATAAATGTGTCATTAAGCCACCACAACCCGACACAGACAATTGCAAACGTCACAATTCTGGCACACCGCCTGATGAAGCTGGTTGTAATCACCAGCGAAACCTCGTACTCACATTGTAAATGTTGTGGTTGTACTCTGCAACACGCCGGTATGCTGGAGTAGTAACTACAGATAGTCCCCGAGTTACGATGGTCCGACTTACGATAATTCGATCTTACGATGGCGATAGCGATATGACAAAATTGTTAAGTTGTCTCGGTGTTAGCGCGTAGTATTATTTTCTGTGTTTTACGATACGTTCAATGCATGTATGATACGTAGCTTTAGAGATTTCATTTTAGGGTTACCACGATACGATACATACGTTCAATGCATGTTAAACGTTTTTATTGTTTCCTGAAAAAACTTTCTATTCAATTGCAGTTCATATGGGTAGGCTAAGAATTTACATTTTTTTACTTTACATTTTACTGTGCAATACAGTATTGCAATTAATAAATACATACAGTAGAACGTTTATACAGTACGGAACTGCAAATTGCTCTGTTTTGCTAAACAATCACCATTCTTTAAGACTCCTGGGTAGGCTAGGCCATCTTCGACTTACGATATTTTTGACTTACGATGGGGTCGTCGTAACGCATCTCCATCGTAAGGAGAGGACTGCCTGTAATCGGCACGTTTTGTAAGTAATTGATTGGCTATGTTGGGAGGCATCGGGTTCAATGACACACTCACGATGACTCCTAGGCATCATGAATGTGATTAGGGATGAGGCTTCTATCAGTCTCATCCTTCCATTCCTCCTTCAACCCCCTGCACCATCGCCTCCTTCCCCTGCTGCCACATCTCATTCCTTGTCCAAACCCGATCACTAACGGCGTTACCTACCCCACCCATCCTTCCCTTATTTTTGCCATTTTGCACCGTAGTATGTAGACATTTTTCGACTTAAAGCTTTCGTGACTGCAGGGATTCATCTTCTTGGCTCTTTCGGTAAAGTCACGTAGAAGGGAAGTAATAAAATAATAAAAATAAAACATAATTAAACAATTCTCACGACGTTTCGGCCACAACGCAAGCAGCCGTCCTCAGGTGAAAATCAGGTCTGTCGAGGCGACAGCGTCTGAATGGAGACATTGCCAAGCGCCTTTAGCTTAAGGTGCTTTATCAATCCAAAATAGAATAGAATACGCAGAAACGGCTGGTCTGTGCGCGCAGAAACGCTGGATGCTGGGCGCGCCCCGAACGCAGAGTAGAGTGGGACGAAGGGGGGCTCCGCCGCGCTGTGGCCTGGAGCGTGGAACGCACGTCTCTCGTGAACGTGGAGAAGAGGTGCTCGATGGGTTCCCCGCGACGTGCCGGCGGTGCCGCGAACACGACCTGGGCACCAGAGACGGGTCAGGAGCAGATGTGTCACCGGTTGGCACCACCATCAAAGACAAAGATCCCCCGTATAGCCTCAACAGACTGTTGGAGCAAGTGCTGTTAGCGAGCACATATGAAGGCCGGCACGGTACAGGAGGGGGTTGGTGGCTAACACCACGCCCGGCCGCCTTTGTCTCCCCAGTGGCGATGTTTACACACCGCACCAGGTACTCATTTGAGGCTGAGTCGACCTAGCAGAGGCTTAGGACCATTTCAGATAATCGTCACTGGTATTGGCCTTGAGCGGGAATCGAACTCGGGTGGCCGGGTTCATAGCGCAGCTCGCTAACTGCTACCCCACCGCTGCGGAGATGGAGCGACGAAATTAGTTCATGCGCGGTAGTGCACGAGTGATCGCGACAGAGTGGGAGGGTCCTTCATCCAGCAGTGGATAGACCTCGGCTCATAAAAGATAATGATGATGACTGTGATGAACTACTCACGAGATGGGCACGGCAACCTAAATGACTGACCAAGGATCGGTGAAAACGTGGCGTTGAGAGAAGACACGTGCACAGCCCGATGCGCGACTCACCGTTGGGTCAAAGGTGCATTCTGGTGCCTCCATACACCTGGGAAGTCCGATCTGAGAGAGACACCGAATAACCATGGGTCACACACGAAGTGACAACATCATGGAATTAGGTTTCGCTACTACGTATGTATACATGTTGAACCTCTTTCGCATGCAGCCCATCGTGGTAATAGGAGGTGCGGGGGGAGGGAGGAGAGAACGACAAGCAGAAAAAAACAGTTCTCAATAAAGAGTTTTAAATCTAGATTTAAACGTAACAAAACTCCCAGTGGCCCTCCTAATATCTCCGGCAGCTTCCTAACATCGGAAGGAAGAGCGTTCCAGACGGCCGCGGAAGCACATCCGAGCGCGCCGCGCGATGACTACAGCCAACAAACCACCGCGATAATTGTTTTTTTACCCTTTTATCTGGCAACAAAACTGACACCTTTTTTACGCGACTCCCACCGCTCGCGCAGCGCCTGCGTTTGAGTCGTGGCCCGAAGCGTCGTGCGACCTCGTCGCTCGCGATGGGATCCTCCCCCCCTTCCACCTACCCACCACCCCCCCCCCCCATGGGAACCCCGGCACTCGCCAGGAGCGGTTGTCGCGCTTGGCGAAGGTTCGCAGGAAGAAGTCGCCGGGCTCGCCGGGCCGGTAGGTGGAGGGCACGAGCACGTAGGGTCCCCGGGGCAGCACGAGGCGCGCCGTCACCTCGCGCGCGTTCGCAAACGCGCGGCTCTCGTGGACGCGTCGTGCCGCCGCGAAGAACGTGGCGGGCAGGCGGCCCGGGACGGACTGCAGCTGCGCACGTGGGTGGCGGAGGGCGAGTTTTACAGACGTACAAGGCAGGAGGTTGCAACGTGTGGTGAACGACCGGTGAATCGGATCGTTCAACGGCGATCGGAAAGACATCTACGTGGATACTCCTGAAGCAGTCGAATGGCGACGAATTGGAAGCTGTTTAGCACCTGCGTCGGAGGCCTTCGCAGATAATATCATCCAAAATGCAGGGTGTTTTTTTATTACACGTTTTTATTTAACTCACTTTGTCTGTTGTCGTGGACTCAAAAAATCTTGTAACTCAATTTGTACCCACTTCCCAATGTGCTATCGACTGCAAACTTGGTATACTTATGTCATACTGATGACAATACCATATTCTATCATGAAAAAATAAAAAACATGTATTTTGAAAACAATCTTTTCTATATGTTATGTTTCGGCTTGGGTCTAATTGTCCACGCTCAACTGACGTTGGCTGTAAATCACCACGGCCCCCTTACGTTATGGCAAGCTTCGGGGCCACTTCCTGGAGTCGTGGAGTTCTGCCATTATTCGTACGGTACATTTCATAAAAGCGTGTTTAAAAAAAAGTATTTCAAATATTACTTATTTTGGGTTAGATCGCGTAAATATATAAATGTGTCGTTAGACCCACCACCACCCGACAAAGACAATTATGAAGGGTTGTTACGTAAACAGAACGTGGCAATTCGTTACTAGTACAGCACACTGGTGTGTTGCAGAGCAAAGCCACATTGTAAAAAATTGTGAATGTTTTTTGTACGTATATTTGTTTGTTTCTCCCTTGAGATGGGACTTTGTGGGATGAACGTTGAGATTTATTAGGGCACGGGGTGATCAATACCGTCTGAATTGGTCTGCAATAAGGTAGGCATTGATAATTATTCAGAATTTGAAACCATACGTTTATTACAAGTACACTATTTAGTTACTTCTCATAAATCAAACCTCAAAATTTGTTTCCAGAAACAATTTTCTCGTCAACACAAATCCACTCACCCACTACTCAACTATCTACATACAACTCCATAATCCTCTGCAATCCAGTGCAATACAAAGTCGTGTCCCACACTACGACTCAAACGCGAGCGGTCATACACGAGCTGGCCGTATTCATCCGCTCACTCGCGATAATTACTAAACCACATACGAAGCGAGCACTTGACTTGCCTCCGGAGGAATCTGCAAAAGAAACAAAACCAAATCATTAATGCCGTATGATTATTATGCTTGCTGCCCATGAAAAACGCCGTCTCAATTCTGTTTCAGGAGGGTCCTGCTGAGTGTTTTGTAGTAGAGAGGGCGATGATTGCTATTTGTATAGTTTTCGAAGTGCACCCATGTTTCTGTATGCACCGTGCGGGCGTGATAATATACGGAAGTGCATAAATGTATAAATGTGTTTCGGTAGTTTTTGTGAATTTGCTTCATACAATAGTGCACCCATGTTTATGTGTACACATTATGAATGTGCCATATACATTGACAGCGCACCCATGTGTCTGGGTGCATATTGGAAATGCGCTTTATACAATACTAGCCCACCCATGTTTTTGGGTGCCCGTTGTGAATCTGCCGTATGAAATACTAGCGCAACCGTGTTTCTGGGTGCACGTTTTAAATGTGCAAAATTAAAACAATAGTGCACCCACGTCTCTGGGTGCACGTTACGAACGCGCAGAGCCCCACTCACGCTGTAGATGCTGAAGCCGATGTGCAGGAACGTGGAGCGTGCTCCGCGCTTGAGCACGCGCCGGTTCTTCTGCATCAGCGCGACCACCACCGTGCACGTGACGTCGCCACGGCCCTCCAGCCCATCCTCGTCATCATCGGAGTCGTCGTCATCCTCCTCGCACAGGGTGAGACGGAACTGTGGGTTCGTCCAGAACGTGCCTGGATGGCAAACACCACGTGGAATCTACACGTTAACGCATAAAGACAAAGGCCCCCCGTGTAGCCTTCGCATACTTTTGGGGCAAGTGCTGTTAGCGAGCATCACGCTCGCTAACACGAGGGGGCGGGTGGCCAGCACCTGCTCGGCCACCTTTGTCTCCCCAGTGGCGATGTTTACACACCGCTCCAGGTACTCATTTGAGGCCGAGTCGACCTAGGGCAGGCCCAGGACCGCTTCAGATAATCGTTCGTCGCGCAGCACGCCAACCGTTACACTACCGCTCCCCACATGTTAACAAGGCAAAGATCCCCCGTATAGCCTGTAAGAGACTGTTGGGGCAAGTGCTGTTAGCGAGTAGCACCTATGAAGTCCGGCACGGCACACGAGTGGCGATGTTTTTACCCACCGCACCAGATACTCATTTGAAGCTGTTAACGCATACCTACATGCATCATCATCGGCCATGATATATCCACTGCCGGATCACGGCCTGCCCAAGGTGTCACCGTCTCACATGCGCGTACAACTACCAGTTGCCATGTTCAACTGCTGCCCCTCTGTTACGATCATCGTCATGATCACCACGTGCTCTAGCACTGCATGCTGCAGCTAGTACTTTAGACTATGATGATTCTGATGACGAGAACAGTAGTGACAATGAAGATGATCTTGACGGCGAAGACAATGATGCCGCTGAAAATAACGATCGTGATGATGAACGATGACAATGACGGTGACGACGAAAATAATGGCAGCGCTGATGACGACGACGATGATGATGATGGTGGTGGTGGCAAAGGCAATGATGATGACAATGAAAATGATGGTGACGACGACGACGATGATGATGATGGTGGTGGTGGCAAAGGCAATGATGATGACAATGAAAATGATGGTGACGACGACGATGGCACTCGCCCTCAAACTTGCGACATCCCCCCGCGGTGCACCCTGGCACCCATCGGCCCTCGTGCGTGGCGAGGGCCCACCCAGTGGCACCTCCTCCGTGCGGACTCAGGCTGCAGATCTCCACGTTACTGAAGCATTGCGCGAAGTCGCACCAGGACATCCTGCACACGGAGTGGCCCGTGGCTCACGTCATCGCGTAGATGTGTGCAAGTGCACTTGCCCGCCCGCCAGACAGCCAGTAAAACTTTTTTTTTTCAATTGTCGTACAATTTAACTTTCAAAGTACAGCACGTGTAAGAATAGGTTTTAACCTTTCTGGCAATTAAACAGGAGGTTTCGATTTAAAGCTTTCGTGACTGCAGGGATTCATCTTCTTGGTTCTTTCGGTAAAGTCACGCAGAATAGAAACAACAAAAATAATAAAATAAAACATAATAAAATAATATATTATAATAATATTATATTATTATATTATATATTATTATATTATATTATTATATATTATATATATTATTTTTGTTGTTTCTATTCTGCGTGACTTTACCGAAAGAACCAAGAAGATAAACAGGAGGTGTTCAAATGTTCAAACACCAAATAGATGCCTCCTTTTGCAAGGAATTAAGTCTGCATGAACCACACGGTACTTGAAGTGAACATCCAAACAAACCATGTTCTTATAATATATGCATTGCCTTTGAAACTAATTGGCCTACGCCAAAGACAGCCCTCTTTAGTTTTTCAAAGCCAATGCATATATTATGATTTAAGAGCATGCTTTGTTTGCATGTTCACAACAAGTACTGTCTGTGGTTAATGTAGTATTTGATTCCTTGCAAAAAGGTTGATGGTGTTTGAACATCTTTTTGCATCTTTTTTTACTGCCAGAATGGGTATAACATATTCTTAAATCTTGATTTTAAGCTTTCGTGACTGCAGGAATCCATACTCTTTGGTTCTTTCGGTAAAGTTGTGTAGTTAGAAATAAAATCAAATTAATCAAAAAAATATATATTTGTTTTACAAATAAAATTTGTTTTACAAATAAAATTGTAAATAAATTGTATTTTATTTGTTTTGTTTCTAGTAACATATTCTTATTTATCATACTTTGATACCGCCAACAAATGTCTAGTTACACAATACGTGTCCCTACGTAGGTGGTTGGGTCATTGGGCAAAGCGCCTTTTCCTTTTTACCCATCCCCTGGGCTACATCATCTCTCCACTGAACGACGGCGATTTGAACCTCAAGTATTCTAGACGACATTGCGTTATGTCCTTGCAGTTTTCTTTGACGGAGTGTGCGCAAATAATAATGATGAAAAAGAAGAAAATAATGAACACTTGCAATGCACTTTTCACACCGGAGGTCACAACGTGCTGTACAGCGCTACAAACAGACATTTAAAATAAACTCTATTAAAAGCTTTGCAGGCTAATGATTCCCTCGCCCCACCAAATAAAGTAAAACAAAATCCCACGGGGGGAACAACGGATCAATTCATGAATAATAATCACGCGTGCCTTGTTTGTAATGAGGGCGAGCGGTGGAGTGGGGGAATAATTGTGCGGGGGGACAGGGCAAGAAAGTGGTGTCTGGTAGTCACCAAAACTCCCCGTCCTCTTCTTGTTGAAGCCTCAACCTCTGCTTCTCTTCGCAGGACACCGCGTTCCACTCGGGGGAGCTGCGGCGAGACAGCACAGCGAGCAGGGCAACGACAGGTTAGCAGAGCAGTTTTGTTGCCAGAATTAAAAGGGGAAAAACCCTATTAGTATATATTGGTACTGGCAAAGGAGGCCTCATAATGTAGATGCTTACGCCGAGCTCTCATTACTCTGATAGTGCGTTGTCTTTGAACTGTGCGCCTTTTGGCGTCATCTGGTCGAACACCGTATGAGACTAAGCTCTAAGGAAAGCTGTCTCTGGTGTGGACCAATGAGTTTCAAGGACAGTGCATACATGATCAGAGTGTTGTTTTTGTTTGCATTTTGACTGCAAGTATTGTGGGTAATGTAAACACGATTCCTTGCGAAAGGTGTCAGTTTTGTTGCCAGAAAAAAGGGGAAAAACCCTATTAGTACCTTACGTTGTGTTTAGAAGGTGACTTTGATCGAGGCGCTTAACATCATTTAAAAAAAACACAACGCTACGAACAAAGAAATGATCGAGAGGGCAGGGGCGTGCAGGATTGGGTGACCCCCAATAGAGGCGGGTTTAGAGAAGGGATGGGAAGGAGTGGAGGGGTGGTGGGTGGGAAGAGAATGGGCGATGGAGATTGGTTGAGGCTTTACGAAAGGAACGAAAGGAGGTCACGGAGGGGGACTGCTCAATGCATTGGGTTTGGTTGGGTGGGGTGGTGGAGGGTCTTACGACACAGATTTAGTCAGATCGTTACGCGCGCGAATCCAAAAACGATCAACTCTGAATGGTGATATTGGCTGCGATAAGCTCTTCGTCTGTAATATATTCAAATCGATATCTTAGCATTCTTCACGCGCGAGTGTTTTACAAAAGTGAGGAATGACCCGAAGGGTAATTAGGAGGCGACCTCGTGGTCGCACGGCGCCATTGCTCTCCATGTGCTCAAACAAAACCACTTGAACAATCGTCGTCATCATCATTAGAAAATTCTACAAAAACAACAGCATCATATTCTTTATATGAACAAGGACAAAATACTCGTTGGTTCTTTCGGTAAAGTCACGTAGGTAGAAAAATAAAATTAAAAAATAATATATCTACCTACGTGACTTTACCGAAAGAACCAAAGAGTATGGATTCCTGCAGTCACGAAAGCTTCAAATCAACAAAGTACAACATTTCGATTTAAAGCTTTCGTGACTGCAGGGATTCATCTTCTTGGTGCAGTACTTATAACATTCCTGCATTTCCCATAAATATGCTAAATTCCTTTTTATATGCAAATTCCTTTGTCAATGCGCCCAGCTTATATATATGCTCCAAGCTCGTGTGCTGTTTCATTCAGACTCTGTCGCCTCGACGGACCTGGTTTTCACCTGAGGACGGCTGCTTGCGTTGTGGCCGAAACGTCGTGAGAATTGTTTTATTATGTTTTATTTTTATTATTTTATTACTTCCCTTCTACGTGACTTTACCGAAAGAACCAAGAAGAAAAGTACAACATTATTCAACCCCCACCACACCCCGCCCCCACCCCTCAGCAATGCCTGTCTGTATGTCTGTCTGTATGTCTGCATGTCTGTCTGTATGTCTGTATGTATGTCTGTCTGTTTGTCTGTCTGTTTGTGTGTATGTCTGTGTGTCTGTCTGTATGTATGTCTGTATGTATGTCTGTCTATATGTCTGTCTGTATGTATGTATGTCTGTATGTATGTCTGTATGTATGTATGTCTGTCTGTATGTCTGTCTGTATGCATGTCTGTATGCATGTCTGTATGTATGTCTGTCTGTATGTCTGTCTGTATAACTTATTTCGCACCGATATCAATAATCACGATTCGGAATAAAAAAAAAAGTCAATAACATTAAAATCGGAGTCTGTGAGGGAGACAGAGACAGGGGGGGGAGTGAGACGGAGGGAGTGAGAAAGGGAGACAGGGAGATAAGGGAGGGAGATAAGGAGAGAAGGGGGGAGTGAGACAGGGATGGAGACAGTGAGACGGGTGTGTAGGGGGCGACACGTGATAGCATCCCACCAGTCGTTCCAGGAGCCGCTGTACTCCTGATAGCCCCAGGGGTTCCGCAGCCTCAGCAGGCGAACTCTGCTGCCGTTCACCGTCACCTGGACGCGAGTCGGCGGGGTCAGGGACGCCGCTCATTAGTCACGCCGCACTGCGCCGCTCCGTGCCGCAGCCCGAGAGGGCCTTGCTAGCGGGTGCACGGGCTGCCTCCGTCACAGACTTAGCGGCGCCGTGGGCTGCCGAGGGGCTTACGTCGTCAGCGGAGGGGCTGGAGAGCAAAGTGGATCGTTGTGTCTTTCTTGGTTCTTTCGGTAAAGTCACGTAGAATGGAAGTAATAAAATAATAAAAATAAAGATAAAATAATAAATTAAATAATAGCATACTACGACGTTTCGATTGCAACACAAGCAATCATCATCAGGTATAAAAGAAATAGCAACAAAAATCTAACCAGAAAACTATAGACAGACATATAAGCGGACAGACATCATAAAGATACACAGAGAGAGAACACGTATCGGCACAAAGAGAGAGGTCGTCTCTGTATTTTATACGTGACTTTACCGAAAGAACCAAAGAATAATTCCTGCAGGCACGAAAGCTCCAAAATTAAGAATAAAAATAAAACATAATAAAATAATTCTCACGACGTTTCGGCCACAACGCAAGCAGCCGTCCTCAGGTGGAGAGCAGGTTTGTCGAGGAGACAGAGTCTAAATCGAAATTTGGATCGTTGTGCTGTACGTCTATGCTTCCACGTCTACGCTCACAGGCTTCGCCAGCACGCACCGGCCAGCCTTGGCGAGTTGTGGTGGAATGATTGCAATGCACCCCATGCATGCGCAGCGAGGCCTTCGTCCAGCAGTTGATTGGCGATGACTGCGAGCGTGGTCACGTGCGAGTGTGTAGGTGGTGAGTGTTTGGATGGTGAGTGTTTAGGTGGTGAGTGTTTAGGCGGTGAGTGTTTAGGCGCGTGAGTGTTTAGGTGGTGAGTGTTTAGGTGGTGAGTGTTTATGTGGTGAGCGTGTGGGTGGTGAGTGTGTGGGTGGTGAGTGTGTAGGTGGTGAGTGTGTAGGTGGTGAGTGTTTAGGCGCGTGAGTGTGTAGGTGGTGAGTGTGTAGGTGGTGAGTGTGTGGGTGGTGAGTGTTTATGTACGTGAGTGTTTAGGCGCGTGTGAGTTTAGGTGGTGAGTGTTTAGGTGGTGAGTGTGTAGGCGGTGAGTGTTTAGGCGCGTGAGTGTTTAGGTGGTGAGTGTGTAGGTGGTGAGTGTGTAGGTGGTGAGTGTGTGGGTGGTGAGTGTTTATGTGCGTGAGTGTTTAGGCGCGTGTGAGTGTTTAGGTGGTGAGTGTTTAGGTGGTGAGTGTGTAGGCGGTGAGTGTTTAGGCGCGTGCGTGTTTAGGTGGTGAGTGTGTAGGTGGTGAGTGTGTAGGTGGTGAGTGTTTAGGTGGTGAGTGTGTGGGTGGTGAGTGTGTAGGTGGTGAATGTTTATGTGGTGAGTGTGTAGGTGGTGAGTGTTTAGGCGCGCGTGAGTGTTTATGTGCGTGATCATGAGCTCACCGAGTCGACACCCAGCACCGCGTACGCGTGACCCATCACCAGGCCCTCCGAGTTCACCCGACCCACCTGGGCCGGGTCTTTGGACTGTCGACATCGTCATCATCATCATCATCAATTATCATCATCATCAATTATCATCACCTGAGTATTATCATTGCCATATTGATATAACGGGCAATTGATATAATTGTCGTCATCATCTGGCGCGGGTAACTAATAATTGGTAGTTTCATCGTAATAGATCACATGTGAATCATCATCAAACGGCCGCATCATCCGCACAATCGCATCGTCGAACGCCGGTGAATTGTCAAGATGCATCAACCAACGACACCACGATCATCATTTTGACATTGTAGGCTTTCGCGACCAATATCATCCATAATAGAGGGGTTTTCTCGGGTTTAAATCGCGTAAATAGAAATATATAACCCCAAAAAAAACCTCCATTATGAACCACGATCATCAGTTCGGCACCTCCGCTCAGCGCGGCTGGCTCCGCACGGTGCAAAAGAAGTTCGACGTTCGCGCAAACTGCGTGGGCCGCGTCCAGGAATCAACGAATCGACAGACCAAAGCACCGCCTCCTGCCTGCCTCCTGCCTGCCTCCTGCCGGGCTAAACGAGGTGAGAATCACCGAGACCGCCACCGCCGCACCTTGAGGAAGCAGGCGACGAGCGCTTTGGCGGCCAGGGCGGAGCGCACGGCGCTCCAGAGGCGGTTCGAGTCGCCGGGGCTCACGGGGTGCGACTCTCCGAGTCCGCCCGTCAAGTCCTCCATGGCCTCGACGATCTTGCCCGTCCGCAGGCCGGCGTAGGAGCCGTTCACCCTGCGACCCGGGTGGGGGGTGAGGGGGTGTGGGGGTTAGTGGGGGGACATTGCGGACCGAGGTCGAGGTGACGACCGCGAGCGTCTTGAGTGGCACCCTCGCCAAATCAACTCCCTCCCTCTTCGCGCTCGCCAACAAAACAGATGTTTGTTCGCACAAAACAACAGAGAGAGAGAGAGACAAGCGAACGACAAACAGTGCAACAACAACAACAACTACTAAATAAGTAACAACAAAGTGTGCAGGTGAGGTTGGAAACCCAAGAGGGCTTATATAAAAATCACCCCCCCCCCCCAAGAAAGAACAACGTAAACGCAAAACAGATTGTTCAAATCAATCAAACTGAGCTTACTAATTGCAATGAAACATTAAACTCAGCGTTCGAAAAACCACGTAACTACCTCGCCTCGTGCACCCCGGTGTGTGCCGAAGAGTAAAAACACACCACATTCATGCACGAGTCGAGTACGACGTAGCCGCCGGTGATCACAAGCAGAGCTTCATCGGGCGATTGTTCCAAGCGACACGTGGAAGGAGCGTTGGGTGGGTGGGTGGTTTTGCGGTGGGAGGCAATCTTCGCCTTCGTGTGCGTCTCACTTGGCGTAAGCCTTCTCGAGCAGAGCGCTCCAGAACTCGTGCCTGGCGCTGGAGGAGGCGTACACGAGTTTGCCGTGCTGCGTGGGTAGCCGGTCGTCCACCACCACCTCCACCCAGCGGCCGTACTGCCAGAACTGCGACAAACAAAAGACAACGATCCCACGCCGCCCCCGTCCTCCAACCCCGCGTAGCCTTCAAAATGCTGTGTTGTGTGAACGTCTTTCGCACCGTACGTATCCAGCCGCGCTAATCGGAGGTGCGGGGGCGTTGTTGTTAAGCGAGTCGCGCCTGCCCGGCGAACACGAGGCGAGTGTGTGGCCAAAGCAACGTCCCAGCCCCCTTTGTCTCCCCGCGGTGTGTTGATGTTTACACACAGGTTGACCTAGGGGGGGGGGGCGGGGGTGCCCAGGACCGGTTCAGAGAATTGTCGCTGGTGTTGGCCGTGAGCAAGAATCGGTTCGTAGAAGCAGCGCGCTAACTGCTGCGCCACCGATCCCCACACTGGGCGAGCGGTGGCGCGTGTGGCAGGCAGCAGAGTGCCGAGTCGCACACGGACACAAAGATACACAGACACGAATATAAAAACACACACACACATGAGGGGCCGTCCATAAATGACGTCACGCGATTTTGGACGATTTTTGACCCCCCCCCCCTCCCTCGTCACACGGAGTCACAAAAAGTCAGATCCCCGCTCAAATATGACGTCACAAAGCTCTGTGTCCCCCCCCCCCCACGCACTGCTCCCGATGTTCACAGGAGCACCCCCAACACACAACAAACACGGCGTACAACAAACAAAGACACACCGAGTGCAGAGATTAGCACGCTCAGCTACGTACGGTGAGAAAGACGTCCTACACACATACATGATTGCAGATGATGCGATGAAATGTGCTCATAAAGCCGCCTAATTGTCACGGGACGGGAACACCCATTCATTGAGGCGACTGCACACCGATACACACACGGCCCTTCCAAACCCCACCCCCGTAATTCTGATTGTAACGCAATGACCGAATGTTGTAAAAGGATAACTAATACAACATTTGCAACAACGACAAGAAATCCGCTTGTCCGTTAGGACTCGGAACGCGTATCGTTATATTTGCGGAACGAGCGCCGTTATAACGCGGAATGTGTACTGTTATAACGCGCAACGCGCCGTTATAGCGCAGAACGTGCCCGTTATAACGCGGTTTCTAAGCGGTCAACGACAAACACTTTTTTCTTCTTGGTTCTTTCGGTAAAGTCACGTAGAATGGAAATAATAAAATAATAAAAATAAAACATAATAAAATAATTCTCACGACGTTTCGTCTGTCTTTCCGACAGACCTGTTCTTCACCTGAGGACGGCTGCTTGCGTTGTGGCCGAAACGTCGTGAGAAGTATTTTATTATGTTTTATTTTTATTATTTTATTATTTCCCTTCTACGTGACTTTACCGAAAGAACCAAGAAGATGAATCCCTGCAGTCACGAAAGCTTTAAATCGAAAAAGACAAACACTTTTCTTGAGCTGCGCAGGTGAGCGGTACGGCGATAGAGTACATGGAATGACGCAGTAACGTAGACTGATACAGTAACGCGGTGGCGTGCCCTCGGTTTGTTGTCCCGCCGTCCCACTGCGTGTGCCTCGTGACACATCGTTATCTCGCCAAACTTCATCGTCACATCTTTGATGGGGGAAATCGGTTTTTTTTTTTGTCGCTGAACGCGGCACTCTTTTTTGGCGAACGCATCCACTGCGACTGCAACCAGTGCCGGACTAAGCTAGTGCGGGGCCTGTAGCATATGTTACAAAGGGGTCCTAATTAAAATAAAACACGTAAATATTAAACACACAAATTTAGAACTTGCATAGTAAAGTACAGTAATTGTATTTATTCATTTGCTATACAGCCAGATAATACGACAAATCGCTAACCTGAAACACCCAGTCGTTCATAAAAGTTTAAGGCGGTATAGTACTATAATAATAGAGCAAGTGCAGAATCACTGAACCGGAATTGATAGCTTGAACGCATTTAGCGCGGGCCCCCTTGTAAGTGCGGGGCCCGTAGCATAATGGAGCTATTTTTGCCACTCGGGATAATCCGGCACTGACTGAAACCACCTCTGGGATGCGTTCGAGTGAGGAATCAATTTGCACGTACTCGGAAACGGAAGATGCCGCAGTAGGACGCTCCAAAGTGCTGCCCCTCGGGCACCACGTGGGCGAAGAGGCGGCGGTACATCGTGAGAGAGGAGAGGGCAGCTAGGAGCCAGCAGTCCCCTGCAACAAAGACAAAAAGATTGCCCGTAAATAGCCTTACCAGACTCGTCGAGGGCAAGTGCTGTTAGCGAGCACCTATGAAGGCCGGCACTGTGGCACGCGAGGGGGTGGGTTGCCAGCACCACGCCCGGCCGCCTTTGTCTCCCCAGTGGCGATGTTTACACACCGCATTGGGTACTAATTTGAGGCCGAGTTGACTTAGTGGAGGCCCAGGACCTGTACAGATAATGGTCACTGGTGTTGGCCGTGAGCGGGATTCGAACTCGGGTTCCCCCGGGGTTGTAGCGCAGTGCGCTCACCGCTACACCACACACACCAGGGGTGGCAGTACAGCAAGTAGGCGCTCGCAAACAGCACTTGTCCCAAAAGTCTGCTATGGCTAATGCAGAGGGATGTGTTGTTTTGCTGCCCTGTCCAAGCTTACATTTGGTGTAAAAAAATCGGCAGGAATTGATGCACTTACGCAAATTGTACTAATATACTTTATTTATTTGTATTTATTTTCGCGACTTATGTACCGTGCCCATACTTTGCACTCCAATCGTTTTTTTATCGTTTGTTGTTGTTGTGACGTTCTGACCCACCCCGACTGGAAGCCTGTAAAAAAACAAGAGCTTCATAGCTCATCGGATTCCTCGTGCAGTCTAAACAAAGATTCCGATTCGGATATTTTCCTCTGTCTGTGTGTGTGGCGAGCGGTAGTGTCGTGCCCAGCATCGTTACATCTTCCAAACCACTGCCCATCGGAAACGTCCGACAGCAGTTGATCATCACTCGTTTCCAGAGGGGGCGGCCACTTTCGCCCGATAAGGGACCGTCCATAAATGACGTCACGCGATTTTGGACGATTTTTGACCCCCCCCACCCCTCGTCACACGGCGTCACAAAAAGTCAGACCCCCCCCTCAAATATGACGTCACAAAACTCTGCCCCCCCCCCCAAAAAAAAACATTTCCATATAGAAATTAAAACATGTTACAAATCTCTTTCAGCTATTGTCATTGTAGTGCGTAATTAATGTGGCACTGCACTCTGACGTTGTAGGAGAAAACATTTATTAAAAAGTCTATTTAATTAAGTAGAACGTGTTGTCTATTCTAGATTTGAAGCTTTCGTGACTGCAAGGATTCATATTCTTAGGTTTTTTTTCGGTAAAGTCACGTAGGTGACTTGTCTATATTTATTTAAAGTTGCGCATTTTGATGTGACGTCACATTTCTCAAACCCCCCCCCCCCCTCGTCACACATCGTCACAAATATCTGACCCCCCCCCCCCCCAGGTGCGTGACGTCATTTATGGACGGCCCCTAAGACGACATCAGTGTGGGTGCCTTGCAGTGGCCCCCGTGGTGCTTACAGAGCTCGCCCTGGCAGATGTCGCTGATAGTTGCCCCTTCAGCAATGAACCGCGGCGTCGGGCAAATCTCCTGGCCAGTGTTGCACACAGACACAGGGACACGCACGTGTCAGCGTCAAGGGGAACACTCCCCTCGACCCCTCTCTCGCCCGTCTACCCCTGTCACCCCTCTACCCCCTCTACCGCTGTCACTCTTCTCGCCCCTCTACCCCTCTACCCCTCTCACCCCTGTCACTCCTCTACCCCTCTCACCCCTGTCACTCCTCTACCCCTCTACACCTCTACCCCTGTCACCCCTCTACCCCTCTCACCCCTGTCACTCCTCTACCCCCTCTACCCCTGTCACCCCTCTACCCCTCTACCCCTCCACCCCTGTCACCCCTCTACCCCTCCACCCCTGTCACCCCTCTACCCCTTTACCCATGTCACCCCTCTACCCCTCTCCTCCATCGCATTTGCGCGGAATCCACGGCCGGAGCTCAACGCCGTGGAGTGCGGTTGACGTCACCACCGCGTGCCAGCCAGGCAGACATTGAATCCAGGCAGGAACACGTTTTTTCCCTCTTATAGTATACGCATCTATGCTACGGTGATTATTACCTGCGGTCTGAGCCAGTGGATATTCTCCGCGTCGGCATCCAAGGAGCCCAGTGCTTCTGGTCCGGGTGGGAAGGCGGCGTCTTCGAAGAGTTCTCCCCGGTCGAGGCACGCGCGTCTCAGGATCTCAAAGTCCTGCTCCAGGTGACTCGCGGGTCGTTCTGCAGATCCCTCTTCCATGGTCACACACTGGCCCTCGGCGAGCGTCAAGCCAGGGTTACTTTGATTTGAGTCAGTCGTAGTCTCGCGCAACAATAGCCTGCAGAGTTTTCGTCAAGTCTTCGTTCTACGGATTACACTGGTCAACACACTTTTTCTGGCATAAGGTATTCCAACGGTTTTAATGTAATTTTGGGGGGTGCTGATTCCAAATCTGGCATCAGTTTTTGTCTATCACATCAGGTTTTTGAGATATCAAATATTGCATTTTCAATAAAAACTGCAGAAGAAAAATATTAAATAAATGTGGATATCTACATAAAATGATATTATAAACACACTATCCTAAAAATACAGCACCATATTTTAACACTAAAGCAGTCACTGACTCGCAACAACTTGCAATCATAAGTGACAGAGTTAATTTCGGGTAAAATCAATGAAAATGGGGTATGCCGATAGCATAAAATGAGATGTGATAGAGCAAATCTGAGATCAGATTTGGAATCAGCACCCTGAAATTAGTCTAAAACAGCTGCAAAAGTCCAGGCCAGAATGTTTTTTTTTGTTGACCAGTGTTATATTTGTTACCCGTTCGTTTGATCTAATGAACTAAAGCAGTCAAACATTTCGTGTGCTGCGTCTAATTTTTGAGTTCGGAAAAGTGGTGGTAAGTGTTGGGGCGCCACAGTGGCGAGATGTTAACTACCTCGCCTTGTATACAGCAGATCGTGTGGATTTTTCTCCAGGTCCTCCGATTTTCCCTCCGCATTTAGAAGCATGCGTTTAGAGTATTTGGCTGTCGTCACGCTCGGTGATTAAAACATATATAGACACACGTCTACTGGACATGTGTGTGAGAGAAAAGAGCTTCATAGCTCATCGGATTCCTCCAGTATCAACAAACATTCCCATTCTGACGAATATCTTCGTCACTGCGAGAACTTTCGTTGACGCAAAAAAATGGACACTGCCCCCCCCCCTCTCTGTCCATAGCCACGAATTATTCAGCAAGGGCTGACATTCATCGGAATCTGCGAGCTCTGGTAACCAACGTGCAATGTCCCTCTCGCTAATCAAGAGTCAGGTGGGACGCGCACTTCAGTCGAGCAGCGAAGCGGCAAAAATACCAATAAGTATAACCCGTAAAAACAAAGTTTTTCACTATAAATCCTTTATATGCGTGGCAGCGAACTTAATATAAAGGATCTAAAAATATATTCGCCTGTGGAGGACGCGAGGATCGATCCCGCGACCTTTGGCATGGGAAGCGAGGGCGCTACCAACTGCGCTACTCCGCCACGGCCTGTGGAGGGGTTACGCTCTGGGCTCTTATACTGTGACGTTCAGCCAAAGCCATGAATGAGTTCTATTTGAATATATGTAAAATAAAAAATTTTGCCTAAAAAGTGTAAAATTTTGGGAATTTTTTTTTCACGAACATTAATTGTCTGGCACAACGAGTCTGTGTGCAAAATGTCAGCTCGATTGGATCACGGCAAATGGGTTAAAAAACGACCGAAAGATTTGCACGGTCGTAAGCAAGCAAGCACGCAAGCACGCAAGCAAGCAAGCAAGCATGCGAACTTAATATAAAGGATTTAAAAAAACATCCTCTTCGGCGAGACATTAAAACCCCACATTGGGTTACACCGCAAGTCTGCGCGTGTTTGACACCGGTGGTGCAGAAGCGGCGTGGTTCCTGTGGCGTGCGGCGTGCGTGACGAGTCAAATGAATACTTACAGCCCCTTTGTAGCTCCACTGCTGGACGAAGGCCTCCTCACGACGACACAGCGACACAACAAACCAAAGCTCGCCGTGTCGTCTCTTCACAGACTGTTGGGGCAAGTGCTGTTCGCGAGCCCCTCTCGAGGGCGGCTATGTAAACGAGACGGCCCTGGCGTCTAGAGTTCTCACCTGGCTCAGCGAACCTCACCTACGTATGGGTGTATTTATGTAAATACTCACAATATGCAGACTCGCTGCAGTTTGGCTATCGGTGTGGGTCACTGTGCAGCCATGTCGCTTGCGATGGTTGGCTGTGTCGGTCGAATGATCGTGCAAAATAGGATCAGAGATGACCCCCCCCCTCTCCCCACCCATCTTCTGGCTTTAATTGATCTGCGCAATTAGGTTAATTGGTCCGTCAGCGTCAGCACACGTGACTGGCCCCCTTGTAATCGCTAGCGAGGCAATTAGATGAGTCATCACGCCGCAGGACACGCGTAAGTTTGCGCAATTCGCATCGTGATTAACAGCATGCGTAAAAAAAATTGCTTGTAATTGAAAGCTTATGGCCTTACACGACAGCACCCTTGATAAACATTGACGTCGTTATTTATAGCCACCGTTGCTGAGCACAGGCTCAAAAACGCCCAGGGTCCAGCGACGAACAGCACTCATGCAGGCCCAGTATCAGAGATGAGTCGCATTGGGGTTTCTTTTTTTAAACAAACAAAATCTAAAGCATTATTTTGCGGTACTGCGTCGGTGTTAGATGGCGCTAGGCAATAAGAGGTTCAGGACCAGGTGTTTCGCTCGTCGGTACCACCAGACGAGGCAGAAGAACAATTGTTCGAATCGCCTTACGTGGCGAATAACGGCGAATTGTGTGAGAACCACCTGAAGTGAGTGGGCGTTATCCAGTAACTCAATTGCATTTCACCTTATCAATACGTGGGTGCGACTGAAGTTTGGCTACCTGAAGTGGAACCGATTTCTCCTGTGGCCCATGGACTACTATACAGGGAACAGAAACGGAGGTGGAGCAATGAGACCTACTCGTGCGCTGGATGGAATGTTGCATCACAAAGACCCTGAGAGATGTCGACGGCCTTCATCCAGCAGTGGATCGATCACGGCTGCCGGATGGTGACCGTGCCTAGTCACCTCTTGACTCATAATTGAGGGATCCGTTTTGCATGCAATTTCTGGCTCATGAATCCCATGACAGCGGGCCATTTGCCGATGTAATTGGTGCCTTGCGATCACGTACCGCTCTGCCCACACACGTCACGGGCGTGCGAACTGCGAGGCCGCTATTATGTGTGAATAATCCACGTAATAGAGTAAACTGTAGGGGGGGGGGAGAAACCCAACATCGGAGTTATGTATACCTCGGGCAGGTGTTGGCAACATATCAAGAGCCGCGATGCGATGTTGATCAACAACGTCACGAAGCACAGTCCTTAAAGAGCCACATGCGGCTTCCGGAAGCCGCATGTGGCCGACCCTCACCTAAGGAAAACCATCGAAGGCAAATCTGTAGCGGAATTGTGGCATACAGAGAGGTAAGCGTGAGCCAGGGTGCAGTGCTTTGTGAAAACTGCACAATGGTCATCAAAAGTAAATGTTACCGATGTGAATGAACGCTTCAAGCGGTGAATATCGCCAGGATTTTCACATCGTTTTAAAACAATGTTTCTCTCGGTTACAGGTAGAGTTTAGCCAAATTAAGTCACACACTACATTTAATCGTTATAGGGTAGTTTTGTGCAGTTACTGGTGGCCAAGGCTGAGACAACCATCCACTCTCTACACTTGAGACCCCTGGGTTAACCGTGCAGAGTTGAAACCCGGCATGACCATTAATCATCATCCATGAACATCACGATCCATGGGCAGGTAGCCCCGTAGGTGACCACTGCACATTTCATTTGTTTCCACTTTCCTTCGTCTTGTGCCAATGTGGCTCAAGTAGTGACCACGTTCTTCTGGCACTGACCTCTTACGATGTCTTCGTCAAGTCATTCTCTGCGAGCTCTTCCTCTCTCTCCGGTTCCTTACATATTTCCGAACAACAACAACAACAACACTTTTGATGTCCCTGCTGTTGTCCATCCTACATGTGCGTACATTCCGCCAGCTATAATGCAAAGTACGTTAACACATCATCTAACTTCGTATCACAAGTTACCCTCGTACCTGCCGTTGGTTGTTGACACCAACGATTCAATGCCCCGTGTCGCAAAAAACCGTTGCCACCAACTCGAGCAAGCGGTAGAAATTCACCATCGCTAATGCCAGGCGACACTTTAAGCCACACGAATAACGCGGCGTGTTAATATTAACGATACAAATGACGTTTTTTGTGTGTCTGTTTGTTTGCGAATTAGCTTAAAATTAAACTTTTATTTGACGTGTCGCTGGCAGAGACGGTTCGCGTCACACGCCACGCAACAGCCGCCTCGCAGTGGGACAGCGACGAGCCACGGGCCAAACACCACAACCACCACCACAACCACCACCACAACCAACACCACCACAACCACCACCACAACCACCACCACAACCAACACCACCACAACCACCACCACAACCACCACCACCACCACAACCACCACCACCACAACCACCACCACCACCACAACCACCACCACCACCACAACCACCACCACCACTCACTCGACGGCACGTACTCTGACCGTTATGGCCCCACCTACTTCGTAGGTCATCTGCACCCCCCTCCCCTCTCCCCACCTTCGAATGAACAGCCACCACGGTGGCTATGAGATGTTAACTACCTCGCCTGGTACACAGGAGGTCGTGGATTCGATCCCGACCCTGACGCCTGCTGCTGTATATTTGGAGGTTGCGTGTCTCTTGCCCCGTGGTCGCGTGGCATTTTCTCCTCCGTTTTCCCCTCCACAATTTAGAATCAACATACATTTCCACGCGATAAGCCACTTCGTTAAGCAATCATTTGTGGCCAGGTCGCTTCTGAAAAAAAAATTAACCCGTAAAAACAAAGTTTTTCACTATAAATCATTTATATGCGTGGCGGCTAGAGTCCTCTCGTCCTCTGGCTTGAGATGGCTGCCACCTATGGGTCAGATGATTGCCTGCCACCATTAAGCAATTGGTAGTTAAATACAATTAATTTTTTCCTAAAAAGTGTAAAATTTTGGAATTTTTTTCACGAAAATAAATTGTCACGCACAACGAGTCTGTGTGCAAAATGTCAGCTCGATTGGATCACGGGAAGTGGGTTAAAAAACGACCGAAAGATTTGCACAGTCGTAAGCGCGCAAGCAAGCAAGCAAGTGAACTTAATATAAAGGATTTAAAAAAGATATATATATATATATAGCTCAGTGGGCCTTACCAGGTAAAATAAAAATAGTTTCGTTTTTAGTTTGCTTATATTAACAGCAAGTGTCCCATTGTTTGACCCCCCCAACCGCTCCATTCTAGAGACAGCTCCCCAGGGTGGCTGAAGGGGCACTGACGCCCGTGGCATTGAAGTCCGTCGCTTTAAAAAGGCCGCCATCGACCATGTCACCTCTTGCCACCGCCGCAGCCACACCTCGCCATCGCTTCCTTCCGTCTGCCATATCCCGCAGCAAGCTGCGCCGTCGACACCTCCGTGACCTTCAAGACGTCGCCCTGCCAGTCTCATCGCTCTCGTGGAGTTGCACACCGAAGATGTGCATATGCCGCCCCCTCGCTACCACCACCGCCACCACCGCCACCACCACCGCCACCACCACCGCCGCCGCCACTGCCACCGCCACCACCGCCACCACCACCACCACCGCCGCCACCACCACCATCACCACCATCACCACCGCCACTACCGCCGCCACCGCCGCCGCCGCCACCACCACCACCACCACCGCCACCACCGCCGCCACCACCGCCACGACCGCCATATATTAATAGGTGCTGCCCTTGAAATGTGGGGTCGGAGCCAAGGTCGGGTGGTTCAGGATCATTTTAATTCTCAGCTCCAACCTTGTGTCAGGCAGTAGATAACAGCGAGCATGTTCAAATGTCATTCGCCGTGAGTGCATATAAAATACAGGGCGTCCACACGGGCATCAACCACTATGAAACAAAATTATAGACGGCAGTTTGAACTGCATGCGTGAAATGTTAGCAACGTGCCCCTAATGGGTTTGTATCTTTGTGTTAAACCGAACAAGCTTGATTGATCTTCGACGGCACACGCTCGATATAGACCAGATATTTCACTCGTCGCTACCATCTCAAGTGGCAGAACTTTAGCGATTCCAATTCCTTTACGCGGCCAATGACAGTGAATTGTGTGACCAATTCAAACGAGTGGTGTCATCGTGTAATTCACTCGTAGTGGCCGAAAATTAAAAAAACGGGTACGACTAAATATGTGCTTGCTTCCTTAGGTGGTACCAAATTTTGCTCAGGTCCATGTGTAGTGGACGAATGATGATGTGGGACGCCATTGACAAGGTGGCAGAGCCATCCCTATGGTACGGCGAATAGGTCCGACCGCCCCGGGCCCCGCGATTTGGGGGGGGGGGGGCGCGCTTTGACGTCACGGCGTTAGATGTAATAGTTCCGTTTTAGTTTGAAGACATGGGGGGGGGGGGGCACACGGATAGCCCTACATGGTGGAGATGTGAAGGTTTAGAAGGCTTAAGATCTACACGCTATACCAGGGGTCGGCAAAATGTGGCTCTTTAAGGACCGCTTCGTGACATCGTTTATTAAGGACCACCACCGTCTCGTATTCACCACCACAGTGCATTGCGGCTATTGAAATACAGAATTTTTTTCACCGAATTCGAAACAAATGGTTCGTCTTGATGTTCTGGTTTCCGACCCCTGCGCTGAACACCACGTGCATCATTTTGTTCAACGACCTCAAACTGTCGGCTAATTATAATGCTCAAACGCATTGATTGATTGATTGTGGAAGTGAAAACTGGGCTCAGAATCCCAGCGACCGCCAATCCCGAGCTGGCTCGCGTGGATATCGCCGCTCGATTCTCGCTGGGATCTGCCGCTTCTTCCCTGCAGGAAAGTCACTCACGATCCAGAGTGCCACCGGTCCCACCGTGATGTAAATCGGATCATAAATAATAACAACCCTGTGATGCCAACCAGTGTTGCAACTCAGACCCTACACTTGGAAATGACCTCTCCACAAAGTGGTAAGTTAATTCAACAAAAAAAACGCAATGCCTTATAATTGGCTGGCATAATCCCAGACCTTCATTGCGAGAGCAATTTAAAACACCGCTGACTCTTACAGAACTGTATAGTACTTGTGAAATGGCATTTTACACACTCGTATGCGCATATACATATTTACGTTCGATCAGCCGACGAACGTTCCGATTCGATTTTTACTTGAGGTCGTTAGATTATTAAACGCCATCCAATGTCGCGCATGACCGGTGTACAATTATACGTCATTAAGAAAAAAAAAGCTACATCTCACGTTCAGTTTGTGGGGCGTACACCGACAAATTATGAGAGAGGCTTTTGGGGAAATTAACGGGTTTATCTTTCGTACTTTACTCACAAAAGTGTCAACACGCGCACCCACGAGCATACAGACATGTACGAAAGAGGCCACCCTGTGGTTATACAATGCGAGAATGGGATACACAGGGCTTCTCTCGTTCTATGCGGGTTCAGTTTGTGCGATTTCGCATATATGGGATGAACATATTTCTTCAGGGAATTCGCTGCGCGGTTTGAATTCACCCATATGCGGGTTAAATTCACCCATATGCGGTTTTAATTCACCCACATGCGGTTAAAATTCACCCATGTGGTTTAAATTCACCAATATGCGGGTTGAATTCACTCATATGCGGTTTAAATTCACCCATTTGGTTCAAATTCACTTATATGCGGTTTGAATTAACTCATATGCGGTTTGAATTAACCCACGTGGTTTAAATTCACTTATACGTGGTTTGAATTAACCCACGTGGTTTAAATTCACTCATACGCGGTTTGAATTCACCCATGGGATGGGATGAAAATGATCAATTTCGAAGTCACAAAAAAAAGTGTAATTGCATTTCTGTGGTTCCTTTCAAGTGCAATGAAATAATCTCACGGATGTTATATTTCAGCTGGGCCTCGCTCCAACAGTGCTGCAATACACGCGGGGGACGTGAGATTGTCGATTCAAATTCGTGGCCAAGTGCGCCGTGCCGCGCAACTCTGATCAAGACTGCACCCTAGCGCATGTGTTGGCGTACAGCAGCCTCGAGGTTGAAATGTGATTTTCACAAACGATTAAATCTGTGGGCTCCCCACTGCCTCTGTTTTACTCAGCCGTAGCTTTCGTCTCTCTCTCTCTCTGTGTGTGAGACATTTGCATTCAGTGTAATGCACTGCACAGCATTAACACTGCAGCACGCCACTAACAGAGCGTGTGATTATTATTAATCGTGTGGCCAAGCCAATGTGTATAACCGCGTGTATGTATGTAAACTGCGCACGCCTAAACGTCAATGGGACTCATTCGCGTCTGGTACATGCTGCATGTATACCGGTACTTGGCGACGCACAACAAATATCCCCCGTATAGCCTGGGAGGGCTAAGTGCTGTTTAGGAGCACCCATGAAGGCCGGCACGGCACACGAGGGCGTGGGTGGCCAGCACCACGCCCGGCCCCCTTTGTCTTTCCCTAGTGCTGACGTTGACTGCACACCGCACCAGATATTCTCTCATCTGAGGCTCCGCACATGACAAACGTAGAGAGACGCGTGCACGCCTTGTAACAACTTGTGCGATGTAGTGATGTTCGTACCGATGGATGGAGGACACAGAGCCGTGTGCGCCTCACCAGTAACGCGTACATGCATGACCGTTCATTCGTAGATTATTTACAAGACGTATGTACAACATTGCAGACACAATTGAGATACCGCACTTATGTATGTACATGTTGTGTGGCGTGTACACATTACTATATACATTGCCAGGTGTTATATATCTTTAGATTCCATATATATAAAATAAGTTACGTATATTATTCACGTGTGGAGTATATCTTTATATACGTGTGCGCGTGTGCATTTCAGTGAGTGAAATTTCAGCTCAATTTAGTTCAATTGAATGGTAAACCAAAAACAAAACTATTTTAACAATGTTTTAAATCAAAATACTTAATTTTAACTCTCCAAACGTGGTATTTGGGCATGAACCGTGGCCGCGTTGTTCGGCACGATGTCCGACATTTCGCCCCACGTGCCGGAAGCTTCTTCAGGATCTGACGAACACAGCCATACATTCGGCACAACCCGAAAACACATCCGGGGCAACCTGCTGAGTGAATACAATCATAAATTGTAATTACGTAAATGAGACAATTTATCTCTTTTTGTCGCTCAATGTTCTGCGGAGGGCCTTTGCTTTTGTGTATAGCAAAAAAATAAAATAAAAATATACGTTAAAAAAATTGCAAAAAAAAATCCTGAATTTAATGACTATAAAAAGTATCTCAAGATTCTGCTGCATCGGGCAGCGCAAATCTGATTTGAACAGCACGTGAAGACAAACCAAAACCGGTTTAGTAAATTGGAAAGAAAAAAAAAATCACCGATTTGGCGGATTGCGCGGTCGAGTTGCCGTGACGGATCCATCTCCACCGTGACCCCAAATCCGACATTGAAGTTGTAAACCGCGAGATGAAAGCAACACCAGCGCTCGGCGTTTAAATCAAATTCAACATCTTTTGTTCCAAACAGAAATACTGAGATGTCATAATTTGAAGGGGGACACGCCCTCGGTTATTTCATTTGTGGTGACACCGTGGGGAAACACGATAAGCAAAATTTAAAAAAACACACGTCTCTGGTTTATTGAGTTAAAAAGTACGATCGCAATAATTCAAATATAGCAACAACAACAAAACAATGAAAAGCTGACGATGGTATCGAGTCCCACAGTTCGAAACGTAATGAAGCCGAAAAATGACTGAAAGATTATATTGCACCGGTGTTGAATGCATCTTTTTTATTTAATGTGTCCGAGTGCGTGAGCAGCGGCGTAGCTATTGCGAGTGTGTAGGCGGTGCAACTGCGCCAAGGCCCACGGGATGGGAGGGCCCAGGGTTTGAGCTATGAAGAGATCGGGAAGTGGGGGGCGCGGGGGGGGGGGTTCGGCTTATTTCTTGTCTCAGGACCCTTTCCGACCACGCTACACTGCGCGTACACGTTTGTACTCGCGCGCGTGTGCGTGCGTGCGCATATGCGGAGTAATGCATATCTACGGTACGTATTATGTAGTCATTTTGGTGCACGTGTGTTACACGTATTACGTATGCGCGCGCATGTGCAAACAGGTTGTGTCACGTTGAAGCCACGATGGATGGAACGGTTGGAAAGTGCATGGCAACCGCATCCACAACTCGGCCCACGCCACGCACAGGGAGCACAGTGAACTGGTACAAGTTTAGTGCATAGTAAACTTTGGCATGCCGACTTAAAACAAACAAACAAACAATGATACAAACGCGACTGATGGGCCGTGAAACTCCCCCTTATCCGCTACACCGGCGTTCTTCACTCATTTTAAGAGGGGGTATGCGGGGGGGCGGAGGGCACTTTGGCCGATGAGACGTCGTCAGTGTGAGCGAGGGACCGCCGCACCTTTGAAACCATTGGGGGGGTTTGACAGCAGCACGATGACGAGGGGGATGGGGAGCGTTTTCACTCTTTGTGTATTGTCGGGGGCCGCATGAAAGGTCACCACGGGCCGCTAGTGCCCCCCCTCCCCCCGCGGGCCTTGCAATGAAGAACGCTGCACTATCCTATCGCCCGCTATTTCAAATTTTACGCGACCCACTGAATCGACAAGAGAAAATTCTTCATATCCGTATTTTCAGTTCCTTATTCCTGTCAACTGCGCTTTTGCAAGGATAACAGGCGCAAGCCAGGAGTGTCTGCAAAGCCATCGTCCTATCATCCGCACTTCATTGCGTAACTGACCTGGACGTGGCCCAGTGGAACTACGTCATCCTATCCCATTACGTGCGCCCAAGTGAGGATAAGAGGAGCAAGAAAAAAAACGCGGTCATCTTATTATAGGCGAGAGGACGCCTACCGCGGAGATGGAGGAGTGAAATCACATCTCGGGCGCACGGGATGGATTGGCGCACCGCAAGACCACGCGCGAGAGAGATGTCGACGGCTGTGGGGAAGCCTTCATCCAGCGGTGGCTAGATCGTGGCTAAAGGTGATGAACCGAGTCTCCTGGCACTGCTTCGCATTGCCTGCCTACCACCACACGATAACGAGCGGTGTCTTTGTCTTAGCAACAAAAAAAAAAAGACATTTTACTATTGCGACAACCCACGGAGATAAAATGACTGCAGCGGTTTATATTTAACATCAACCTCGCCCCGGTAGGTTAAAGGACTAAAATAATATCCATTAGCCTCAATTGAGTACACGAACGAATCGGTAAATGAGAGCCCGCAGCACAATAGCACCAAACCGATGGATACGTAATATGTACAATAACATAAACAACATCCACGAAGTTCCGTTGAAATCAAGTCCCCGTGTATTTTCACCAGGCTGCAGTAACGATGACTGGCTAGCAAAACGGGCCGTTGCGTCCGGTGCAGGATGTTGAGATCGGAGGATGGAAAAGAGAAAAAAAGTGATCGACCGAGACGCCGTTAATTAACACCGAATCTGTACGAACGGCGTGGCGAGATGGAGTTGACGTTTACGCTAAGGCCACACAGGGCAAATGATCCACACGCACACACACACATTCTCACTTATCTTGCTATAAATGATAATACATGGTACTGTGATACGATTATTAACAACACTAGCGATTGTAATTTTGGGGTTGTGTTTGTTGTTGTTTTTACCCACAGATGATTGAGTCTAGGTAGGCTGGGTCAGTATCCGGTGAGATCTTCAACACTCATGCAGCTTGCCCTTAATTCACATACGGCCTTTCACGCAGTCCCAATTAAAGCAACTTTCGGCATTTACTGATATAAATTCAGGTGAACGACATCCACCATTCATTGAATGTACACTTGCACACGGGCGCGCGTGCACGCACTCACAGCCGCTCTCGTACACGAATATTAACTATGCACAGGTCACGTACAAGTACACAACATTGCCATTGACTTATTGACACGTGCCTCAAGCCAACCGCCGCGTAAAGCTGCCCACATTTCTGGGAGCCTTCTCCACTCTCACGCCCCGCCTCCTTTTACATAGCCACGCCCACCCAACCACTAGCCCCGCTCACAGCAAATGGCCCTAGCCCCACTCTGACGTTGGCCCTGCCCACTGCTTGGGATAGCCCCGCCCACTACCCAGGTAGCCCCACCCACTCCACATGTAGCTCTGCCCTTCGCCCTAAATCATGAGTAAGGAGCACAATGTCCCCAAATGTTAAACCGGGGTACAAAATCCCGATTTTCATTAAAGCTTAGAGAACACCTGCACACACTTTCTGAAACCACTGAAACTATCCCCGCCGAACTGGGACGTTTGGTAGCGTTACCGCTGCGCCTCATTGAGTCGTATGTACACGGGTCCATTGGACGAAGGGACTACGATATTTTACACGGCCGAGCTTAACCCTCCGCGCTTCGCGACGGCGGCGGTCGCATCGGCAGCAACGTGCTGCATCTCCACGCAGCTGCGTCTCCACGCAGCTGCGTCTTGCCATCAAGAAATGGCTGCAGCAGCAGCAGGAGCAGCAGCATCACCACAGGCACATACATCGGGGGACCGACGATTCTTATCCAAACTTCAGACCACGAACAACCCCTTTTCCCACAGCGCAAACCCGAGCCAGCCCGGCACGGCGCAGGAGCCGCCCGGTTGTTATCCACTGCAGAAGCCGAGCCCGTTCCGCCTGTCGTGACGCGCACCGATCGACCCGCGGCCGCGTGGGCGACGACGTGGTGACGCCGTTGTCCTCACGGCGTACTGACCGACGTCACACACGATACAGATGCGTCGTCAGCCCTGCCCCCACCCCCCCCTATTGGCACTGAGCCAAAGATTCAGAATGTCTTGTGAGGCCACAGCTTCAGGGTTTGTGTTCTGGCTCGGCTCCAGCAAAATAGCCGGTGGGCGCAAAACCATCCGTTACACTGCCGAGGGCTTTGTGGCTCGGGTGGCGTTCAGAAGGTGCCAACGGAAAAGGGGTAAAAGCATGGGCCAGCCTAGGCCGTGCACAGGCCGTACGTACCCAGGCCGTGCGTTGGCCATATGTACCCAGGCCGTACATAATTATGCTGTGGCCCACATCCGTGCAATTCATTAACTTACTTTCCCCCAAGCGGAAATTTTACGCGGAAAAGAATTGGGGCAGAGGCCGATGTCGGCGCGCAATCGCGACGACGGGCGAGAGCTCGCCCCCTCGCGAGGCCAGTGGGTGTGGGATGAATTTCTCGCATTCGAGAAGTGACCTTGACATAGTTGGGATGGACAGCAGTGACACTCGCCAGCCAAACACGGCAGGCACCTCTGTAACAATGCCAAAGATTTAGCCATTGAAGCCTCCGTGAGTTTCAGGGCTTGTTTAGGTGGGACGCTGCTGCATTATTGTGTGTTTGGCTTCACGTGGCAGAAAACCAGCGTATCCAGAGGAAAACCCACCAAGCGTGCTCAGTGGCGACACTCAATACTGCCACCTCCTGGCCACTTTGCAGCCTGAGCCTACAACACCTGGCAAGCCCCTGGTGGTCACTGCTCCCCGTGCTCACCAGGCTCGAACCTGCTCGAGCTTCTGCGATCGGTGCAACGTCCGTAGGCATCGCTACACGTCAGTCCGCGCGGCTCGTGAAATCGCGGAGAGTTTCGCTTCACCTGCGATCGCAAACCTCCGTAACCGCCGAGTCTTACCGTAAACAGCGGACCCGTTCATCCCGCCGCCAATTCAAGGGCTTTCGAAAGCAGGCTCATTGGCAAAACGACACCCGCCAGAGCCGCGACCTGAGCACGCATTTGCCGCGGCAGCCCTTCGACGGAGGGTTGAACCGAACCCATCGATCAGGAGCCAAGACACTTCGATCGGCGTCAGCCAAAAATTTATCCATCGAGCGCCGCACGGAACCCACAAACACGCGTGTGCCGCGCTCCGGTAAGGATGGCATAAGCGCCGCCGCTCCTTTTTTCTCTCCTTCCCCGCGGCGGTGGGCCCCCAGGGAGCGGCGGGGGCAGCTTCGCACCCCGTCTTCCGAGCTCCCCCATCGCCCAACGATCATTGGCACTTCCACACGAACACGCTGCGTGGAGAGAGAGAGACAGAGGACGAGGGGTGGGGGGGGGGAAATGGGCACGCAGGATTCATATTCTTAGGTTTTTTCGGTAAAGTCACGTAGGTAAAAAAAAAGGCACGCAGGATGTCTCGGAACTCGTCCACGCCACGCCGGAGATGAACTGCTTTCCATGGCTGAGTGAATGTGTGCGGAATCCGCGGGAAAACCGAATCAGGTCCAGTGAATAGTTTTAATAATAATGAAAAAATATATGTACATGATTACATTTCAGCAAATTGTCAGTCCACTGCTGGATGACAGCCTCTATGCTCCATGCGGGTCATGGGAGTTGTTTGACCATACCTCACCACGCTGGTCAGTGCGGGTTGGTGATGGGTAGTGGGTGGGTGGGGGGTGGGGGCAGGAACTGCTCAGGTATCACTCGCACACTGATGTGAACTGTGACCCGGGATCCAACTCAGGTTGGCGGTTTCATAACGCAGTGCGGAAAACACTGCCATTGCTCCACCTCCGTGTAATAATAAAAACAACCTGCATTTTATAAAGTGCCTTTCATGTTGAAGCATCTCAAAGCGCTGCACATAAAAATAAAACTACACTCACAAGTAACGATGAAATCTAAGCGAAATAGAAAGCTGATAATAACAATATCAATGACTACTTTGAATACGAAGAAATAAGGGTACTTCTGTACACAAAGGCTAGCACCTGAATCCAGTGAATTAAACCCTCAATAATCCTATCCCGCAGCTATAGCGTACAGGACACGCGCGGCGGTGCGTGTCGAACCCATCACTTTGCAGGCAGAGGTCGGCGGATCACTGGACTGTTGTAAAACTCCCAAGAGCATTGTGCTGCGAGTGAGATAGCCTGGAGATGGCAGTACAGCAAGTGGGGTGATCATCGCACTGCGCTATGAGACCCGGCAATCCCACTTCCCAGTCCCGCTTAACATCAGCGGATAAGTGGTGATATCTTAATTAACTCGAATCAAGGCCATCCCTAGGTCAACTCAGCCTTAAGTGAGTAGCTGGTGCGGTGTGTGAACATCGGCAGGCGTGGTGCTGGGCACACCACCCACTCATGCTCCAGGGCCCTGCGAGTGTGGCCACAAATCTCAAACCATCGGCCAGGGGGAATGGACGAGATCCGCTCTGCTTCGCAGCAGTCAAGTGGAGTGGATAACAAATCTACAGCGACGTCTTTAATCTGCTGTTGTCAATCCACACGGAGGTAGTACAGAATGCTCCGGACCGGCGTGAATAGGTGGCGAGTCGGCTCGGTGCTCGGGGAAGGGGGGTTATTTTTTATTTTTGTGGACGAGGGTACCTGCTGTCCTGGCCTCCTGCCGTGAGCAGGAATCGATCTCCCTGGGAGAAGCGCACGGCCGTCACGTGCAGCGAGTGGCCGGTAAACCGCTTGTGTTTCGTCTGCACACGGAGACAGCGGCATGGCGACCTCGCGTAACCGCGCCGTCGGTGGTTTCAACGAGCCGATAATTGGATGCTGACGTACGACCGCGTGGGTTGTCGCGTTCGTGCTGCCGCGCGGCGGCTCTCTACGACGCAGCGGCTTTTACCCGAACACGCTCCCGGCACGCGGACGTGAGCCACGTGGGTTCGGCGCGAACATTGCGAGGTTCCCCGATGATCCCGTTCGACGTCGTCCCGCTCTGGACGAGAACGCGAGCCCGGCACGCGCGGCCAGGAAGAAACGTCGGGACAAAGTCGCGCGGAGCGAACACGAGCGCGCGGGGGACGGCAGGGGGGCGGGTGGGGTGGGGGCGTGACGCGACGCGGGAGCTCACGAATCGCTCTTGGCACGGGAAGTCGAAGAGTTTGACGAGGCCGAAGTCGTCGCCGGTGGCGACGGTGAGGCCCGAGTGGGAGACGCTCGCGCAGTTCACGTTGCACTTCTCGGCGTTGCGCGGCCAAATTCCGAGCACCTCCTCACCCTGTGTGCTGCTCGGTCATCGCACGCAGACAAAGACGAAGGATTTCCCCCCCCACCCCCCCCCACCATGTAGCCTAAAACTAATTTCTTTAGAACTGCTTTTGTTGTGTTTAGTGTTGTTGTCTTTCCCCGCACCGCCCCCGCACCACCGATAAGTGCGGTTGGCTACATACGGTGCGAAAGAAGTTTAACATGCGTACCTAATTAGGCATTTGTCTCCCCAGCGGCGATGTTTACACACCGCACCGGGTACTTATTTGAGGCTGAGTCTACCTAAGGAAGGCCCATGACCGGTTCAGATAGACCCAAATCGAATTCGGGGTGCCGGTTTCAAAGTGCAGCGCGCAAACCGCTACACCACCGCTCCCCACACACACACAGACACACACACAGACACACACAGACACACGCACACACACACACAGACACACACACACAGACACCCACACGGACACACAGACACACACACAGACACACACATAGACACACGCACACACACACGCACACACACAGACACACACACAGACACACACACAGACACACACACACACACAGACACGCACACAGACACACACACATAGACACACACACACACAGACACACACACAGACACACACACGTACCAGGTCCAGGACGCCCAGGTGATGCGGTCGACTACGGTCTGCTCTGGCACGGGTTTCCCCGTCGGCACCTCGTACACGACGCGCCGGTACGCGCCCGTCGAGACCTGGTGCAGCGTGCCCACGGCGGGGGGCGGGGGGGGGGCGGGGGGGGGGCGGGGGGCGCAACGCTGCGGCACACCGTCAACACGCGGGGCGTCGGGACAACTCAACGGCGCCGCCATCGACCGTCGGGGCCGAGTTGACCTAGGGGACTGAGCGAGCTACGAGCCGCCCCCAGCGGACTTGCGCATGTCCGTTGAACTTGTGGGGAGCGGTGGTGTAGCGGTTAGCGCACTGCGCTTTGAAACCGGCGACCCGAATTCGATTCCCGCTCACGGCCAGCACCGGTGGCGAGTATTTGAACCGGTCCTGGGCCTCCCCTAGGTCGACTCAGCCTCAAATGTGTATCTGGTGCGGTGTGTAAACATCGCCGCTAGGAACACAAAGGCGGCCGGGGCGTGGTGCTGGCCACCCAACCCTTCGTGTACCGTGGCCGGCCTTCGTAAGGCGCTCGCTTAACAGCGCTCGCCCCAACATTCTGCTCATGTACGTACGTTGAGCTTCTTTCGCACCGTACGTAGCCAACCAACCGCGCCAATCACAGTCCCCCCCCCTCCCCGGCCTCCCCGCGGAGCCGGGGGGGGGGGGGCCGCGCGGAGCTCACCTGGATGTAGCGGCCGTCGGCGGAGAAGTCGAGCTGGATGACGAAGCTGGGCACGTCGCGGCAGTAGCCGACGCGCGCCAGCGAGGGGCCCTGGGAGAGGTCGTAGAAGTCGACGGCGCAGTCGCACGAACCGACGGCCAGGTAGCGCGAGTCGGGGCTGAACCTGGCTCCGCGCTCACGCAGACGCACACGCGCAGGCTAAGGCGACGTTACGGGCGGCTAGGGCTCGTGCCGTTTACGTGAGCCGGTGCAGCGCTGGGCCGGCGGTGGGGCCGGCACCACGCCAAGGCCGACCGCCTCCCCCCAAAAAAGCGGTTCAGACATTCGCTACCGACGTTGGCCGCGGCCGGGAACGGGAGCCAGGCGTGTGCGCAGCGCGCCGAACCGTTGCGTGGAACCGCTCCCCGGCTCGACCCACGCTCCCCGGCTCGACCCACGCTCCCCGGCTCGACCCACGCTCCCCGGCTCGACCCACGCTCCCCGGCTCGCTCACCTGATGTCCTGCACGGCCGACTTGCGGTCGCGCTTCTTGCCCCACACCTTCATGGAGGCCACCACCAGGAGGATGAACTCGCCATTCTCCAGGCCGATGGCCACCATGTCGCCGTCGGGGCTGTACGCCGCCGAGCGCGCCGCCTGCCCGAGGCTCACCTTGTTGACGGGGCGCTGGGGGCGACGAGGGGGGGTGGGGGTGGCGGCGGTGGGAGAGAGGTTTTTGGGAGTTAGTGGAGTCAGTGGCACGACTATCGAGTGTGCAGGCGGTATGACTGCACCGAGACCCGCGGGTTGGAGGAGGCCAGGCGCCAGGCTAAGGAGAGGGGGAAATTGAACAGGGGACGTCGCTCTCATCGACTGTAGAGCTCCAACGGTGTCAGGGATCGGAAGCCGAGTTCTGTGTTTGACCCGTGTAATTGTTATTAGAGTCGCATCGTCGCGTAAGTGAAATGCCAATGTGCGTCGTACGCGTCCTGCCGGTCTCGTGAAACCCGAATCGGTGTCTACGGTCTCCATTCTGCTCGCAGCCGATCCGACAGCCACGTCAGAGTATCAATTCATCGATGGTTAATCGGCGTGTCGATTCATTAGCCAGCCAAGTCATCCAACTGGTGAGTGGAGCGTCGTGTGAAACGCCACCCCCCCCGTTTTGTTCGATTGGCAAACGTCTGCATGATCGGTGGACGATTCGCTCCGAGCCCGCTCCGATCGTATATTAGTACCCACCCCGTGCTGTGCGTGTGCCCCCAACCTCCCCCCCACCCCCCCGGGGCACCCACCGCACCTTGTCCGCAATGTCCCACATGCGCACGGTGCCGTCGTCGCTGGCCGACACGGCGGCGTCGCGCGACGGGTGGGCCGCCAGCCCCCAGATGGGGCCGCGCGTGTGCCCGCTCATCAGGATGTTGGAGGCCGCGTTCTTCTCGCCGACCTCGATGATGTCACCGTCGCGCGTGCCCACCAGGATCTTGCCCTGAGCACGCACGCGGGCACGCGGGGCAAGGCGAGGATCGCGGGTGTGGCCTCGCGTCGACCGCTGGGGCGAGCGTTGCGAGCTCACGTAGGCTGGCGTGGCACCGCGAAAGAGTACGTGGTTTTGGGGTATTTACCCAATTTTTTATGGTTTTGCGGTATTTTTTAAGTTTTTTATTTTTATTTATAGTTTTTTTTTCGTTTTATTTATTTTTTTCGTGTTTTTTTGGTATTTTTCGGTTTTTAGTGGTTTTGGGGTAATTTTTTCAGTTGTTAGTGGTTTTGGGGTATTTACCCAATTTTTTATGGATTTGCGGTATTTTTTCAGTTTTTTATTTTTATTGATAGTTTTTTCGTTTTATTTCGTTTTTTCGTGCTCGGCCGAGCTTTAAACACCCGCGCGGTGACGTTCACGCACCACACCGGAAACTCATTTCAGGGCGAGCCGACCTAGGCCTGGGCCCAGGACTGGTTTTCGGATATCGCTCGCCGCTGATTTTGGCCACGGCCAGTAGTCGAATTCAGGCCTCTGGTTTTGTAGCACAGTGCGCTAACCACTATACCACCGCTCAAAAAAAGAGTCGAAGTTCCCCCCTTATAGCTGTGTAGACGATTAGGGCAGGTGCTGTTAGCGAGCACCTAGTGAGGCTCCCTATACGCATACATACATATACACCAACAAAACACACACACACAGAGGCACGCGTAAATCTAGAGGCCTGATCGTCAAAAAGAGGCTATTGTTGGGAGATTTCCGATTGGCGATGAAATCGGGAACGTTGTTACCTTTCCCCGGCAGACGGAGCGTACGCAGTCCAGGAGCTGCCCAGTCTCCAGCTGGAAGGCTCGGCAGCGTTTCATCTCCTGGTCCCACAGCTTGACGGCGCCGCCCTCTTTGCTCCTTGATGGAGGGGGGCGACAGGCGACGGGGCCAGAGTCGGGGATGGACGCGAGAGGACGGGCGACGGGGCCGAACCACGGAACGGACCGACGCGTCGGGAGCGGTGGGAGACCGGAGGCACGGACCGACGGGGGTTCGTGCCGGCTGGTGGACCGGCCTGTAGGCCGAGCGGACCGTCGCACTATCGACTCACGGGCGCTCCTTCCCCCCGGTGACGATGAGGCCGTCCTTGAGCGTCGTGTACATGGAGAACACGGGGCCCGTGTGCGCGCGTGCCACCAGGCGCACCAGCACGTGCTCGCGCCACACGTACACGTCGCCGCTCAGCGAGCCCGTGAACGTCAGGCTGTTCTGCGGGTCACGGGGGGGTGGAGGGAATGTGGAGCAATTGGAGAGAGATTGGGATGAGGTAGAGTGGGAGGTGTGTGGAGGAGAGGGATGGGTAAGAAAGAGGGTGGGATGTGGGGGTCAGGCACAGAGAGGCGTTACTGTTATCATCAGCGGTTGGACAGGAGATGAAACACCGTTGACGCACAACTGAAAGTTCCTTTGGAAGTGAAACTCGAGCACGGAGATCGAATCGACCGCATTGTGCCCCCGCCCTCCCCTCCCCATCATCTGCACCATTTAACATCACCGATGTTAGGTCATTTGTCCGGGAGACATGCTTTGGGTTTAGTTGTGTGGCCCCAGTTAAGATTTATCAAATGTAAAAAACCTTGCCCAACGCAGCTGTATTGATCGCGCGTTTTGGCTCTACGCGTTTGATTTGCGACTGTGCTAAGACCACCACCTCTGCACTTGAGAACGCGGTTTAATCACGGGACACTCACACCCGGAATTTAAACTCAGGATCTCAGCGGTGCTGGCTCAGTGTCTCTGACACGGCCATTAGGAACGTGCTGAGCCACCGAGCCACCCTGAAGTGAATTATATTACCTAACTCTCCATGGTAAGTCACCCTGATGTGATCTTTGACATGTCAAGATTACATTTTCCTGCATGCCCCAAAATAACCATTCCACGATTACGAACTCCCCGTGCTTCATCATCGACCTCACAGTCACTGACCCCCCCCACCATCCCCCCACCCCCCCACGACCCCCACCATGCCCCAACCCCCCCCCACCACCCCCCTACCCCCAACACGCCCCCACCACCCCTCCCCACCCACCACCCCTCCACCAACCCTCCCACCCCTCCACCAACCCCCCCACCCCTCCACCACCCCCCCCACCACACCTCCACCACCCCCACCACCACGCCTACACCACCCCCCCCAACCCCCCCACCACCCCCACCATGCCTCCACCACCCCCCCACCATCCCCACCACCCCCCCACCACCCCCCCCACCACGCCTCAACCACCCCCACCACCACGCCTACACCGCCCCCCCACCGCCGGTAATCCCCACGGCGGCTGTCGTTGCACTCACAGCCCCAAAGGCGAGCGACAGCATCGTCTGCACGCGGGCGCCCTCGACGGGCCCCAGGACGCCCTTCTTGGCGAGCAGGACCCCGCCCGCCAGCGTCCAGAACTTGACGCTCTTGACGCCGGCGGTGACGAGTTGCGAGTCCGAGTCCGGGCGGAACTCGGCGGCGAACACCCGCTCGCTGTGACCCCCTCGGCTCGACACTCGCGCGCCTAGCGGATAGGTGAGATACAAAATTGTTTAGTTTGACGTGTGTGTGTGTATGTATTTGTTTACCCTTTCTATACTTTGCACTGCTATCTCGTTTGTTGCTGTGACGTTCTGATGCAGTGCCCCCCAACTGGACATCTGTGAACATGAGCTTCATAGTTCGTTGGATTCCTCCAGTATAAATAAAGATTCTGATTCTGCTACAGGAGGTCGTGGGGTCGTTCCCGTCCCTGACGCCTGCTGTATATTTGGAGTTTGCGTGTCTCTCTTCCCGCGCTTGGAGTATTTGGCTGCTATAAATTTCCACGCGATGAGCCACTTTGTTGAGCTATCATTTGTGGCCAGGTCGTTTCTGAAAAAGAGCTACAGTTTAGTAGTAGCTTGAGTGTGCCAACCGTGCTAATCAGAGTTGCGGTTGTAGCGTATCGATTGCACGTGTTTGTAGCGTATCGAGGTGTGATTGTAGCGTATCGATCGCCCGCGTGAGGTGTGTGTGTGGGGGGGGGGGGGTGTCTCTCACCCTCCTGCCAGCGCCACACGGTGAGCGTGTGCTCGGGGTCGGCGCCGACGCTGACGAGGAGCCGCCCCGTGGCGCTGAACCCCACGCCGCAGACGGCACGCGCGTGGCCGCAGCGCAGCACGGCCAGCGTCTGCTTGGAGGTGGCGTCCCACACGTGCACACTCGGCACGGCACCTGCACGCACGCACGCGCGCACGAGCTTACACACGTGCGCACGCGTGTCTTCACGTACGTTGAACTTCCTTTGCGCCGTACGCCACCGACCGTGCCAATCGGAGGTGCGGGGGAAGGACAACGAACTCTACAAAAAGCAGTTCTAAGTAAATTGTAGTTTTTAATTTAGATTTAAAAGTGCACAGCTCTAGTAGCTTCCGAATGTCAGAAGGCAGAGCATTCCAGACGGCCGCAGAAGCGCGTATGAAAGCATGCGACACGGTGGTCGTCTGTGTTCGATGGCTTGCAATCGAACACGTACATGGACATGCACACGTGTACACGCAAAGATCCCCCGTCGAGTCTGTTAGCGAGCACCTATGAAGGTCAGCACGTTACACAAGGGGGTCGGTGGCCAGCACCACGCCCGACCGCCTTTGTCTCCCCAGCGACGATGCTTACACACCGCACTAGGAACTCACTTCAGGCTGAGTCGAACTAGGGGAGTCCCAGGAATAGTTCAGATAATCATCACTAGTGTTGTCCGTGAGCTAAAATTTAACTCGGGTTGACGGGTTCGTAGCGCAGCGCGCTAACCGCTACACCACCGCTCCCCTTACACAAAGACAAAAATCCCCCCGTATAGCCTTGACAGACTGTTGGGGCAAGTGCTGTTGGCGAACACCTATGAAGGTCCCATAACAACAACCGCCATTCGCCACTAAGTGGCAGTGACGTCACCACGGCGCTTGTGCCAGGCTATGTGCACGTTAAGGCCCACACACACACACAGGTACATGCACGCGATTGCACGCAAGACAAACACACGCACATTCATAGATACGTTCCAACGCCACTGCTGGTGCTGCCACCGCAGACACTACGTCGCACACACGTGGAGTGTGCGACGCGTAGTCCAGACGATGCAAAGTCAGCGTCGAATTTGACCATTCGTGTTGAATGAGCAAATGCCCCATGCCATGCACGCACACACCGGATCGAGCGTCTACGACGTACGAGGTGGCGGTCAGTACCGTTTGAGAACTTGGATATTAAAACTTGGCCCATTGTGGGCAACCTCGCCAATGGGCCATGGAAAAGGGCCGTTGCCCGAAACGTCACCGAATTTACATTTTATCTAAAATAGGCCAACGCAGTCTAATTGACAAATGTGTGGAGTTAGTTGTTTGTCGTTGTTTGTGCTTCTTGCACCACTGTACCAACACAGTGTCACCAATTAAAATGCTCACCTTGCCGTGATATAACAAACTTTGAACTTATTAAAATAAATCTTATAGTCACTTCATTCAAAATCAATCGTATTATGGGATATATGTATATTTTAGCTACGGCGTACTCTACTGGACTATAAAAAGTGGCAAGAATGAAATGAAACACGGTCTGTGCATTTTTCAATATCTGGTTTCACAAATGGCTGACTGCCCCACAGGTATATATATATGTGTGTGTTCAAATATACAAACACGCATGCACATTCCACTGATGTCCTATTCTCATCGAAGTTATGTTGAAGGACCCTGCGATGATTAGGGAGGTGGTACGATGCGGTGCGATTCGGTACAACCGCGCCCGATTCAGAAGCCCACGCTACACAGACAACGCACCGAATCGTTCCGTTCATCGACGTCTCAGAGATGTTAGCCAGGACAAGGAATGGCACGGTGAATTCATCGACTGGACAGTTGAGAAAAAAAAGAGCTTCACAGCTCTTCGGATTCCTCCAGTGGAAAGAAATATTCGTCTTCAGCTCGCCAACCCCTCGCCGCCCGCCCGCTCGCCCCCCCCCCCCCCTTTAGACAAGACCACGCTGCTGTCTACGATCTTCTTGCTCGTGTGTGCCGAGCAGACATTGCTCGCATCCGCGTTGAACTGGGCTCTCAAGTGCAGTGAGTGGATGGTCTCAGCCCGGACCGCAGAGAAAGAGGGGAAAAAAACTATCAGGTCAACAAACTTGGTCTAGGGAACTTCATTTGGCCACATTTCAGCACCGAGCATGAAGATTGATCAGATTGGCCGCCATGTGATGGACATTGCTTTCTGTAGCAGGGTGAGAGGGAAAGTGTTACCGCCTCTTTCACTTTAGAGGGATCTCAGAGGTAGTTCTGTGATATCTACCTCTCTGGACCGGTCTCTCGCAAGGGAGTACTGGACTGCCCCACGAAAGATCAGAAGGCATACCTCACCTCGTGGTATGATGCCGATAACACAATCGGTGAAATAAAATTGGGGGAAAAGTGTACGCATGAACTGGTGGGCGAGTCGGCAGGTGGATGAACTGGTAGACATCGGAATACGACCATCTCGCATAGCGGTGTCCATGAGGCGGTCGTTGAACGGCGATTACTGAACCCTACCGCTGGCTTGCTCTTCACTGGCACGAGTGCAAATCGAGACGGGGGGCAAAGCCTCTGCCGCTTGTGGACTCAAGATCAGCCCCATTGGCACGCGGGGCATGCATTGTTGTTTTCTCCGAATCGGCAACAAGCACAGGGCATTGTAGACGACCAGGCGAGAGCGAACGGGCCGATGTCCGCGCAGTAGAGAAGGCAAGATGCGGCCATGGAACCCACGTTACCTGCGGCCCTCTCAACCTGCAATATTCCTTCTGGTAAATGGGATTTGCGGAAAAGACCGACAGGGATAAGAGGCGGCCCCCTTTCTCCGTGGTTATGATCATGAATCCAGACGAATCCACGAAGGCTCACTCTTGCAGATGTTGGTTGCACTTTAAGAGCACACGGCACGCACGGGCAATAGGTGAGTGTTGATTCACAGACCCAGCGGTTAAATTGAAGAATCGGCATAATTGCTTCCAATTTAAATGGCACTCGTTATTTCTCCTGTTTGCAAAGTTTTTTCCAAACCGTTCTCCTAAATGTTAACATTAGCATATAATTTGCCGAAACTTAATAAAAAAAAAATTCGCACATGCACGATTCGGTGTGTGTGTATCGCGAGCCAAAAATAATGTTACGTCATCAGTGAATAGACGTCTAATCCTTACATGCCTATTCATCAACAAACAAGCATTTGTCCGTAATTCTCATCTAACCACAACGCAAATCACTATCATTTTTTTTATTGGCGCTAGCTAAAGGACGACTGCGACAGCGGCGTGCAGACGGCACGTGGGGGGGGGGGGGGGGGGGGCTGTCGCCCGTCACTCGCGTGGACTCGGCGCCTAGTCCATGCCGTGACGACGACGACGTCACACGTGCAGCAGTGCCGGCCCCCCCACTCAACATCGCCCGCAGCGCACGCGGCTCCAGTCCGAGTCGGGAGCTGCGAGCCGGTCCCGGTTTTACTTTGCGCCGGGGAGCACTCTCGCGGTGTGCCGGGCGCGCACAGGGAGAGCGTTCAGCGATGATTTTGTTGCCGCACGCGAAACGACACGAAGATCCACGGAGACGATTTTAGTTTTTTTGTTTTTGGGTGAAATTGTGAACAGCCTTATCAGACATGAGTGCATCTAATCGGGATAATCATTGCTTCACTGCAGCTCAAAGACTCAGTCCCGACAAGGCGAGCGGTGAAGTTAGGAACATGTCCATGTGCTGGGCATTTGAAGGCCTGAAGACCGGAATCAGTGAAGTCGCCGACAATGTGTTCAGGGAGGCAGTTTGCGAGCACTTATTAAAAGGCTTGCCCCGAGCACGGATAAACTGGCCTGCAACTGAAGCGATCTCAGAAGTTGTTACGTGGTGTCATCTTCCAAGAAACGTGCTTCGACACAAGGTTGCTGCATTGCTCGCTGCTGAGTTATGCATGCAGATTCATTTGCCGCATTAAGTGATGTCGATTGAAAAAGTGTAATATTACTGTGGGAGGACAGGGAGGGGGGGGGGGGGGCAGCAAGCGAAACCTACATTTAAAAAAATGAATGAACGGGCAGCTGTGTTGGCAAGCCACAAATCTCGGATGAGATGTACCTCCCAGCTGGACTGGAGCCACGTTGGCAGCCTTTATACTAAGCCATGAGGGGAAACATTCTATAGGCTGGTGCATTGAAGATACTTTGATAATGAACACAATAATGATTGAGACCAAAACAATCATCCTACCGTTGGACAAGCAGTTCACAGAGACTCATGCTTGGTACAACGTGCATTGAAATGTTATATAAATAATAATTGGAAAATAAAACAACAACGCTCCTCTGGCCAAACCAAATTTTCGAAGGCGTGACAGGCTGACGGAATCCGTCGCTCGCTAACTCTATAGCCGCAACAAAGTGACGGACGCGCGTACGCCCGGAGCGTCCGAAAAAACTGAACGTCAACGGCCCTTTGAAAATCTGGTCTGCAAGGAGTGTGAGGTGGATATTCGAAGATGCGTCCGTCCATCCATCCAGGCGCTCATTAGGAGTGCCCAAGACGTTCCAGGAAAGTGATCGTAAGTGCATTGTTACCTTTTCTTTTCTTTCTACTAATATTTTTCTATCAACGTTATATAGCACATATTCTTGGTTCTTTCGGTAAAGTCACGTAGAAGGGAAAGAACAAAATAATAAAAATATTAAACAATAAAATTATCACGACGTTTCGATTGCAACACAAGCAATCGTCATCAGGTGTGAAAACCACAGCAAGAAAATTTGAAAGAAGTAGCGTTTTTTGGCTTTAAATTTTCTTTCTTGCTTGCATTGCAATCAAAACGTCGTGAGAATTTTATTGTTTAATATTTTTATTATTTTATTGTTTCCCTTCTACGTGACTTTACCGAAAGAACCAAGAACATGAATCCCTGCAGTCACGAAAGCTTTAAATCAACATTATATAGCACATTATTAAACAGCCTTTATGATTGGAAAGGCTTCCAAATAGCTGGGGAACCGAATTGAAATCGGACGTGGGATTTGAACGTGCAGTCGATCGGAGATTGAAGTCCGGTCTCGCACATCACATCTCGCTTGGTCTCAGCACCCGCCTGGCTCTGGGCGCGGGGCGATCGCCACCGAAGGTCCAACGAGGAATGCGAACGGCTTACGGAGGAGCCCAAAACGTGCACTGAACAAATCGCTGGGCGACGCCGCTGCGTTGGGCGGTGGTGCGCGAGCACGCGTTCCCTGCATCAGGAACACTGTACTCATAAAATAACAATCATATATTTATATAACATCGGTGATGTTTGGGACAAATTATCCTTCTTCATAGCGCATAGACAGATTCGACCTCTCTGGCCTCCCTGCGAAGCCACAACGAAGGGTCACAGCTTTACCGGAACGGATTGATTGGATGGTCTCAGTGTTTGAGGGCCTTCCAAATGGGAGTCCATGATTTAATTGTATTCTGTAGATTTAGCCAAGTACAATCGTAGTTTTGTTTTATATATGTGTTCAATCGTTTGTTTAACGTCAAATACGTCAAGGTATCAAAAGTCAATACACGTGCTTACGAACCAAGAATTTGTTCAAAGCAAATTTGCAACCATAAAAACGAGCGCGTATTTAACTGTAACAACGCACCTGCCCTGCGCTTCTTGGGCTCACTTGGCCATTGCTTTAAAGTCGGTTTTTCTCGTTAACAAAAGTTTCAAACTCACGACAGACAATCCCAGGACGCGCAAGCACAGGCGTTCATCCACAAATGAACGCGGCCATTGCGCTTATTTTTAGGGTTGCGTAAATTTCTTGAAAACAATTCTCAAAAAATTAACCCGTAAAAACAAAGTTTTTCTCTATAAATCCTTTATATGCGTGGCATCGGTTTTATTTTATTATTCATTTCTGTTTTTCTTGAGTAAGAGTTTCATTTTTATCACATTGGTATTTTAAATTAAATATGATTTTTTTTCCCCTAAAAAGTGGAAAATTTTGGAAAATGTTTTTCACGAAAATAAATTGTCACGCACAACGAGTCTGTGTGCAAAATGTCAGCTCGATTGGGTTAAAAAACTACCGAAAGATTTGCACGGTCGTAAGCGCACAAGCAAGCACGCAAGTGAACTTAATATAAAGGATTTCAAAAATTGGCCCCTTCAACCGCGCGGCGCAATCGAGCGTGAAAATGCATAGCAATCAACGGGCGTGGGTCCACGAGCAAGCCACGAAAGCTCTTACCTGCCATGTCAGTGATATCACCTGCGCAGCGGAAAGCGACGGCACAGCATCGAAATGGGGATGTGAGGTGAGCGTAGAGAGAGGGGGCAAGAGAGCATGGCGATGGGGAGGGGGCGGGCGTCACACGTAAAGGAGGGGGGTGGGGTAGGGGAGAAGGGCGTGACCAGAGTAGTTCAGGGGCAATCGAGGAAATGGGTCCAGGCGGTGCAAGGGAGAGGTTCACGGGGTTGAAGGTCAAAAGGCCGGGATGATGGTTGATGGGGATGGAGTGGCACGGGGCGGTGCGAGAGGTTCCGTGATAGAAGCGAGGAAAGGGAAATGATCAGCAGGAGAGGGGGGGGAGCACATTAATGAGATTCTCGAGTCACAGAGCGAGCGGGGAGCCAGCAGGGGTGGGAAGGGTGGGGGGGGGGGGCAGTGCATACGACATTGTCACGGGGGAGGGGGGGGGGTTAAGTTAGTTCAGTTTATTTTACTCAACCAGGTGAGAACTCAAGATAGCAGGAGAGTCTCATTTGCATGAGCGACCGGGAGCATCGGTCTACCAGCACGGGGGTTGACGATTGCTGCTGCTGCTGTGTGTGTAACCCCAATTACGTAACATGCGGTGTAATTATCCAATTTATGCAAAAGACGCCCACTCTGGCGAATGACGTCGGGGGATCTTTCACGTCCCCCGCGAAGCAGACGGCTCGTGGGACTGTTATGGCTGCTCCTGCTCCCGCAGTATTAATCGGGGCGGCCACTGGATTCGAGTCGTCGACCTCTACCCATGGGCCACGTCACCGCCACGTGGGGGGCGGGCGGCGATGGAGTAGGGGGGGGTAGTGGGGGAGGGGGGGGGGCTAACACGGACACGGCAGAAGCGGGGGTGTGCGATGTCGCGATTGGTTGGGGTCCCGGGCGGTGGCAGGGCCGGCGGGGGGGAGGGGGAGGGGCGAGTGGCAGCACCGGCGACGCACGTCGGAACACGACGACCTCCCGTAGCGCTCGCTCGCTTCTGCCCGGTACTTGGCCAATGAAGCGCACAATACAAACAAAGATCCCCTCGTGTAGCCTGAACAGACTGCTGCTGGGGCAAGTGCTTTTAGCGACCACCTATGAAGGCCGGCACGGCGCACGAGGGGGTGGGTGGCCACCACCACGCCTTTGTCTTTCCAATTTGGCCTTGTTTTTTCACACTCAATTTAGGCCGAGTCGACCCAGGGGAGGAAGAGAAGCGGTTCAGATAATCAGCGCCGGTGTCGGCCGTGAGCGGGAATCAAACTCGGGTTGCCGGGTTTGTAGCGCGGCGTGCTAACCACTACACGACCGCTCCCCACGCAATATATCCGCACGCACACGCGCAGTTAACATGTGAATAGGCCCAATAGCACAATCATCGAACTTATATGAAGCCGGGCGATGGAAATGACCCGAGCCGTGGCCTCCTTCACGAGCGTGACGTGGGTTGAACCGTACGGAACGCTTGAGACAGATGTCGGCTTTCCATCGCTCCACGCGGGTTCGCTTGGTGCGATTTTGCTCCGTCTCTACGGCTGACCCAGGGGTCGGCAGCCTGTGGCTCCGGAGCAGCGTGCGGCTCTTTAGGGACCGCTTCGTGGCCGTTGTTTATTAAGGGCCACCACCGTCTCGCGTTCACCACCACCGTGCATTGCGGCTCTTGAAATATCGTTTTTTTTTTTTTACCGAATCCGAAAAATAATGTCTCTTCTTGTTGTTTTGGTTGCCGACCCCCTGGGCTAATCTATTTCTAGCCCAAAGTTCTCCACGTGCAGTTCGAATTCACGCTACGTGCGGCTATGCGGTCGGCACAACATTGCCCGTGTTTACCGTACGCGCTACTCGCATGGTGCAGTGCAACTGTGGAACCTGCTGCGCTGCCCACTGCTGGCAACGTAGCCCCACGGCAGCCTATAGCACCTGTTTTGTTCCAGTGATAAGCCCATCCGAGCACTCGCTAGGCTCGGCTCTTCCTAGCTTCCGAGATGAAACCAACTTGGTAAGATTAAGTTCAATATGGCGATTTCCCTCTCCTCCAAAGGGGCTGCTTAATTAAACCGTTGCATTAATCCCACAGCGGTAACATCCCGCGTGCCCTTTATCAGAGGCGCCCACACTCTGGAGACTCGGCGCTCTTCGGCGAGACAATCAGCGGCTTGAGCGGGAGACTCACGTCGTCTCCGCTGAGACCGACGTCGCCCAACCGCTCCGCCGCCCGTGCGCCCGTATTAACCGTACCCACCACCAAGCACAAACCTTCAGCCCTTCATCCCCCCCCCCCCGTATAATCAAGGCTGTCTCCGCTCTCTCTCTCGTGCCGTACATCTCTCATTATTTCTTGAAGGTCATTTGGCTGAAATGTCAAAAAGATTCTTTCCCATTCGGTGACGGTAATCAGGTTTTTTTTTATAATATATATTAACCTGTTGTTCATTGTGAAAGTTAATTTGGTAACGGCTTGCTATGTTACGCAACTAGAGCACAGCTGTCAATATTTGTGTTCTTATCAATGCAATAACCTTAGTCGTTGGTAAAATATAATCGTTTACAGCCCTTTGCCAATCCACTTCTGGATGAAGGCCTCCTCCTCATCACACCCTTCACAATGCGGCTTGTTTGAGAATTGGATACAAGTTTGGTGAAGTGGGCAGGAGCCAGAAACCGCAACAGATATTGCTCACCACTCACGTTAGCCGTGGCCGGTCGTTAAACTCGGGGTCGCGCGTGGGGGGCGGGGGTTCAGAGCGCCGTGTGCTAACCACCACCACCACCACCACCCCAGCTGGCCGAGTTTAATTGGCAGTTCTGAGAAGTCTGCTTCAGCAGTGGTTGACTCGCCGCCCTGCGAACGTTTCCCAACGAACCAATCAACGACGTGACGAGGGAGGCCGACTTCAAGGGCGGGGGGTGGGGGACAGGCGGATGGGGTGGCAGAGAAGAAAAATTAACCCGTAAAAACAAAGATTTTCACTATAAATCCTTTATATGCGTGGCATCGGTTTTATTTTATTATTCATTTCTGTTTTTCTTGAGTAAGAGTTTCATTTTCATCACATTGGTATTTTAAATTAAATATTATTATTTTTTTCCTAAAAAGTGGAAAATTTTGGAAAAAAATTTTTCACGAAAATAAATTGTCACGCACAACGAGTCTGTGTGGCAAATGTCAGCTCGATTGGATCACGGGAAGTGGGTTAAAAAACGACCGAAAGATTTGCACGGTCGTAAGCGCGCAAGCAAGCAAGCAAGTGAACTTAATATAAAGGATTTAAAAAGCGATCCGGGCCGAGATGTGGGTGGTGCCACAGAGGGTGTGGGTCGTACCGATCTGCCCGGTGGCTACGACGTTCTTGAACTTGGGATGCTGGTTGACGGTCAGGCAGAGGATGTCATCCGTGTGCTCAAGGTAGAAGCTCTGGGAACCTGGGCGACAGTAGAGCACGCGGGTCAATCACTCCGTCACCTAATAACTATTGAAACAATTTTCATTTGACTAGGAAGGGGCTCACTGAGCTCTGTAGCGCTTCTTAAGAAGCGACCTGGCCCACAAATGAGAGGTCAACGAAGTGGCTTATTGCGTGGAAATTTCTAGCAGCCAAACACTCTAAACATAGCTCTGTTTACATTTAAAATAAAGCATATCTTGGTTTATATATATTTTATTGACAATTGATTTCTTAATAGTTTCAGATTTATTGTATTTTTATACCTTAAATGAAGATACACATGGCTGATTTTGATCGCAATAACAATAAAATGTAAATAATAATGTGTGTATCTTGGAATACTATATTTTGGGCCAAGGTGTTAATTATATATATATTAATATATATTTTAAATCCAGCCACCACTAACATCAATACCATACAGTGAGTAACATTAAAACCATTAAAGGTCTATTTGTGGAAGGAAAAACCGGAGGACCCAGAGACAAATCCACGTGACCACGAGAAAAGAGACATGGCAAACTCCAAATATGCACACATCAGGGTGGGGCTCGAACCCAGGCGAGGTAGCTAACATCTCGCCACAGCGGTGGCGAGGCGTTGTCAGCCAAACCTGTTGTCCTTCCCACGCGCCTCCGATTAGCACGGTTGGCTACGTACGGTGCGAGAGAAGTTCAACGTCCACGCGCAGCGCGCGTGCGCGCCTACCAGAGGTCGCAACCGGATACCCGATACCCGTACCCTACCCGATACCTGGCTACCCATACCCAGCCGGGTACGGGTACGGGTACCCGTTTGCGACCCTGGTGCGGCCGGGTACGGGTAAGGGTAGGCCGTGAGTCACTGGTGAGTAACCGTTTGTCACTCATTTCCCAACGTCTTGTCTCTTCTCACAATTCAAGTTCCTAGAATCAACCCACCCGCGCCTGCAACATGGCTTCATCCCAGAGGTCGCAATCAGGTACCCAATACCTGTACCCTACCCGTACCTGGCCGGGTAGGGTACGGGTACGGCCGGGTACGGGTACCCGTTTGCGACCCTGGTGCGGCCGGGTACTGGTACGGGTAAGGAATCAAAACCAGTTTGCGACTTCTGGCACGTACCCGTGGCGAGGTTGTGCACGATGGCCACGGATGCTGTGTGGTAGACGATGTCGGCCCCGTCGTTCAGGTAGTGGAGGTTGTTGCGGCAGTCAAAGCCGCGGTAGCCGAACACGTGCTCCAGCGTGAGGTCCTAGTTGGGGGCGGGGGGGAGATGGGAGATGGAACGGATGGGGCAGCGCCGCGATGTTCCGCTTCTGCTGCCGCTGCTTCGCCTGCGCACCACTGCGCAGGCGAAGTTAACGACAACCGAGTGAACACTTTCGTCAAAAACGCTGCGGCCTATGTAGCAGGCGACGTTTTCGGGCAATCGGCATTCTGCACAGCGCATCATTACACTGGCCGGAGAGATCATGGAGTGGATATTCCGAGTTGGAGGCTGCACTTTACACCACCTTTTGGCTAGTCATCGAACAAAGATGGTCACTGCATCGCGCACTTTCGAATGCGCTTCTACCAAAGGTAGGTGTGGTTCACGCGGACTTGATGCCTTGCAATAGGTATCTATTTGTGTTTGGACACCTTGACAGCGGGAGCTGAGTTCTCGAACAAAGCTCGCGGTTTACAGGTCGGTCTAAATTGTTATCCTCACCTATGGTCATGAGCTTTGCGTAATGACCGAAAGGATGAGATCGCGGGTACAAGGGGCCGAAATGAGGTTTCTCCGCAGGGTTGCCAGGATCACTCTCCGTGATCGGGTCAGGAGCTCCGTAACCGAGTCGAGCCGCTGCTTCTCCAGATCGAGAGGAGCCAGTTGAGGTGGTTCGGGCACCCGGTAAGGATGCCCCCCGGTAGACTCCCCATGGAACTCTACCGGGCAGGAACAACGTCCCACTGGGCGGAGACCCCCGGGGCCGGCCCAGGACACACTGGTGGGACTATGTCGCTTGGTTGGCCTGGGAATGCCTGAAAATTTTCCAGGAAGAACTAGAGTCTGTCGCCGGGGAGAGGGAGGTCAAGACCACCCTACTCAATGTGCTGTGGCCACAACCCTCACCAGGACAAGCCGACTGAGAAACGAACGAACGGTAACAAACGTTTATCTTAACACCTCCTGTGTTATCGCCAGAAAGGGTAAAGCCTCGTCGTTTTTTTTCATAATTTTGATACCGGCAAAAAAGGTCCCATATATGAATCGATGTTTTTGTTTGCTTTCAGGCATGACGTAGCGCAAAACAGAGCGTGAGATTCCACCCAAATCTATTCACGGACCAGCGGGCAGGACCGCAAGATGTTTCTAACCTCGATCGGTTTGCGTTTCTTCCCGACGTTGTTCTTCTGCACCTTGTCGGGCATGGCGAGGGAGCGGCTGAGCACTGGCCTAGTGAAACGCAAGGTACACGCACTGTCATTATTATAGTTATTAGAGCTACGACCATCATCATTATGACCATCACCGTCATCATCGGTTGTCTCGTGCGAGTAGAGTGTATGTGAAAAAAGAATTAACACGTGTCACCCTACCTGGTTCCTCTGTAAAAGAGCGTTGGCATACAAAGGATCGACTCACAGAGCGAGGCAGCGGGGGAGGCAGCCAAGCGAGAGAGGATGAGCAAATGTACACAGATTCACACAGACAGACCAAACAATGGCCAGACGGACGCATCAGAGAGACAGCCAGACACACACAAACACAGATATACAGACAGACAAACATGCAAGGAGACGCACAGGCAGCAGCATTGATGGTAAGACAGAGACAAACACAAAGACAGGACAAAGAGACCAACCAAAGACACATGTTATGCCGTCAGCCGCAGTCCAGGGTTAAGTTTAACTCCACTATGAGACGTACAAAGTCCAACAATCGATGTTTTAAGGCATTTTACACATTTACAGAATGGACGGATCATTGATCAATCGTGCATTTCAAAAGTGTAATCAACATCCTCTTACAATTTCACACATTTTCTAAATAACGACAACTATTTTTTTTACCAACAGGTGGCACTAGAGCCGATATTGGTGCGTGTGAGAACCAGAAACGAGACCAACAACAACAACTTCTTGGTTCTTTCGGTAAAGTCACGTAGAAGGGAAGTAATAAAATAATAAAAATAAAACATAATAAAATTATTCTCACGACGTTTCTCATTCTTCACCTGAGGACGGCTGCTTGCGTTGTGGCCGAAACGTCGTGAGAATAATTGTATTACGTTTTATTTTTATTATTTTATTACTTCCCTTCTACGTGACTTTACCGAAAGAACCAAGAAGATGAATCCCTGCAGTCACGAAAGCTTTAAATCGAAAAACAACAACAATGACGTGCAGAGCCGTCCGTCCCTAAGGTGGACGGCAAATCGGGGCCACTCCTCGCCGAGTCCGCCATTGGTCCGCCACGAATAAGAAGAAGACGAAGCACCACGCGTGGCTTCCCATTTTAAACGCGTCTCGACGCCGCCGTCGAAAGCGCTCGCTCGCGCGTGCAACCCGGCAACACCCACCGATCGTCCGGCGACGCCTCCTTGGGCTGCAGGTGCGGCTTGGCGCCTCCCGCCATGGGGCGGATGTTGGTGAGCGCCGAGCGCGACGCGTAGTCGCTCACCCGCTCCCGCTCCACGTCGCTGTCGTAGCCTGCGGGATGGAGGAAACCCACCCCCAGGGGCGTCATCGACGAGGAAGAAGAAGCGCCGGCGGGGAACATGAGCGGTCCGGCGCCAGCTCACGTCGGGCGTCGGTGACGGACGACGTGAACTACGTAGAGGATGCCTCTGGGGCTTATTGGTGCTGCCCCTGGGGCTCATTGATGGTGCCTCTGGAGCTTGCTGGTGCTGCCCCTGGGGCTCGTTGATGGTGCCCTTGGGGCTCGTTAGTGCTGCCCCTGGGGCTCGTTAGTGCTGCCCCTGTTGCTCATTGATGGTGCCCCTGGGGCTCGTTGATGGTGCCCTTGGGGCTCGTTAGTGCTGCCCCTGGGGCTCGTTGATGGTGCCTCTGGAGCTTGCTGGTGCTGCCCCTGGGGCTCGTTGATGGTGCCCTTGGGGCTCGTTAGTGCTGCCCCTGGGGCTCGTTAGTGCTGCCCCTGTTGCTCATTGATGGTGCCCCTGGGGCTCATTGATGGTGCCCTTGGGGCTCATTGATGGTGCCCTTGGGGCTCATTGATGGTGCCCTTGGGGCTCGTTAGTGCTGCCCCTGGGGCTCATTGATGGTGCCTCTGGAGCTTGCTGGTGCTGCCCCTGGGGCTCGTTGATGGTGCCCTTGGGGCTCGTTAGTGCTTCCCCTGTTGCTCATTGATGGTGCCCCTGGGGCTCGTTGATGGTGCCCTTGGGGCTCGTTAGTGCTGCTCCTGGGGCTCGTTGATGGTGCCCCTGGGGCTCTTTGGTGCTGCCCCTGGGGCTCATTGATGGTGCCCCTGGGGCTCTTTGGTGCTGCCACTGAGGCTCGTTGATGGTGCCCCTGGGGCTCGTTGATGGTGCCCTTGGGGCTCTTTGGTGCTGCCCCTGCTGCTCATTGATGGTGCCCCTGGGGCTCATTGATGGTGCCCCTGGGACTCTTTGGTGCTGCCCCCGAGGCTCGTTGCTGGTGCCCCTGGCTACCCCTGGGGAGCTTAGTGGTTGTTGTTGTTAATGGTGGGCCAGGGCTGCTTGGTCCTCGACCGTGCTGTGAGGTTGCTCTGTATCTGCCTCTACGGTCCCGAATTCACTTTTATGAGCGTTCTCGTGACCCCATGTTGCAGAGACCGGCAGCCATGACAGAGCCGTTAATGCTTTAAACCAATCATACGCAGACTCACGAGCAATATTCATAATTCGTTTTGTGGGCTACATCGCATATATATGCACCTCTGATTAGCACGGTTGGCTACCCACGGTGCGAAAGAACTTCTTGTACGTATGTTGAACTTTTTTCGCACCATACGTAGCCAACCGTGCTAATTGGAGGTGCGGGGGGATACAGTATATACACGTGGGTACAATAAACAAAACACCCAAGACATTACGACATCATTAGACGCCCACGGCAACCGACGAAGAGAGAGCGAGCGAGCTCGGTGGCGCTTTCAAAACGTCGGGGGGCACCTCCGTCCTCCTCGGAGTCGGTGTCGGACTCCTCGCTGTCGAGCGGGCGGAAGTCGCGCGTGCGCTCGTGCTCGTGGCTCCACAGCACCAGCGCCGTGTCGGCGCCGCCCACGCTCAGCAGCAGGCTGTCGTCGTACGCCCAGCGCACGTTGGTCACCTGACCGCTGTGTCCGACGTATTGCTTGCACCGCGCATACGCTCCCTGCAAACGTGCGGCACGGAGGGACGTGGCATGGGAGGGAAGAAGGGAGTGAGGTTACGGCAGCGCAGGGCAGAAGTGCTCGCGAGAGGTTAACTACCTCGTCTGGTATGCAGGAGGTCGTGGCTTTGATCCCGACCCTGACGCCTGCTGCTGTATATTTGGAAATAATAAAATAATAAAACATAATAAAATACAATTCTCACGACGTTTCGGCCACAACGCAAGCAGCCGTCCTCAGGTGAAGCACAGGTCTGTCGGAAATACAGCGTCAGCTGAGGACGGCTGCTTGAGTTGTGGCCGAAACGTCGTGAGAATTGTATTTTATTATGTTTTATTTTTATTATTTCCCTTTCTACGTGACTTTACCGAAAGAACCAAGAAGATGAATCCCTGCAGTCACGAAAGCTTTAAATCGAAATGTATATTTGGAGTTTGCGTGTCCCTCTCCCCGTGGTCGCATGGATTTTTTTCCGTTTCTTCCCCCAACATTCAGAATCAACGCTACATTTTTTTTGGGCCGCTATAAATTTCCACATGATGATAAGCCACTTGGTTGAGCTATCATTTTAGACAGCCAGGTCGCTTCTGGAAAAAGAGCCATACAACTGCAGCGGGCCAAACACTCGCCCACAGATTCAGGACAAGAGTAAAGCAGTTGACACCTGAATGTCGTCTCGGAATCGAATCCTGATAAAAAAAGAAATGCAAATTCACCTCTCAAATGTATCACCTCTGTCTCCCTATTCTATCATCTCACGATATCTCTTGTATATATATCTGTTCTGTCATCTCACTTTAAATGCACGAATCAAAAGGAGGGCCGCCCCCCAAAAACACAACTTGTGCTCTGGTCTACTATTACTAAGACCACTGAGCTATTAGCTCTTTTTCAGACGCGACCTGACCACAAATGACAGCCCAACCACGTGGAAATTTATAGCAGACAAATGCTCTTGAACGCATGTTTATTCTGAATCCATAGGGAAACAAACCGGAGGATCCGGAGAAAAATCCACGCGATAGCAACTGCGGTTAAAAATCAACAATAATCAGCTCGCTCTGGCAGTATCTCTGCGAAAACACGCATGCGCATTGCGCATTGCGCTTCACCGAATATTAAATGTTCAAAGGCAGCCCGAGCAGACATTACAACTCCACCCGGAGCAAAACGCTCGCCCGCTGTGCAGAGATGGCTCTCGTTATTACGCCAATTAATAATTAAGCTACCGCGATGCTCAGCATTTCCCGACCTGAGAGGCAATGTCAAATCATCCGCCGCCAAACGGCCCCACTGGGAAGAGGAGGAGGGGGGGGTGGAGCGGTTCGACTGCGATCCCGTCCCCCACATTAGCTGCTAGACTGTTGTTTTTTTCACTTATTTAATGCTATTCCCCCTTAATGACGAGCGACTAATTTCCACGCTTTGTCGGTGCTTGATCAACCGCGGCCCGCCGGGCAAAAGGTTCGGCGGCAGATTGCGCTCGGAGAGAAGTTGCCAGCTAGCGACGCCGCGTGGCGTGGGAGAGATCGGATGGAGAGTTTTACGTGGCGAGTGTGTCGGCGCAGGCCGCACGGACCAAGTTTGAATCGTTTGATTGTAGTTTGAATTGCGCGGGCGACAGTGGCACCCTTGGATTTATATGCGAGGAGTGTTTGCATCGCGGGATTGCCAAGAGGTGGCGGTGCCAACTTGGGGAGGCCTCTGTCCAGCAGTGGATTGACCATGGCTGCTGCTGATGATTAAGTAAATGCTGGATGATGGCCTAGTTTGTTGTCCTTCCCCGCACCTCCGATTAGCACGGTTGGCTAAGTACGGTGCGAAAGAATCTAGAAAAACTAAGAATAGGTTCTACCCTTTCTGGCAATAAAACAGGTGTTAGGATGTTCAAACATCAAATAGAAACCTTTTGCAAGTAATCGAGTCTGCATTAACCACACACGGTACTTGTGGTGAACATGCAAACAAACATGCTCCGATAATTCATTATAAGAGCATGTTTGTAATATAAGAATTGTCTTTGGAACTGAGTGGTCTACTCCAGAGACAGCCTTCTTTAGGGCCTAGTCTCACCAGTGCTAGACAATGCCACTATCAGGGCATTTACAGCTCGGGGTGAGCAGCGACAAAATGGGACCTTTTTGCCAAAACAAGAATAGGTTTAGCCTTCCAGAAAGGATAAAACCTATTCTTATTTTTTCATCCTTTTGTAATGACAATAGTGTCAACCTGTAGAGCGAGTGTTCTCGGGCCAGCGAGAGAGTTCGGGAATAGGGGCGTGGCCACGAGACAGGGGCGTGGCCACGAGACAGGGGCGTGGCCACGGGATAGGGGCGTGGGAATTGCGCGGGAGAGACTCGGGGCTGTTGCAGTGGGGGTCTTCGCCTGTCCGAGGGAGAGCACGTGGCTCCTTCATAAAGAAATCCTTCCCAGGACGAGTGCGTCGAAGTCGTCTTTACACTTTGATACTGACAAAGTGTAAAGAAGTCCAACATTGTGGGGGTTGTTTGCACAGACTTTGCTACACTGGTCAGTGCGGGTCGTTAAAGGCGGGGGTTATATGCCCGGCTCAGATGTTACTGGAGTTAGCCATGGCTAGGAATCCAACTTAGGTATCCGCGCAGTGTGCGGACCGCTGCAAACCACCATAATAACAAAAGTATCACTGTAATGGCAACACTCACAGCATTATTCATCAACAGTGAGAATATGTATATAGGCTCACGGTTACAACAGCTTATTCCGTCATTGCCCCTGCCATGGAAATGCGGAATTCCCAAAGGGGGCTATCCCACGACCTCCCGAATGACCTCACCAAGATAAGACGATTGAGATGCGGCCAATGGGAGCTCACGGAGAGGACGTCCACCGTGGAGGTGGAGCAAGGAACTTAGCTCGCGTGCGGGAGCTCGACAGCTTCGTCGCAGCGCAGGACCGGGACCAAAATAACGAGAGCTCGGGGAAGGCATTCATCCAGCAGCGGGATATCTTATGGCCGGCGAGATAACAATGACGACGAGGGAAAGCAACTTGGGAGGCATGGAACGTGGCAGGCAGGGAACCGCTGTTGACGTCATCGGGCGAAGGTTGTAATGGGTGGGGGACACATGCACTGGATCGAGGGCGCTAGGGAAGGCAACTTGGCAGGTTCGGAATAGAACATCTGAGCTCGTTTGATTTTCGACACGCATGGTGGCTCCGTTTCGCCAGTTGCCCGGCGATATTACACGGGAGAGCCGTGGTGCTCGAGCGTTGCAGCGGACCCTGGGGACACCTTCAGTCAGCAGTGGACAGACCCCGGCTAACTACGATGACGACGATGGTGATGAGAGCAGGCACCTTGACCGGGTACTGGAAGAGTTTGATGAATCCGAAGTCGTCGGCCGTGGCGAGGATGGAGCGGTCGCGCGACAGGCTAGCCGCGTTCACGTCCGCGCCGTCGCTGTGCGCCGCCCACACGCCCTCGCACGTGGGGCCCAGCACGCACGTCCACGACGCAAACTCAAGCCGCTCGGCCTGCACCCACGCGAGTACACACACACACACGTCCAACAACAACAACAACCGCCATTCGCCACTAAGTGGCGGTGACGTCACCACGACGCTTGTGCCAGGCCATGTGCAATTTGAGGCCACGTGAAGTGTCGAACGCCCGCTGGCAGGAGGTCACAGGGCAGACCCAGGTGCCACGGGTCGACTGACTGAGATGACTGGCTGATGCACCACCTGTGCCCCCTACTGTGCCAACTTGCTGCGATTTATCCACCCGGCGCTCCGCTCGTTGTTGTGAGCGTCGCTCCGCACGCACACACACACACGCCCACGTCCATAATGCAAACTAAAGCCGCTCGTCCTGCACACATACACACACGTGCGTACGCCAATACCAATACCCGTCATTCGCCACTAAGTGACGGTGACGTCACCAGGGTGCCTGAGCCAGGCCACGTGCACCTTGAGGTCACGTGAAGTGTCTTAAGGCTCACTGTAAGGTGGTCACGGGACAGACCCAGGTGCCATGGGTTGGCTGAGATGACTAGCAGACGCACCAGCTGTGCCAACTTGCTGTGCTTTAGCCGCCCGGCGCTCCGCTCGTTGTTGTGAGAGTCGCTCCTCTGCCCTCAGTTGTTGTTGGAGGGCGAATGCCTCCAACTGCCTAGTAGCGTCCTCACGAGCCTCGCATCCACACACGATGCTGCCGTGGTGAAACGGTCAGCATACGTGCACACACAAAAGTTTGCATACTGGGATTGCAATGGTGTCATTTTACCCAATAATAAAATAAACCCCACCCACCACCCAGGTAGCTCCGCCCACCGCCCAGATAGCTCCGCCCACAACATAGGTAGCTCCACCCACTGCATAGGTAGCTCCGCCCAGCACCCAGGTAGCTCCGCCCACCACCCAGGTAGCTCCGCCCACCGCCCAGGTAGCTCCGCCCACCGCCCAGGTAGCTCCGCCCACCACCCATGTAGCTCCGCCCACCGCCTAGGTAGCTCCGCCCACGACTCAGGTAGCTCCGCCTATTGCACTGGTAGCCCCGCTCGTTGCCCACATCATGAGCAAAGCACGAGGTCAGACATTTCTACACTCGGAACAAATTCCCGATTTTCACTCAACCTTCGGGACACTCGGACAAACAATCATTCTGAAACCACCGGGGCTGTCCCGGCCAAACCGGGACGTTTGGGAACATTAGCCCACGGTACCTCGTGCGGATGGATGTTCTGTCGCTTTCCCCGCGGCGCTTCGTAAAACAGCTGCTCCCTGGTGGACGTGTTCACCTGAATGAGCTTTCCTGCAGGCGGGGAGGTTCACAGCACGGGTGGGGCGAGAGGCAGCTGGGGATCACGGTGACCGATGGGAAGTGCGGTTGAGTGGTGGGATGGTGGTGCATAGGAAGTGGCGATGGATAGCGGTACGTTTCGGGTGGTGGGAGTGTGATGGTGGTGGTGTTGTGAGTGGGGCGAGGGGGGGGTCGGGGTTATGATGGATTGGTGAGGGTCGACCGGGGGTTCGATTCCCGATCACGGTAAATGCCAGTGACAATTATCTGAACTGGTCCTGGGCTTCCCCAAAGTCGACTCAGCCTCAAATGAGTACCCGGTGCAGTGTATAAACATTGCCACTCAGGAGACAAAGACGGCCAGGCGTGGTGCTGGCCACCCACCCCTCGTGTGCCATGCCGGCATTTATATTATCTCACCAACAGGCACTTGCCCAAACAGGCTGTTAAGGCTGTACGGGTGGCCTTTGTCGTTCTACGAAGCAACGCTCGTGATGGTTCCGGCGACGGAATTGCGTGACCGGCAACGCGCCCGTTACCCGCGGCGAGGTGCTTAAGTACGCGATGAAACGAACGTGGGACCAGCCCGCACCGTTGGGATAGCCCGCATCGCTACGGCGAGAGCAAGCGACGAAACTAGCCGTTCGCACGGCACGGCGGACAACGGCGCGGCGGTGAGCGGCCCCGGCGGCGGCGCGACGGTGAGTTCGGCACCGTTTCGGCGATCGCCGCGCACCTTTCGTGTCCCAGTCGAGGTGGGTGACGCACCCCGACGCGCCCTTGCACGTGCCGACGCGCTTGCTGCTCAGCACGCGGTAGACGTCCACGAAGCCGTCGTGCGACGCCACCGCCAGATACTTGCCAGGGTCTGCGAACGACGCGCAGAGCGGAGGCCACGTGTTAAGGGAGCCCCACGACGGCACCGCGGGAACAAGGGGGGGAGGGTGTTCCGTTGGCGTGGCTGTCAAGTATCCAGGCGGTGTGACTGCGCCGGGGTCCATTGGTCGGAGGGGCCAGAGGCGCCGGGCCACGAATGGGGAGGGAAAAGAGCAGTTGAAGCCAGTTCTTTACTTTTCGATTTAAAGCTTTCGTGACTGCAGGGATTCATCTTCTTGGTTCTTTACCGAAAGAACCAAGAATATGAGTTCATTACTTGTAGCATGGCCCATGCCAAGTACACGGCGCCGCTGGGACCATAGACTTACACAGTGACCGATATGCTCACATTTAAACCCACAGACTTATACAGAGACTCATAGACTAACGTAGCTCCTGCAGGTCCCCTGCTAGTCGATAGGACCGACAGACTAGGACACGTAGACGATCGTGGGTCAGTGATGTAGCTATCGTCACGTGGAACGTTTACCGATCATCAGGCGTGTGCAGTGTGTCATGACTCAATTTGCATTCTATTATTATTTTCTCTGATGAGGTTTTTCCATAAAAGCCTCACCGAGTCACGATACACTTTTTCAGGAGGGTTCTGCCAACTTCATGGCACACAAACCTCGCGGAGAAAGGCACCCAAGATGGAAATTGAACCCAGGGCGTGTGGTACGGGCGTTGCCGCTGCATAACCACTGCACTGCCGCTGCACTCCCGCTACAACGCCACCCATAAATCTGCACGGACCCTCCCATGTGACAAACGGCCCGGTGATCTTTCGGTGTGAAACCACGACGGGCTGGGCAACGTGGAACGGGCGGAGAGGAATCGGTAAACATGGAACGGCGGTATCACGAGCCTGGTGAGAACTTGATGTCGGTGATGATCTCCCGGCGGTGCTGGAAGGACAGCATGTCCTCCAGCGTGTTGGCGTTGACCACCAGGAAGCTGCCGTCGTTCAGGCCCACGGCCAGGGCCTTCCCGTCCGACGAGAAGCAGCAGCAGCGGCCACCTGGGAAGCACAGGGTGAATGGCGGCTCACCCGTCATCATTGTCGTCATCGTCATTCAGGATCTATCCACTCCTGGATGACGGTCACACAGGCAGTCACAGTGGATGCAGTTGACAGTGATGCAGTCAGAGCCGTGCTGTCACAAACGATGCAGCTGCAGCCAGGAAATCAACATGATGTATTCACTGCTGGATGAAGGCCTACTCATCACCATCTATCTCAGTCGCGCGATGCAACAATCGATCCGACTGCTGCGACGCGACCTGTCGTCGTCGGCCCGTGCTCCGCTGTGGGTGTGATTTCTGGAACGTTCTCTCCTTTGTCGAGAGTTTCGCCCACCGCCCAGCCGGCGTGCGCACGCGCAGGTGCTGCGAGGATCGCTGCGTCGCGAGACGGCCCTACCCGGGTACGGGTAGGGTACGGGTAGCCGGGTATCGGGTACCCGTTTGCGACCCTGGTGCGGCCGGGTACGGGTAAGGAATCAAAACCCGTTTGCGACCTCTCCTGCAAATCAACTAACCGTGGATCACACATCATGGCAGAGACATCGCCTTCCCTGCCGCCTCCTGCGAAAGCCTTGGCAGCACTCTCCTGAAAAGGAGCTTCGTGGGGGGGGGGGGGGGGGGACGACTCGGCGAGGCCTTCCTTGGACGTTAACGTGCGGAAAGGCCTAACGAGGCGGCCGTACCCTTCTTGAGCTTGCGCACGGCCAGCATGCAGTGGTTGTCCGAGAGGTCCCAGACGCGCAGCGTCTTGTCATCGCTCACCGACGCGCAGATGGGCAGGTGGGGGTGGGCGGCGAGGCCCCACACCTCACTCTGCATGTGTCCCTGGGGTCCGGTGTCAACGACAACAACAACGAAGATAATTGACAATCAAGGGGCCGAGACAAACGATTCACGCGGACGGCCCGGCATACGTGCAGCCCTAATCGAGTTTCAAATATCACGCGGAAACGCGGAAAAAAACACTCCAAAGCTCGGTCTCGTGGATTACGCGATAACCATCAACAGTTCCTGAGGAACTGCACTGTGGTCCTTTTCTTGACTTAGGTCACCGTCGAAATAAGATGTTTGAGCACGTGTGGCCAGCTGACAAGCAGCAGTGAGACAAAGGACAACTGTGGACTGGTTTCCGCACCAATTGGGATTCATCGGTGCGGCACAACGCTCACTGCTGCGAAGTCTGCTTCTCGGAACCATATCTTGCAGAGTGCACACATCGACACTACGGGCGCCTACTGGCTTGGCTCATGTTAACGATAATGAAACCTGCAAATGACGAGCCCAAATCAAGGTATCACGCGGCGGCTGTGAATTTAATGTGGGATGCCACCGGTGGCCACCCAGCAGCAGCAAAACGGGTTGGCAACATGATAATTGTTTTTTTACCCTTCTATTTGGCAACAAAACTGACACCTTTTTTTACGAGGAGTCATGTTTGCATAGACCACAACACCTGCAGTCATAATGCAAACAAAAAACATAACTCTGATAATGTATGCACTGTCCTTGAAGTTGATTGGTCCACACCCGAGACAGCTTTCCTTAGAGCCTAGTCTCACATGGGTTGGACCAGATGACGCCAAAAGGCGCACAACTCAAAGACAATGCACCATCAGAGTATGAGAGCTCGGGGTAAGCATTTACACCATTGGAACCTCATTTGCCAGTAAAAAATATGATAAAAAAACGATTATCATATTTCTTACTGGCAAATGAGGTTCCAATGGTGGGTTGGCAACAGTTCGCCGATTGGCAGGTCTTGTGTGATGGGGTCGAGAGGTGGATACCCCCGCCTCTGCTAAGACTATTGGCACGCGTGGAAGAGTAGGCCAAAATCCTCTCTAGAGGGGCTCCTTGCACTTGTCTCTGTCATGGAGGCTCTTTTTGCCAGCAGTGGCAAGAGCCATAAATTGTAGGGCTGCATTTTTACCTTTTACAATGTTGGCCGCAGTGGGTGGGAACCTCATGTGGCCCACTGACTCGTCTAGGTTGAACATCACTGCTCTACACTACACATTACACTTTATACACTACATACTACACTACACACACTTTACACTACACACGCTTTACACGCTTTACACTACACGATACACTACACACACTTTACACTACACAATACACTACACACACTTTACACACTTTATACTACACGACACACTACACACGCTTTACACGCTTTACACTACACGATACACTACACACACTTTACACACTGTATACTACACGACACACTACACACGCTTTACACTACACGATACACTACACACGCTTTACACGCTTTACACTACACACTTTACAATACACACGCTTTACACTACACTATACACTATACGAGTGGTGGGCAACCTGCGTCCCGTGGAGTCGCTCGTGGTGGCCTGGTCTCGATGTGTCTCGGGCGATGCGTGGGGTCGTGATGATTGCACGATCACGATGCCAAGCCTGCGGCCTACTCAGGTGGAGATCGAGTGGCCCACCGGCTCGTCTGGGTTGCCCCAGCACTGGTCTAGGCCTAAGGGAAAGTCACTCCCTTTGATGATGGGAGGATGGGAAGACACTCCCCCCAACCCCCCAAATTATCATGACAAAATTTAGAGCCCTATATTTCTACACATGTACCTCCCCCCACTTCCCATCCTTTTACCTAAATTTGCACATCTTTTAAACTATGAACTTTTTTTATTTTACCATAGAAGGCGCGCTGAGCTATAGAGCTATTTTTCAGAAGCAACGTGGCCACAATTGATAGCCCAACGAAGTGGCTTATCACGTGGAAAGCAGCCAAATAGTTTTAAATGCATGTCTATTCCAAATGTGGAGGGAAAACCCCGAAGGACCCGTGAGAAAAATCCACGGGGAGAGAGAGAAACACGCAAACTCCAAAAAATATTGTACAGCAGTCAAAAACCTCCCCCCCAACCACCACCCCACGCCTTCCCAATGAGGCCTGACTGCTCCCATCCGCAGATTAAGCCGAAGGTGTCACATGCCAGAGGCTCAAGCCGTGTTCCCACCTGCACCAGCAGCATCATGGGGCCGCTCTTGTCCACCTCCAGGATCTCGCCGTTCTTCGTGCCCACCAGGATGTGTCCGTGGCCCAGCGTGATGGCTCGGATGGACGGGTTGTCCTCGAGCAGCAGGCCTGGCTCGGGCAGAGCGCAGCGAAAGGGGGTCACGACCGCGATCTCCACGCGCCGATGCTCTCACTCTCTCTCTCGAGCCACGGACATCCTTCGTAGGTGCAGCTCAGACAAACGGCGGTCACTAAGTGCCCCCTCTATCGCGACCAACTACCCTCTGCTATGCTTTCGTGGTCACTAAGTGCCCCCTCTATCACGACCAACTCCCCTCTGCTATGCTTTCGTGGTCACTAAGTGCCCCCTCTATCACGACCAACTCCCCTCTGTTATGCTTTCGTGGTCACCAAGTGCCCCCTCTATCGCGACCAACTACCCTCTGTTATGCTTTCGTGGTCACTAAGTGTCCCCTCTATCGCGACCAACTGCTACCCTGTCGTGGTCACTAAGCCACTTCGTTGGGCTATCATTTCTGATAGAAAATGATAGTTCATCGTAAAATAAAAACGAGACGCAAAACATGATTAATTGATTCTTGAGTTGAAACGCAGCCCTGAATCCATGGCAGATTCATTTCATCTCGAGTGGCACGGCCGATGGGACGTGGACGGGCAAGCGCCACTACCACATCTCAGCCAGCAGATGGCAGTTTTACTTACGAATTCAAGATCGATTGCATCAGCACTGGTTATTTGGCTGAAAGCCTCTTATATATGTAGAGGACCGCAAAGCTTTGGCAAAAAATGTTGGCGCCGGCTCAACCGTCTGGCTTCCCGCTTCCCTGTCGTTCCGCAGCGACTGTGAGATGCGGTTTGCATGAACGAGAACAGCGCGATACAAAACTAAAACATTATGATCAAAACATCGTAACGCATCGATGAGCAATTTCATGCTGGACTGACTCACGTTCCTATTATTTCCTGTCCCCAGCTTGCCATCCAGCACTTGGTGAATCGTGAAGAGATCTCACTACCTAAGGCCCATTTGCAGAGCTCTCAAGCCGGGAGACATGCGACTGCACGAGATTGCCCAGTAGGCGCACGAGTTGGGGAGTGCGGCGCTAGTGGTGGCACGGGATGGTGGGGGGATATCCAATGATGGTCGTAGTCGAGTGTTCTTCATCGCGAGGCCTGCGGGCCGCTGGCCCTCCGATAATACACAACGCGTGAAAAGACCCCCCCCCCCCATCATCATCATTATCATCGTCGTGTTGCTGTCAAAGCACCAATTGACATGTTTTGTTCACGTGACAAACCTTACTCATTGGCCGTGTCGGGTGGTGGCGGGTTGAACGACACATTGATAATTTCGCGCTCTCAACTAAAAAAATCCTCTATTATGGAAACCCCAAATGGTCTTATCGGGCGAAAGTGGCCCGTAAATGTGTTTTTTTTTTCTCTCTTTCCCCGGTCTAAAGCCCCCCCCACCCACCAACCCACCCCCCCAAACAATCCCATTAACTGCCGGCTCGGTATTACATCCGACAAATTGGTATTGTCCGAAAGGCACCGGAGGCTCTTTGGTTTGAGGTTGCGGTTAATTCAATAAGGCAACCGCCGCAAGGTGAAAGGGCAGGATGACGCTGGCGCTTAATTAAAATGTTCAACTCCCCCAGGGGGTGTCCCCTCTTGCGAGGAGTGGGGGGAGGGGGCATGACGGTGCCGATGCGTTAATTGGCTTTGAAAAGATTTCCCCCCACGCAAAAAAAGAAGCGTGGCAGGCGATCGCGCGACCGTCATCCCAGAGGCACGTGTCGGGTCGGCGAGCCGTGCACGGCGCTCGCACCGTACGCCAGAGGTCGCAATCGGGTGCCCAATACCCGTACCCTACCCGATACCCGGCTACCCGTACCCGGCCGGGTACGGGTACGGGTAGCCGTTTGCGACCCTGGTGTGGCCGGGTACGGGTACGGGTAGGCCGTGAGTCACTGGTGAGTAACCGTTTGTCAGTCATTTCGGGTAGGGTACGGGTAGGATACGGCTACCTATACCCGGCCGGGTACGGGTACCCGTTTGCGACCCTGGTGCGGCCGGGTACGGGTAGGCCGTGAGTCACTGGTGAGTAACTGTTTGTCACTCATTTCGGGTAGGGTACGGGTAGGATACGGCTACCTATACCCGGTCGGGTACGGGTACCCATTTGCGACCCTGGTGCGGCCGGGTACGGGTACGGGTAAGGAATCAAAACCCGTTTGCGACCTCTGCCGTACGCAGACTCGCCGGCACGCGTCGCTGCGGTGCACGGACGGCTCGAAGCAAGTGAATAAATATAGATGAGCGCTACTCTTGTGCGGAACGCTTCACCGTAAACGTGTTTTTATCCACCGGCTTTCCGGATGAGCGCCATCCAGCCGGCCTGTGTTTCAGGCACGCGAACTCCGCATGCGCCAGAGTCGGGATCGAACCCACGGCCTCCTCTTGCATGCCAGGCGAGGTACTGTAGTTAACATCTCGGCAATCCGTAGCCGTTGTTCAGAGGCGGCCTTGCCACACGTTGCTGGTATCGTCCTCACCACACGTGTGGAATTGTAGTGGCAGCCAAATAATCTAAACGCGTGTTGATGCTAAAATGTGGAGGGGAAAACTGCAGGACCCAGAGAACAATCCATGTGACCACTGGGAGAGACCAGGCGGTACTCCAAATATACAACAGGTATCATCAGGGTCTGGAATCGAACCCACAACCTCCTGTGTGCCAGGCGGGGGAGATAATATCTCGAAAAATGCTGCTGCGTTATATTTGGTCCAGAAAACCAGTGGGGCTAAAATATATTTTCGATATATGCGTGGAGACACAGAAGGGAGTTTTAAATATACAGTATATACACACAGATAAAGATCCCCCATATGGCCTTGAACAGACTGTTGGGGCAAGTGCTATTCGCGAGCACTTACGAAGGGCATCAGGGCACTCGAGTGGGGGAGGGGATGGGTGGCAAACACCACGCCCGGCCGCATTTCACCTCCCGGGTAGCGATCTTTACACGCAGCACCAGGTACTCATTTGAGGCTGAGTAGACCTAGGGGAGGCCCAGGACCGGTTCTGATAATCGAACCCTCGGGGTCGCCGGCTTTGGCAGCACAGCGCGCCAACCGCTGCCCCCCCCCACACGCACAAGTGACGTGAACGCCCCTCGCCAAACTGGGCCCTCATTCACCACTCCCGCAGCGCGAGGCCGAGCCGCAGGGGGTCCTCAGCGGCACCGCGCGTGTCAAGCCACGTGCCGACAACAACGCCGCACGGGGTCAACCCCCGCACGGGGTCAACCACGCACGGGGTCAACCCCCGCGAATTTGTCCGGCGGCTTACGCTATTGCGGTTGCGTAACGTTACGCTGCCGCACTATGGGCAAGGCTCGTTAAGCATTACGATGATTTCCGCAGGAGGCCAAACGAGTGAGTTGTGATGCTACATGTCTATTTTTATATTCCCCTTTAGCTGTATATATAATAATTAAACAAATCCCACAGAGCGTTAAAAATGCATTATATTGATGGCACGGGTGAGTGTGTCTGTGTCAGTATGAGCTTCGAGCAGCACTTGCTTATTCAAGGTTGCGTGAGTGAGTGCCTGAGTGGGTGCGTGCGTGAGTGAGTGCCTGAGTGGGTGAGAGAGTGGGTGTGTGAGCGGGAGCGTCAGTGAGTGGGTGAGCGAGTGAGTGCCTGAGTGGGTGGGTGAGTGGGTGCCTGAGTGGGTGGGTGAGTGAGTGCCTGAGTGGGTGGGTATGTGAGCGGGAGCGTCAGTGAGTGGGTGAGCGAGTGAGTGTGTGGGTGGGTGTGTGAGCGGGTGCGTGAGTGAGTGGGTGAGCGAGTGAGTGTGTGGGTGGGTGAGTGGGTGGGTGGATAAGCGAGTCAGTGTGTGCGTTAGTGAGTGGGTGTGTGAGTGGATGCGTCAATGAGTGGATGAGTGGGTGTGTGAGTGGGTGAGCGAGCGGGTGAGCGAGTGAGTATGTGAGTGAGTGCATCAGTGAGTGCGCTGCTTATCCGCTCTACATATGAAGACTCTCTCCTATACAGTACTGTACCAAGATGACAGGTTATCACGGGAGAATGGCCATTGCCTGAAATGTTAACTACATTATCTATACTATGGGGACCTCATTTGCCAGTAAAAATATGATAATTGGTTCTTTACCCTTCTATCTGGCAACAAAACTGACACCTTTTTGCAAGGAGTCATGTTTGCATAGACCGCAATACCTGCAGTCATAATACAAACAAAAGAACATAACTCTGATAATGTGCACTGTCCTTGAAGTTGATTGGTCCACACCCGAGACAGCTTTCCTTCGAGCCTAGTCTCATATGGGTTGGACCAGATGACGCCAAAAGGCGCACAACTCAAGGACAATGCACCATCAGAGTATGAGAGCTCGTGGCAAGCATCTACACTATGGGGACCTCATTTGCCAGTAAAAATATGATAATTGGTTCTTTACCCTTCTATCTGGCAACAAAACTGACACCTTTTTGCAAGGAGTCATGTTTGCATAGACCGCAATACCTGCAGTCATAATACAAACAAAAGAACATAACTCTGATAATGTGCACTGTCCTTGAAGTTGATTGGTCCACACCTGAGACAGCTTTCCTTCGAGCCTAGTCTCATATGGGTTGGACCAGATGACGCCAAAAGGCGCACAACTCAAGGACAATGCACCATCAGAGTATGAGAGCTCGGGGCAAGCATCTACACTATGGGGACCTCATTTGCCAGTAAAAATATGATAATTGGTTCTTTACCCTTCTATCTGGCAACAAAACTGACACCTTTTTGCAAGGAGTCATGTTTGCATAGACCGCAATACCTGCAGTCATAATACAAACAAAAGAACATAACTCTGATAATGTGCACTGTCCTTGAAGTTGATTGGTCCACACCCGAGACAGCTTTCCTTCGAGCCTAGTCTCATATGGGTTGGACCAGATGATGCCAAAAGGCGCACAACTCAAGGACAATGCACCATCAGAGTATGAGAGCTCGGGGCAAGCATCTACACTATGGGGACCTCATTTGCCAGTAAAAATATGATAATTGGTTCTTTACCCTTCTATCTGGCAACAAAACTGACACCTTTTTGCAAGGAGTCATGTTTGCATAGACCGCAATACCTGCAGTCATAATACAAACAAAAGAACATAACTCTGATAATGTGCACTGTCCTTGAAGTTGATTGGTCCACACTCTTCTATCTGTTGCCAGATAGAAGGGTAAAGAACCAATTATCATATTTTTACTGGCAAATGAGGTCCCCATAGTGTAGATGCTTGCCCCGAGCTCTCATACTCTGATGGTGCATTGTCCTTGAGTTGTGCGCCTTTTGGCGTCATCTGGTCCAACCCATATGAGACTAGGCTCGAAGGAAAGCTGTCTCGGGTGTGGACCAATCAACTTCAAGGACAGTGCACATTATCAGAGTTATGTTCTTTTGTTTGTATTATGACTGCAGGTATTGCGGTCTATGCAAACATGACTCCTTGCAAAAAGGTGTCAGTTTTGTTGCCAGATAGAAGGGTAAAGAACCAATTATCATATTTTACTGGCAAATGAGGTCCCCATAGTGTAGATGCTTGCCCCGAGCTCTCATACTCTGATGGTGCATTGTCCTTGAGTTGTGCGCCTTTTGGCGTCATCTGGTCCAACCCATATGAGACTAGGCTCGAAGGAAAGCTGTCTCGGGTGTGGACCAATCAACTTCAAGGACAGTGCACATTATCAGAGTTATGTTCTTTTGTTTGTATTATGACTGCAGGTATTGCGGTCTATGCAAACATGACTCCTTGCAAAAAGGTGTCAGTTTTGTTGCCAGATAGAAGGGTAAAGAACCAATTATCATACATTATCTATACATTATTTTAAAGCCACAGTGTTATTGCTGAATCTGTAGCATTTTTGGAAATATTTTTTTTATTATCACATGAAGAAATAAACTATCTCTCTCTCCTGTACACATACGGCAGATGTACACGCCAGGCTCACGTGAAGATTGTCCCAGCGAAAGATGGAAGGCGGGCTAAGCCTGTACGGTGATATGAAGATTGCCCATCCACGGATTCCGATGGAAGACGGGCTACGAGAGTAGGTTTGACACGAGAGTTCTCTCTCTCTCTCCGGACGCACGGACGGGCAGGAGGCAAAGGGCTCTCAGGGCCTACCCTTGGAGCCCGGCGCCAGCGACGACCTCTTGATGGCGTACGTCTTGAGGCAGCGCTCGAAGTTGTCGTCCCAGAGTCCGACGATTCCATCCTTCCCTCCGGTGACGAACCCCTAGCGAGCGGAACAACACCACGCGCACACAAGGTCAGCCCCGGAGTAGTGGGGGGGCGGGGGAGCTCGAGGGGGCTGCCCCCCCCGCTGCTAAAGGCTCAGCCCCCCTCTACTCAAATCGGTGCATTCATTGCTACGAATAAGCAATGGCGTTGAAGCCTTTCTCCTCGTGCAACAATGTCCTTACGGTTAAGTTTTACACACAGAGCGGTCGTTATCGTCCGGGGCAAGCTTCCATCTCACGATCAGACACGAGCTGCGAGGCAGCAAGCCTGTCGGTGCCACAATCAATTGCCGAAGCTCTACAGTCCTCCATATATGAAGATGTTTTCAGCCACCATTGGAACCTCATTTGCCAGTAAAAAATATGATAATTGTTTTTTTACCCTTTAATCTGGCAACAAAACTGACACCTTTTTTTTACAAGGAGTCATGTTTGCATAGACCACAGTACCTGCAGTCGTAATGCAAACAAAAAACATAAATCTGATAATATATGCACTGTCCTTGAAGTTGATTGGTCCACACCCGAGACAGCTTTCCTTAGAGCCTAGTCTCACAAGGCGTGCGCCTTTTGGCGTCATCTGGTCCAACACCATGTGAGACTAGGCTCTAAGGAAAGCTGTCTCGGGTGTGGACCAATCAACTTCAAGGACAGTGCACATTATCAGAGTTGTGTTTTTTGTTTGCATTATGACTGCAGGTATTGTGGTCTATGCAAACATGACTCCTTGTAAAAAAGGTGTGAGTTTTGTTGCCAGATAAAAGGGTAAAAAAACAATTATCATGTTTTCAGCCAGTTGAAGTTTTTGTTGTATACGTGGGAGGAAAGTGGAGCACATCCGGTCAAAACCCACGGGCGCGAGATGGGCTGTGACATCGCAGGGCCGTGAGGGATGGAGATGGCGCGGTTAGGCCTGCAACCAGCAGCGGATAGACCACGGAAAATGACGAGTGACGATGATGTTCAAACGCCGATCGGGAAGCGCGCACGCATCTCAACCGTGCCGGATATTCACGTCAAACGAACCGCAATTCACCGTCTCACAAACGCCGCACGGCTCCGTCCATCGCTCGCGATCGCCAAATCCCGATTTATGGCGTTTCATCACCGCTATTTCCAGCGCGCGAGCATAATGAACCCGTGCAGAAACTCGAAGGCGGCAGTAAATCTGACCGTAAAACACACTCTTAAAACCTCATTAAGGTACGCCGTAAACGTAACATTCGTAAGTTTTTTTTTTTTTAAACCCAATCCCTTCCTCCCGTTTCACGCCGCGCCAGGGCGGGGCGTGCGGCCAGCTGGCGGCTGGAGTTTTATCGGCGCTCGTAACGCTCCGCGCAGTCTCCCGTCGGCGAGCGAGGCGAGCGAGGTGAGCGTTTTGGAGCATTCAACGTCCGTCTCCATTAGCCCATTGCGGCAGCACCCTGAAGAAGGACACCGAAACCAGAGCCGGATTACCGCGGGGGGGGGGGGGTTCATTGGCTGCCCCCCCCCCCCCCACTAAGACGTTTGGCCAGCTTGGAGGAGTAGGCCCAAGTACGGTCGAGCGTGGGGTCTCTATGGCTAGCGGAGGCCCTTCCGCCAGCAGTGACGTGGGCACGGGATTGCAGGTCTGTACCCTTTGTATTTCGAGGGGCCCAGTTGGTAGCGCCTTCACCGCCTGACGCAGAGATTGCCGGTTCAAAACCAGGTGCCGCCCTGGTTAACACTGCGCGCGTAGAAAACCATGCAAATACACCACGTGCCGTCTTCTTCACAGCGGACGTTAAAGATCCCGTCATGTGATTCGCAAGAGTAGGTCATTCGTGCGCCGGTGTCATGGTCCAAATTTTCCCCAAATTTCTCTGCCTCGGACTGCGAAAGTTTGGCAGGAACCTCCTGTGAGGCTTTCCTGGGTAACAAAGTGTACCGATAATTAGAAACATTCTTTCGTGTAATTTGATCGTTAAAGTCATACCAGCAGGTTGGCGATGACTGCCAGTTATGGGCCGAAACCCAAACAGTTGCAATCATTTTAAATGTGTATTTCAACTTTTATAACGAATCCACAATATAAAAAAACAACCGAAAGTAATGGAATTGAAGAGCAATGTAGTGTTTGGCATTGTGGGCAGAGGTGGAGGTGAAGCAGCCGAGGGCAAGGAACTGGATAGAGAAAGAGGGCCCCCCACCCTCACCGCAGCCCCCTAGAACGAGCGACAACCTTGGGCCCCACTCACTCCTCGCACAGCCCTGCGCACGGCCACACGGCGAGCTTGGAGAGGCGGCATTGGGCGCGTGACAATTCACGCGCGTCGCTGGTGCACGTCGTTGTCTTTGCCATGGACGTGCCAATCGACACTCCTGGACACCTCTTGCAAACGACATGAGTCCACCTCAAGGGATTCATCCAGGTGAAACATTTTAATTGATGCTTTGTTATTTTTTGTTTTGCCTCCACTACGAATTTTTATGATTGGTTCACGAGCAGCAGTTCTTCGTGGTTTGGCATCAGCCTGGCTACAAAGGAATGAAATTATCTCCCCCCCCCCTCTCCCCTCCCCTTTCCACCTTCCCCACTTCTCCGTAGCCCGTAAATAGACACCTAATTCGAGAAAAAAACATCGCACCTCCGGGCCTTGACATTCCACCTCCTCCACCACCTCGAAGACAAGGGCGGTGGAACCATCGACAGCATCGGAAACATCACCAGCGGGCCGATTCGCAGAATCCCCTCCGTGAATGGAAAATTGAAGACACCAGCCACGACTTTGACCATGCCGCCCACGCTACAGACGGTGCAGTTACACCCACTGTGGTCTTGAGCTCCTTTCAGTCGAAGAGGAACAGCACAACTTACACGAACTCTCTCTTCCCGAGGGCTCTCTCTTGTCATGGCCAGCAGACCTGAACGCATTGTCGTTGCCATCATGCGCAAGGGGAGATTAACCCAGTGCCCGGTTCTCTCTCAGCGCAGTTGTACACAAACCTGTCAACCCCTTATCAGTGCCAATACCTTATTACAGACCAATTCAGACCTTCTTGGTCACCCCGTGCCCTTATAAATCTCAACGTTCATCCTACAAAGTCCCATCACAAGGAAGAAACACAAACAAATAGACATTTTTTTCCCCGTATTGAAACGGCTGTACGCCGTACAGACCTGAAAACTCAATTTCCCTGCACAAGAATACAGCTGAATCGTACGGGTTGACAGGCGTGTGGACACCACATGCACACTTGAACAGCTGTGCCACCGATTACGAATCAAATTATTATTTTGTCATCGCCGTGAAAGCTGCGCGTTCTGGTGGGGCGCAGTGAAGCTTTGCTGAACGCATACTTCATTGGAAAGATGTTATTAACCATGTAAAAAAGATTTAACTAGACATATTTGTACCATCTTATTTGACAGGTACTATTCTACTTTACCGAGTGTTGACATCCCCAGCGTTTAACAGCACTGCCTTTTTTGTATTTGGATTGTCAGCCAACACCGGTTACAACCCGAAGTCGAGGTACACCAGAGGTCGCAACCGGGTACCCGATACCCGTACCCTACCCGATACCCGGCTACCCGTATCCGGCCGGGTACGGGTACGGGTACCCGTTTGCGACCCTGGTGCGGCCGGGTACGGGTAGGCCGTGAGTCACTGGTGAGTAACCGTTTGTCACTCATTTCGGGTAGAGTACGGGTAGGGAATGGGTACCTGTACCCGGCTGGGTACGGGTAAGGAATCAAAACCCGTTTGCGACCTCTGAGGTACACCGATTGTTCTCTTTTAGCCCCGCCCACCCCCCCCCCCAACACGTTCCATTCATTGGCTACCACATTTAGATAAGCCCCCCCTCCCCCCTTGACTTGTATTTAAGAGCTTGTCTCTTGGAATTTTGCCTCACTTGATGCAGTAAATCTAGCTGTGACGGTCCCACCTGATGACGGAGACTTGTGTTGCCTCCGAAACGTGGTGATTTATTATTTTATTTCTATTATTATTTTTTATTTTTGACCTACGTGACTTTACCGAAAAAACCTAAGAGTACGCACTCTTGGCGTTGTATGTGAACGGACAACGATCGATTCCCACGCATGGAGCGTTGTGCGTGAATGCGGTTGTCACGTGACGATGCATCGCCACGTGACAACCGACAAGGGCCAATCCGCACTGAGCAGCGTGACGAGGAACGCTCAAACCATCGCCACAACGTACGCGGTGGTGTGGGAGAGGCCTTCATCCAACCGTGGATTTACAAACGGCAATACGTTGTTGACAAGCGTGATAATGGTCAGACTAAAATATTTCTTCATTTTTCTACGAAAAGCCTCAGAGAGTCCCCTAGCATGCAACAGTGCTCTTGGGAAAGTGAAGGCTTTACTTTGTAAATGAATAAATAATTCCTATTGTTATTGCTATTTGTATTGTGATCATTGTTGTGACCACACAGAAGGTGTAGCATGTTCCCTGAATTATAAGACGCTCCGGAAAATAAGACGCACCCCAAACCTCTGGCCAGTGTCAATAAAGTTATTCAAATCTGCACACACACACGCACAGACACGCGCACAGACCTGCACACACACACACAGACCTACGTACACACAAGAAAACACACACTCGCACGCACACGCCGGGGCCGACGCACAAACACAACGACAATGAGCACTTAGATCCCCCCGTGTCGCCTTTACAGACTGTTGGGGCAAGCGCTGTTAGCGAGCACCTATGAAGGGTGGTACAGCACACGAGGGGGTGGGTGGCCAGCACCACGCCTGGCCGCCTTTGTCTCCCCAGCGGCGATGTTTACACACCGCACCAGGTACTCATTTGAGGCTGAGTCGACCTAGGGGAGGCCCAGTACCGGTTTAGGTAAGCGTCACCGGCGTTGGCCGTGAGCGGGAATCGAACTCGGGTCGCCGGGTTCGTAGCGCAGCGTAGCGCTGAACGCACGCAACGTGCACAGACACACGCACGCGCACAGACACAGACACACGCACAGACACACGTGCATGCACGCCTACCGTATTACAACGATCGCCCGACAACTTTTGCTCCAATTTGCAGGCCCCCCCAGAAAAAATATAAAGTTGCGTCATAATCCAAGGAATACGGTAATAGTTATTTTCAGAACAAAGTGCTTCTTCAAGTGCTGTGGATCATTTTGTTACGCTTGCTCGGGCAATCCTCAGAGGTGTTTGGCTATTGACATAACAGCCGAGGCCATTATTAGGCGCTCGGTAAGAGAGAGAGAGGAGGGGGGGGGCACCGTCCTACAATCAAAGTTACTTTGCCCGTCGCACGCAGAAGACAGCCCCGGCACGCACAATATCGATTCGGGCTGTCGGACGGTTGACCGATTTAGATATGACAATACCAACACAGAATCTCATCTCGTATTGGCACCATTTATCCCCGCCCCAACCCACCACCACCACTGTCCCAAGCCCAAAGCCCCTCCACCCCCCCAAAAATAGAGAAAAATTGACAAACGCATTATTGTCTGATAAGACAGGGGGCCACGGCAGGTGCATGCCTGCTGACAAATGATGGCCACTTTTGTGTTGAAAGTGGCGGCGTTAAAAGGCCGCGCCTGACAGTTTGATGGCTGTGCCGCTTTTGTCCGGCAGAGAAAGAATCTTTGAGGCTCCGTTCGATGGGAGAAAAAAAGTTTCAACGGCCGGACTGGGCCTCTTCGCGGGGGGGCCGACGCTGGTCAACGACATCGGGACGACACGGCACAACGCAGCCGCGTCTCAAGGGGTCGTGCAACAGCATCGTTGGGTGGGTGGGGGGGTGTTTGTTGAAATAGAGGAAGAAGAACAAAAAACACATAACCCCAAAGAAGGTTTAGAGCCCGTGGGGGCAAGGAGTTGACGGCGTAGATGGTGCAGGTGAAGGGAGTTGCAGAACGGCGAGGACAGTGGAGGAAGGATGAGCCAGCGAGACCTCCCGCTGAGCTAAGGTTGACCCTCCCTCCCCTCTTGCTGATGACGGACGCTTGTGTTGCGATCGAAACGTCGTAGTTTTTTGTTATTTTTTGTTATTTTATTTGAACCTATCTACCTGACTTTACCGAAGGGCCCAACGAATGTGAATTCCTGCAGTCACGAAAGCTTTAAGTCAAGAGTTGACTGGGCGCTAAAGCTAAAACTAAACTAATATTTTTTATTTCACCAGGAAAGTTCTCACTGAGCTATGCGGCTCATTTTGGGAAGCGACCTGGTCACAAACGACGTCTCAACCGAGCGGCTTATCACGTGGGAATTTATAGCAGCACCAAATACTCTGAGATGCATGTTGATTCTAAACGGGGAGGGGAAAAACCAGAGGACCAGGAGAAAAATCTACGCGACCACGGGAAGAACATGCAAACTGCAAATATACAGCAGCAGGCGTCAGGGTTGGGATCGAGCCCACGACCTCCTGCATACCAGGCGAGGGAGATAACATCTCGACACCGTGGCTAGAACGGGAAGCCTCGGTTGCTGGAGTGGAGTTTGTGCTGACCGGAGTTCCGGAACACGCAGGCCGCACAAGAGGACGGGAAACCTGCACACAACACAAATGTCCCCCGTATAGCCTTAACAGCTGGTTGGGACAAGTGCCGTTAACGAACACCTACGAAGGAAGGCGTACAACACGGCACGCGAGCGGCGTGGGTGGCCACAACCGCTCCTGGCCGCCTTTGTCTCCCCAGCGTTTTGTACGCATCGCACCGGGCACTCGCTTAATGCCGAGTCGACTTAAGCGAGGGCGGCGAGTGGGAGGAGCCGACCTGTCAGCCGAGCTCGCGAAGTGGCGCGCCAGGTTCACCTTCTCCAGGGCGTGCATGCTGAAGATGGGCCCGTCGTGGGCCTTGACGGTGCGTAGCAGCGTCGCGCCCTTCCACAGGTAGACGTCCCCGCGCGCCGCCCCCGCGTACACCGTGTCCTCCGCCTTGCCGTACACGGCGCACATCATGGTGTCGCGCCGCGCCAGCGCCCCGAAGTCGCCGCGCCGAGACGTCAGCCCACCGCCTGCGGTGGAGGGGGGTGGGGTGGGGGCGCGAACGACAACACGATGGCCTCGTGAGCGGGGGCGGCCGTTGCTCGTTGAGGGATGCCGCTATTGGCGAGCGCCCTACACCACGGTCGTCGGCGCCACTACAGGTCGGCGCCACCTCGCTCGGCGCTGGAAGAGCTTCGTGAGATTCCGATTAAAGCACTTTGCCTTGCATCGTGAGCCATGGTCTATCCACTGCCAGTTAAAGGTGTCCGCGAGCAGTTGCCACCTGTTGGGGTCGTTCCACACTTTGTTGCGGCAAGCCGTCTACCACCCCCCCTCCCCCGACGTTTCTACCCCCTCCCCCCCCATGTGCTGAGAGCTCCTTCGGTTCCCATTTCACTGCCACGTGGAGCAAAACGTCGGGCGCCGTGCCGAACAACCCGCGGCACAACCGCGGACGAAACGCCAGAGAGCCGCGCTGCTGCACAGCGGCGAACATCCACGCGGTCATAGCGATCCGTGTCGTTCCATCTCTGTGTGGTCCCTAAGCGATGAAACAATTATTTTTTTTCAGGTAAGACCCACTGAACTATACAGCTCTTTTTTTTCAGAAGCGACCTGGCCGGAAACGATAACTCAACAAAGCGGCTTATCGCGTGGAAATGAATTGCAGCCAAACACTCTCAACGCGTGATGTTGAATCTGAATGCGGAGGGGAAAACCGGAGGACCCGGAGAAAAATCCACGCGACCACGGGGAGAGAGACACGCAAACCCCAAATATACAGCCGGTGTCAGAGTCGGGATCGAACCCACGGCCTCCCGCATGTCAGGCGAGGTAGTTAACACCTCGCCACCGCGGCGCCCGTAACTTTGGCAGCCACTCCGTCTCCAGTCTCGAGCAACGAGTCCTGGTGGCAACACCTGACGTGTCTGCCAACGCGCGACCCTCATTTCATTTGGAGGAGGGAACAAAAAACTCTCGCGTGATGAACGTCAGAGGACACGAGATAGGACCCAACAAGATACGGCCGGACAGATTGATGGATATTTCAGAGATTCGACCACAACTCACGCACATAAGGGGCATTGGGTCCACAGGTCCCCCCCCCACCCCACCGCCCCCCCCCCCGATCCCCCGCACACGTGACGTTAACCGGTCACACGTCAGGACTGACCGCCAGTGGCGTGTGGCCACCATCCCTGGTGGAGAGCTCACCAGTGACTTGCCAGAATTTGATGTGGTGAATGCCGACGGTCACGAGCTTGTCGGCATCGTGAGGGTTGAAACGGGCCACGAAGATCTTCTCTTTGTGACCCCTGCCGTGGTGGCCAGGACATAGACAAAGAGAGAGCATATATACACACAGTATATATACATATGAATGCGATGCAGACGTAGATGACTCGTGGCTGTAACAGGGCAACAGTCACACTGATTCACCAGCGCCAGCGTGTACGGCAGAGGTCGCAACCAGGTACCCGATACCCATACCCTACCAGATACCCGGCTACCCGTACCCGGCCGGGTACGGGTACCCGTTTGCGACCCTGGTGCGGCCGGGTACCGGTAGGCCGTGAGTCACTGGTGAGTAACCGTTTGTCACTCATTTCGGGTAGGGTACGGGTACGGGTAGGGGACGGGTACCCGTACCCGGCCGTGTACAGGCACGGGTACCCATTAGCGACCCTGGTGCGGCCGGGTACGGGTAAGGAATCAAAACCCGTATGCGACCTCTGGTGTACGGGCAGCCTACGCAGCAAAACCTCTGGTGGCCTTTGGCGAAGAGCACAGGGTTGCCACCAGTAAGAGCCCCTGGAAAGATCGACAATCGCTGAGGCTGCAGCAATGTAATTACATTCAAGACGGCTAACGTCAAAAGAAAATGTAAGAGATCAGAACACGTGCGTCGAACCACAAGGGGCGGAATTACTGCATGTAAAAATAATAATGATTGAACTGTATATATTTATTTCATAAGGCATCTTTTACGTCGATATATCTCAAAGGCGCTCGCTGTACGTAAAAAAAAAAGATACGTGTTAATTACGAGTCTAATGTCGATTCATTGATTAACTAAAGCAATCGTCGATATGCGAATAAATTAGTTGAATCGTCAATAACCGCCGCTCCAATGATGCCGCTGACCCGTTCATGGAAGAAAAAAAAGACACACGACGACACAAACCAGCGCAAGACAAGCAGCAAACAACTCAACTCTCCGCTGGCCTTCAGCGAGAGGCCGCTTGCACCGTCACGGGGGGGGGGGGGGGTCGGGTGGGGGGCATCCGTTGGTGCTCCGCTCTCATCCTGGTGGTGCTGGTGCGCGACGGGGCCCGTGCCCAACGTTCAAACTCTTTTGTATGTACACTATGAGACATCTCCTTTACCAGTGGCAAAATATAGTAATAGGTTTTTACCCTTTAAACTGGTACGAAACTGACACCTTTATACAAGGCATCATGTTTGCAATAACCGCAACACAAGCAGTCAAAATGCATTTTGACACAAGCAGTCAAAATGCATTTTAACTGCTTGTGTTGCGGTTATTGCAAACATGATGCCTTGTATAAAAGTGTCAGTTTTGTACCAGTTTAAAGGGTAAAAACCTACTACTCTTTTGTACGTACATTGAACTTCTTTCGTGCCGTACATTGCCGACCGTGCTAATGGCAGGTCCGGGGTGGGGGGAGGGTTAGGGGGGGGGGACAATGGACTAGACACTAAACGCAGTTCTGAAGAAATGAGGTTTCGATCTAGGGCGTCAAGTCAAGCGCGGTTGCTGCGTGTTTGCATATCCCCCCCCCCCCCCCCCCCGCAATACGGCTCCGTGTGCGAGTCTCGCCAAGCATAATGATAATAATAATAACAAAAATTAGAATGATTTCCACGTTTCCTTGACAATCGACTGCCGGATGAAGGCCTCCCCGCGTGACTGTGCCGGTCACCGAGATTTGGTCTCCAGATCCAACGACTTCGCCGCGGGTCCCGATCGTGAGGACGAATCCCCCGTCAAGCGACAAAACGACGATGAGTGTCGTTTGTTGTCGCCGTCGTTGTAACTCGGTGACCCCGTGCCCCATACTGGACATCTGTGCAAAAGAGCTTCACACCTCATCGGATTCCTTCCCTCCAGTCTAAATAAAGATTCTGATAATCCGTCGACTTTCTGGGACGAGGCGCGTGGCGTGGATTTAGCAGCGACTGCACGGCTCTCTACTGCGGCTCCTGCACCGGTGTTGGAAGGGTGATGCGTGGTAAATTGTCGAGTGACATTTCTGATGGCTTTAGAATGTCTGTACCAGTGCTCTTCATTGTAGGGCCCCAAGGGCCACTGGGCAACCCGTGATGTGCGGCGCTCGACAATCACACAAATGGTGAAAAAACCCCGATCATCATCATCGTGCTGCTGTCAAACCCCCGATGGCTTCAAGTGGTATGGTGGCCCTCACACTGACGATGTCTTATCGGAGAAAGTGCCCCCCACCAGAGGTCGCAACCGGGTACCTGATACCCATACCCTACCCGATACCCAGCTACCCGTACGGGTACCCATTTGCGACCCTGGTGCGGCCGGGTACAGGTACGGGTAAGGAATCAAAACCCGTTTGCGACCTCTGCCCCCCCCCCCACCCACTCTGAAAATTAGTGAAGAACACTGAACTAAACAGTAACATCTCACAAATTGTTGAGGTTCGTTTGGCAACTCACTTCCTAAAGGAGTCGCCAACACTGGGCAGTCATTAGAGTTATTTTGACCATACTTCACCGCGATGGTCAGTGAGGATTGGTAAAGTAGGGGAGCATGGTGAGGGGGAGGGGGGTGGGGGGCGGCGGGGGGTGCAGATATCGCTCGCAACCGATGTTGCCACGGCTGCCAATGGAACTCGGGTCCAACCGGATTCGTAGAGCAGCGCTTGGACCATTACGCCATCGCTGACACAAACTTTACACGGATAATTTTTACAATCGGAATTGTAATTCAACGGCGCTGTAATTGCAATACACATTACGCCATTGTGTAGCCGAAGTGTGCAATTTTGGGGTCAATTTGATTTCAATTAGGGCTGTAATTTTTTTATAAAAAAATTGCTGCTCATGCAATGGACGAGCGGATTGCATTATTAGTCAACCATTCCTGCGAGTTCTGCGTGCAAGCCCTAAATCTGCCCGGGCCCCTTGAATTCAAGGCGTAATTTCCCAGCGGCGTCATTAAACGAATTAAGTACTCAGCCAAAATAAATCTCCGAGCGGAGTCAAAATAAATAAGTGAAAATGCGGCGTCGGAGGAAAGCATTTCAGTGGGTGGACATCTCAGGAGGGACAGATATTTTTGCCCCACGCAAGCGGAATTCATAAACGTGGCTCCGCAGCCTCTCACTCGCTCTCTCCTCGTCTCAAAAGTGGATGGAGGCTATCGTCACGGTTCCTGCGGTGAGCCTGGATTGGGCACGGCTCTCTGCGTTCACTTCTCAGGCTGCAGCAGGGGAAGCGCAAACGGTGGCCGGCCGAGTGAGGTGGTGGCAACTCGACCACGCATGCCATCGGTTGCCCACGACCGCACTACGCATGCCATCAGTATGGGACACCGCGGTGGTGAGATGTTAACTACCTCGCCCGGCGTGCAGGTCGTGAGCTCGATCCCGACCCTAACGCCTGATGTACATTTGGAGTTTTTGTACATTCTCCCCGTGGTCACGTGGATTTGTCTTTCCCTCCACATTTAGAATCAACGTCTGTTTCGAGTATTTGGCTGCTATGAATGTGCACCTGATGAGCCACTTCGTTGAGCTATCCCTTGTGGCCAAGTCGCTTCTGAAAAAGAGGTGCACAGTTCAGCGGGCCTTATCTGGTACAACAATAAAAATTGCTCGCAAGTAACTCGTCGACATGTAGCCCGTGTACCACATGGGCGCAGTGGTTCGAGCGCTGCACTCTGAATTCCGGTGAGGTGAGTTCGAGAGCCTCGGCACGGCTCACACCTGTTGCGAGTGAGTGACATCCCAACCGGTTTCCTGGACGTCTGACTTTCACCGTCCAGCGTGATGATGAAACAAGGCGTGGCGTGGTGTGGGGGGGAGAGGCCTTCATCCAGCAGTGGATTGACAAACGGCAGGAAATAATGAAAAACGATGGGCCGTACTAGGTGCTTTGTAACAGTGTCATCCACTACAGTTCAACTGCAGCACCTTTGTCTTGTGTGTGATTCTGTACGTGTGTGTGTGTGTGAGCGCTAATAGCACTCGCCCCAACAGACTGTCAAAGGGCTATACGGGGGATTGTTGTCTTTGTGCTTAGCATACTCCGCACGGCGAAGCAATGTGAACCGCGCGGCGCTGAATTAATCCACCGCACATCGACTTAAGAAGCCGTTTCATGGCTATAACCAATCTGGACATGGACTTGGAAGTTGCTGCTCATTCAGCTCTACACGAGAGAGAGATCGAGATCGAATCTACATTAACTGCGCGTGCAAGCCACGTGCGAGTTGTCGCAAAAAAAAGTACAACTCAAGTTTCGCCCTTGCTTTGATGATGTTCCCGCTGTATTCTTGGCTCTGTAATGACGGTGGGAAAAAAAAAAACTCAAAAGGCAACCCCCCCCCCCCCCCGTCACCTGGCCGACGCAATCTTCTCGCCGCGCTTCCACTCCCACACGACGATGGTGTGGGCATCGTCCAGCCCGACGCTCACCAGTCGCTTCCCGTCGGCTGCGTCACGGACACACGCAACAGAGACGAAGGTCAACCGGCGCAGCCTTAAACAGGACCGTGGGAGTTTCATCTTCTTGGTTCTTTCGGTAAAGTCATGTAGAAGGGAAATGATAAAATCATAAAAATAAAACATAATAAAACATCATAATATTTTATTATGTTTGATTTTAAATAATAAAATAATAAACCATAAAACATAATAATATTTTATTATGTTTTATTTTTATTATTTAATTATTTCCCTTCTACGTGACTTTACCGAAAGAACCAAGAAGATGAATCCCTGCAGTCACGACAGCTTTAGGATCGTAGGGGGCAAAAGCTGTCTGGCACGAGCGCCCCGTTGTCCATCCCCCCCACCCACCGCACCTCCGACTAACACGGTCGGCTACGTACGGAACGCAAGAAGTTCGACATACACACGTACGTACGTCGGGGGCGAACGGGCGGGGGCGTGGTGTGGCCAGGAAACCACGCCCAGCCGCCTCTCGTCTCCCCAGTGCTGAGCTACAAAGTTATTATTCACAGATGTCCAGGTGTGTCACAGATGTCCAGGTGTGTCACAGATGTCCAGCTGTGTCACAGATGTCCAGGTGTGTCACAGATGTCCAGGTGTGTCACAGATGTCCAGGTGTGTCACAGATGTCCAGGTGTGTCTCAGATATCCAGGTGTGTCACATGTCCAGATGTGTCTCAGATGTCCAGGTGTGTCACAGATGTCCAGCTGTGTCACAGATGTCCAGGTGTGTCTCAGATTTCCAGGTGTGTCACAGATCTCGAGGTGTGTCTCAGATTTCCAGGTGTGTCACAGATGTCCAGCTGTGTCACAGATCTCCAGGTGTGTCTCAGATTTCCAGGTGTGTCACAGATGTCCAGCTGTGTCACAGATCTCCAGGTGTGTCACAGATGTCCAGGTGTGTCACAGATGTCCAGGTGCGTCACAGATGTCCAGCTGTGTCACAGATCTCCAGGTGTGTCACAGATGTCCAGGTGTGTCACAGATGTCCAGGTGTGTCTCAGATCTCCAGATGTGTCACAGATCTTCAGGCGTGTCTCAGATGTCCAGGTGTGTCACAGATGTCCAGCTGTTTCACAGATGTGCAGGTGTGTCACAGATGTCCAGCTGTGTCACAGATGTCCAGGTGTGTCTCAGATGTCCAGGTGTGTCACAGATATCCAGATGTGTCACAGATGTCCAGGTGTGTCACAGATGTCCAGGTGTGTCAGATATCCAATCGCAGGGCAGCACCTTTAACTTAAGGGAGGCCCCCACGACCGATGTGAGCCACGGTCGGGAATCGAACTCGGGTGCTCGGGTTCGTAGCGCAGTGCTTGGCATTGCGTGATGCCCGCCGCATCACGCACGGCATGCCGCGTGGGCTTTTAATAACAAACGCGAGTCATTACTCTCGGAGTCACGCCGGCTCACCACCTGACATTCAATTAGTTTTTCTGCGCTCCAACGGAATAAAAAAAATCAAACCCCACCCGCCCCTCACCCACAACAACAATAATCACAGCGTCACAAATAAAAACAAACACGCATCGAGGTGGCCGGCCGGCTAACGGATTAGGGCAACGGTGACGTTGAATTGTGGCTGTGAATTTGAGAACAGTTGCTTGTGGTTGCACGCGGTCGACTACACGCTTTGATTACGCGATGGCGGCACCAGTTGTGCGAATGAGACGGTCGCAGGCGTTTGCGCGATTGCGTTCAGCAGGATGCAAGATTCTTGCTTCATCAATGATAGTTTTTTTTTGGGGTTGGATCGCGTGAATATAAATGTGTCGTTAAACCCGCCACCACCCGACACAGCCAACTAGTAAGGGTTGTCACGTAAACAGAACGTGCCAATTCGTCACTAGTGCAGCACACCGGTGTGTTGGAGAGCAAATCCGCACACACTGATGTGCTGTACTAGTAACTAGTAAGGTTTGTCACCGGGGTGTGTGGCTATGCTCTGCAACACACCGGTATGCTATACGAGCAACGAAATGGCTACGTTCTGTTTACGTGACAACCCTTACTAATTGCCCGGTTTAATGACACATTTATATTTACGCAATCTAACCCAAAAAAAAACTCTATTATGGATTTTATTTCCAACTGCAGCGGTAAGCTCGTTCAACCCGCTGTGGCTAAGCGGGATGATGGCTGCAACGTGGGTGGATGTGGAGGCGGTCGGGTGGGTCAGAGGTCAAATCCACGATCCAGCAGCCTGCGACTACAACGGTATTCTCAGCTGGGTCACCGCTGAGCGCACGAAATAGCATCGGAGCAAAATTAGTTTTTCCGCTTTAATCGAGCAAACCACAGCACCGTGAATTAAAGAGTAAACAATTCGGTTTGATTAGCAACGCAATCAACATGTCTCTCGGAGGGCTCTCAAAAGCAGCTCAGCGGTAGCACCTTGCACCGGCTGCCATCTAACATAAACACAGGGGTGATGGCACTGCTCTGCAAATTTTTTTTTAAAATCGGCACGGATATTTGTTCATTTCGCGTCTGTACGTTGAACTTCTTTCGCATCGTACGTAGCCAACAGTGCTCTTCGGAGGATAGCAGCAACATTGTAATGGAAAATTTGGTAATTTTTGTTGTTCGTATATATATACATTTATAAGCGCGACATGTGCGTATTGAAAACAGCGTTCACTATATTAGCAGTCAACGCATTTCACGCGACGACTTCACACGAACATGCGCCACCGGGGATGGAAGTGAATGCTCGCGTCTACAAATCGAACGGTGTTCCGTATCACCGGCCACCGCCAAAGTCGCAAGCCTCCCGGTCGTGCTGTCGTGAAACGTATCACAAATAAAAATCGTACGCGATGAGAAATCGAAGCGCGCTTCGGTTTCAGAGGTGTCGCTTATGTGCGTAAGATAACAAGGGGTGAGCGCAAAACGTTATCACACTGCGCTATGAACCCAACGACCTGAGTTCGATTCCCAGCCACGGCTAACATCAGTGGCGAGTGATGCTTGAACCGGTCCGTAGCAGCCATCCCAAAATGACCAGCGCGGTGAAATACGGTCGAACAAACGCGTTGGGAAGGACTTCACCTGCCAGTGAATTGACGACGGAATGTTTAAAACACATTCCTGTGGAGGGAGCTGGTAGGAACGTTGGGTTGCTCGGTCAATGGCCAGGGTCAACGGCGGCGTGGTGTATTCCGCAAATATACCCGACTATGAGGGCGGGCACAATCCGGCGTGAGTAGGTTAAACGTTGAGTTTTATAAGGGCACCACGGGGTGACCAGCCCCTCCCCACCCAGCCCCACCCCTCCCCACCCAGCCCCACCCTCCCCACCCAGCCCCTCCCAACACTCCCCACCCAGCCCCTCCCCACCCACCCCCTCCCCACCCAGCCCCACCCTCCCCACCCAGCCCCACCCTCCCCTCCCCACCCAGCCCCTCCCTCCCCACCCAGCCCCTCCCCACCCTCCCCTCTCCATCCAGCCCCACCCCTCCCATTTATGGATGCACGACGGACGGACGGACACAATAATCCCCTGTGGGCTGGTGGAACCAGGAGGTTCCTACCAGTATAATTTTTTAATATTCCTGGTTCTGGAAGCTCAGTCACATTTTCCATCAGTGTCTGCTATAAGCTGGTATGGAATGATCGTTTTGGGACACTGGGCGGTGTGTGGGCGGTGGGGACTTGAGCCAGCTGTATTGACCGCGAAGATTTTTGCGCCGATTCTTTGGCAAGAGAGAGAAAAAAGAAAGAAATAAAAAGGAACAGCCAAATTAGCTTCAAACATCGGCAACTTTGCCGGAGCTCCCGTCCCAAACCAGCGCGTGAATTAGGCCATGGGAGCGCAACGGCAAGCGTGTGCGCGCGTGTGTGCGTGTGCGCGGCTAATAGCGTTCACGTTTGCCGGGGAATTATGAGCTTTAGGATAATCCCCTCCCTCTCGAGGCCTCCCCTCAAAAACGGGGCAGCTGGGCTCAGGACGCGGGCGCGAGGCTGGGGCTGCGTTGAGAGTGGAGCCACGTGCAGGCCAGGGATCCTGCCACCGGGCGGGGTTCATGGGTTTGAGTCCAGGTTTCAGTCGCCCGAGATTGAACCGGCGTGCGTCGAGTTGATGGTGCCAGCCCGGTCACCAATGACTGCACATAAACCACTCCCCCACCCCCTGCCCACGCCCCCATCCTATTGGATGAATATCTATGGAGAATTTTATATATACATACCCACACACACATAGAAATTACTTTGACCGCAACACGACCAAAATCTGTTGCAGGTTGCACATTGAGATATGTCCCCGAGTACAAATGGCTCGGCGTGAGCGAGGGTGGCTCCGACGCGGTGCGGTGACGCGTCTACGGCTCGTACCGGAGAACTCGACGGCGCAGACGCCCCGCCGGTGCTCCCCCTTGAGCACGGCGAGCGGCCGCAGCGTCTCCGTGTCCCACACGTGCACCGCGGCGTCGCGCCCCACCTGCGGCAAACCATACCGGGCGCACGGCGCCCCCACCGCCCCCCACGCGTCTCTCAGCCTCCGCTGTCGCTCGCACCGGGTCGAGCAAGCAAGGGTGGCGAAAACCGACTCGGGGCGCGTTGGGCAAATGGACGTGCGAATGGTGCGGGACGGGTGTGTGGACAGGCGGACAGATGGATGGATGGACAGATAGATGGATGAATGAAGAGGTGGATGGATTACTAGATGGGTGAATGGACAGATGGGCTGAAAAAAAAACACGTGGATGGACAAGATGGACAAACTGAAGGACAAACCAATGGATGGATGGACAGACGGATGGATGGACATACGGATGGATGGACAGATGGATGGATGGATGCACAAATTGATGTTACAAATGGACAAACAGACGGACGGACAAGATGTATAAGCTGATAGACAAACAGACATGAAGATGGGCAGAAAGATTGCCAAAGAGCAAAACGGACTGCGGGAAGGATGAACGATTAGACGTACAAATGAATAAACGGATGAACAAAACATAAGGACAGAAGAACAGTCAGACAGACAGAAGGACGGTCGGATGGACAAACAGGACAACAATCACGACATCAGCAGGTGCCCTCCAACCTGGCCCGTGGCGATGTTGTCACTGGCAGGGCGGATAGCGAGGCCATGGCTAGCAGATGATGGACGGACAAACGGACAGACGGGCGGACGGAGGGAGGGACAGACAGCTGAACAAACGAACAGACGAACAACCGGAAGGACCGCCAGTCGCATCATCACCTGGACAGACTGACGAATGGACAGATGGACGTTCATACACAAGGTGAGAGACGAACAGATGGACGGACGGAGGGACAGGCAGCTGGACAAATGAACGGATGGACGGACGCGCCCGCAGACCTGCCCGGTGGCGATGTAGTCCTTGGCGGGGTGGATGGCGAGGCAGAGGATGTCGTCGTCGTGGCCCAGGTAGAAGCGCTGCGTGTGCTGCTGCCGGTTGTACACGATGCCCACGGCCGCCACGTGGTGTACCACCTCGCCCGTCTGCGTGTAGTACAGGTTGTTGCGGCAGTCGTAACCGCGGTACCTGCTCGCACGCGCGCACACAAAGACAAAGATACCCCGTAGAGCCTGAACGGACTGTCGGGGGCAAGTGATGTGTGGGCGAGCACCTGGGAAGGCCGGCACGGCACACGAGAGGTCGGGTGGGTGACCAGCACCATGCCTGGCCGACTTTGTCTCCCGAGGCTGAGTCGACCTAGGGGAGGCCCAGGACCGTCACTGGTGTTGGCCGTGAGCGGGAATCAAACTCGGGTTGGTGGGTTCGTAGCGCAGCGCGCTAACCACTATGCTACCGTTCCCCACACACATATACGCATGCAAACAAAGATCCCCCCTCCGGTAAGCCTTAACAGACCGTTGGCGTGAGTGTATGTGTATTATGTTGAACTTCTTTCGCACCATACATAGCCAACCGTGATAATCGGGGCAAGTGCTGTTCGGGAACAACAATGAACGCCGGCACGGCACACGAGGGGGTGGTGTATCGAGAAAGCACCACCCAGCCGCCTTTATCTCCCCAGTGCTGATGTTTACACACCACACCAGGTATTCAGTTAAGGCCGTCAACCTAGGGAGAGCTCAGGACCGGTTCAGATATTCCTCACAACCAATTTGACCCACCGTCAAGAATCAACCTCAGGTTTTGCCGGAGTTCATAGCCCGGCGTCCCATCCACTTGCGCCACTGTCGTACCCCTCCCTCGCCAAACGTACGCCACGCGAAACGTCATTCATGCAGATATGAGTGTGTGTGTGTGTTTGTGTGTTTTGTTGTTTCATTTCAAAGTTAGTTTTTAATTCAGCGATGCGCAGATGTTTACATTTAATCTGCGCAATAATTTTTTCCCCACGAGCGAACTGCCCGACGGCCGGGAGCCCCGGCGGAGCGTGCGAGCTCGTAAATGTGGAGCCAAAGTGACAGCGCATCGCTAACCGCCACCATCATCATCGTCAACAGCAGCAGCGTCGTCGTCGTCGTCGTCATCGTCAGCTACGGTGTATCCACTGCTTGATGAAGGCACCAACCCCACCCCTCCCCCCCCACTAACTCACGTCGCAATCGCTCACGATGTCGTTGACGTAACGACCCATTCGAGCTCCGGCACTCGAGACGATTTCACTGCTCCGTCTCCGTCGATGAGACGTGTCCCCTAAGGGTGGGCGCTGCAACTGCGTCGCTAGTCTCCACCAAGGCCATCTGGCCGCCTAGCCACGACGCCGCCTGCCCCAAGCCCACCCTCACTGTTCCGCGGTGGCGAGATGTCATCCACCCTGTCTGGTATGCACGAGTTCGTGGGTTCGATCCCAACCCTGACGCCTGCCGTATATCTGGAGTTTGCGGTGTGGATTTTTGCTCCGGGGCCCCTCCGGCTTTTCCCTCCACATTCAGCGGCATTGTGGGAACGCGCACACGGAGCGGGAACGCGAGTGCGGCAGCGGGGAACGCACCCGTGCACAAAGTGCAGGCGCAGGCTGCTGCCGGGCGCCCGCTCGCGCCTCTGAGACGTCGCCGCTCGCTTCTTCTCGCGGTTCTGCTGACGGAGCTGCGGGAGGTCCTCCTTGTAGACCTGGGCCCGCACGCACAAGCGCACGCACGTACATACACGCAGCGCACACGCGCATACGCACAGGCACACACGCAGCACAATTCATGCGCACATATGCACGGGCGAGCACACACACGCACGCAGCACAATGCACGTACACGCGCGCACACACACACGCGCACACGCACGCAGCACAACGCACGCACGTTAAAAGTCTAAATGCTAATTTAACCAAAAATCGTGTGACTGCGTTGCTCAGAAGCATGGGCAAATATTGCAGTGCAAATATGTTTCACCAGTGAACCCCTTTGGGTGAAGGAGAGGGTTAGGGATAATGGGCACTACCTTGGTTAGGACAACAGATGATATGGAAGCACACTGAGCAGCTATTTTGCCAAAAATTTGCTTTTAATTGGTCTTGAAATTAAGCATTTAGTTGAAAACGCATTAATGTCGACTAACTCACAACGAACGATAACTCTTAACTACATCACAGATTTGTTTTCTGTTCGGTCACTTCGTGGCGTGCCCAAATTTGTGCCATTAATAGCCCTGCACAACCTGACACAGCCAAACAAATTAACTGTCAGAGGGACCGTCACTCTGAATTTCTGGATCTGACGATGATGGAGAGAGAGAAAGAGAGAATGTTATTCGGCGCGTTACAAGTTGATATTATCTTTAAAAATTTTTTTTTTACGAGCGCTGCCATATTGTACATTTCAGCACGGAACACAATTTGACTTTTTTTTGTACCATTCGTGCCGGCGGTATTAGTGCCGGCGTGAGTCATAGGTCAGTGGCTAACCCAGGTGCCATTGCCCGCAGTGCGGTGCGCTAACCACTCCGCCACCGCTCCCATTCCCGCCCCCCATCGGGACTACAGGGCGCAGAAGTGAAATTGCTCGTCGCGGGGAGCTCCACCCACATGCCGCTCGTAGTTGATCTGCATCTCCTGCTCGATGTCAGAGTCCAGTTCCGGAACGTCGGACAAATCCGAGTCGGAGCCCTCGCTGTTAGACTCCGTGTACGTCTCTGTGTGGGTCATCGGAACCAGAGGAGGCACGGGAAGGGAACAAGGTGCGCGTGTCAGCGACGCACATTCACCAACCAACCCCTGAGTTTACACACGCACACCGTTTTTTTTTTCTGATTAAAGCGAGGATACATTACGCCGATGGTCTCAGCCCAGTCGCCAGTGACTCTACCAAAATAAAATATATAGGCAGCATTTAGAATTTATATACAATGGCAAAGACCCCCCCCCCCCGCCCCGTATAGCCTTGAACAGGCTGTTAGGGCAAGTGCTGTTAGCGAGTGCCTCCAAAGGCCGGCACGGCACACGCCCGGCCGCCTTTGTCTCCCCAGTGCTGTTGTTTACACACCACACCAGGCACTCATTTGAGGCTGAGTTGACCTAGGGGATTCCCAGGAACAGTACAGATAAATCGTCGTTAGCGTTGGCCGTGAGCGGGAATAGAACTCGGGTAGCCGGAGATCATAGCGCAGCGCGCTGACTACTTCTCCCCGCATCTACACACACGCGCACCTTATCATGCACGCCGTCTTGCACGGCTCTATGAATGCAGATTCTGTGTAAAACTGAACAGTATTCCACTCGAATGTAGTTCTGGCATATCTTTTTCCGTGGGTCGCTCCCCACCACTGAATGCTGCGCTGCTCACTGCCAGAGATTTCACGCAAACGTGTTTCTTTCGACTCACGACACGGCGACAAGCAGCACACACAACCCGAGCACGATCGAGCAAGGGTGACAGTAAAAAAAAAGACAGGCACATTTTGCACATACTACACTGACCAGGTGCCGCGTGCATTCACCATGAATCGGCCCACCGTGGCCACTCGCCGAGCTGCACCGTAGCCCGATCCACGGCGCGGTCTCCCGTTCGGGCTAAATGGCGGCCAGACCACTTTGCGAAGCGACGGACAACGACGACAAAAAAAACCCTCTCCTCTCAGCCGCGGATTCCGTACCGGTGAGGGCGCAACCCTTTCCACTTCTGCCGGCCACTTTATTCAAATGTTCCGCACCGATCAAGTGCGCTCAAACAATCACCGCCCTGTTGGGAGGGAGGTATTTCATCTGGGAGTGGACTGACAAAGTGCTGTAATATTGCACACGAGCCAGACAACTGCAGAAGCACTCGGGCAATTTCATCGGTTGTCACGATCCTGGGTCGTGATTTGGTTCAAGAACTGATTAGACTCTCTGTGCCGTCTATACTGGACATGTTGTTCGCAGTGCCCTTCGAGTGCACATCGTCTATCTCGCTTGTTATGCCTGTGCCCTTTGTTCGGCATAGCATTGTTAATAATGATTTTACATGCCGATCCATAGTGCAAATCAACTGATGAATCAGGGCTTCCTCAATCATTGACATTGTGTGATTACACATCACCAGGCCTGTGAGTGGCGGTTGATGATGGGATGGGAGTTGGTGGAGGGAGGTGTCCAGGACTGATTCAGATTTCGCTTGCCGCTGATAATAGCCGTGGCTGTTAATTTAACTCGGACCGCCGGGTTCATAGCAGTGGTCCCTAACCAGTGCGCCAACCATTCCATGATAATACGGAATATACAGCGATATTAATGTCTAGACTCAAACACGTGGTGTTATAAAATATTATACATTGTCAATCCACTGCTGGATGAGCAGTGTGGGGGGGTGGTGGTCACGGGGTTCATTTGACCATACTTCACCATTTCAAAGCACGTGTCATCAGTTTAACCAACGAATAGCTGCAGCCCGGAGCCAACGGCAGTGCTGGCAACGGTGCCCGGCCGCACGCACGGTCAAACGGTGGAGCGCCAAAAAAATCGACGGGGGCATCGATTACAAAAAAATATAAAAAAACAAGACGGTGAGCTGCTAAATTAAGGGAGCCTCCATTCCGTTACGGGGGTCGCACCGCGCAATGGAAGGTGAAAAAAAAATTGCAAATTGCAGTAAGTGCTCGGAAAAAAACATCCGTGCAAAAGAGGTTCACAGCTCATCGGATTCCTCCAGTCTGAATAAATATTCTGATGATGATTCTGCAACGTGCACGCGAAACCCTCGCGCCCGTTGCCTTGCGACTCCCGAGTGTGCACTCTCTTTCACCCACGCGGCAACGCACGCACACACACACATACCAACGCACACGCACACACACATACCAACGCATGCGCACACACACATACCAACGCATGCGCACACACACATACCAATGCACGCGCACACACACATACCAACGCATGCGCACACACACATACCAACGCATGCGCACACACACATACCAACACATGCGCACACACACATACCAACGCATGCGCACACACACATACCAACGCATGTGCACACACACATACCAACACACGCGCACACACACATACCAACGCACGCGCACACACACACATCAACGCACGTATGCTCATCATGCTGCTGCTGCACGGCGCGACATTGAATCGAACCGTTTGCCGCGACAATAAGAAGAATGAGCGTAAGGTGAAAGGAAAAATATTTAACAAAACAGAGACACCATTGTGAGAGCGTTTTGCATCCAATCTTGCCCACAAACTATACATATTTGGACAATGGTGCTGGTCAGCCAAGGCTCTGAAACAATGCACGGATGATTCACCGCTACAATTTATTCTTAAGCGCAAGATGAAGCTTCCGTGGCGATCACGGCCCGGCTTCCGTGACAGCCCAGGCCAAATTAGTGATGAACGTCTCAAAACGAGCCGAGAGCACATGTCCCAACCAATACCACTGCTCAGCCGCCACCACCACCAAACAGACAAAGATCCCCCGTGTAGCCTTAACAGATGGTTGGGACCAAGCGCTGTTAGTGAGCAGCACCTATGAAGGCCGGCACAGCACACGAAGGGGTGAGTGGCCAGCGCCACACCCGGCCGCCTTTGTCTCCCCAGTGGCGATGTTTACACACCGCTACCAGGTACTCATTTGTGGCAGAGTCGACCTAGGGGAAGCCCAGGACCGGTTCAGCCAATCGTCGTCAGGGTGTTGGCCGCGAGAGGGAACCGAACTCGGGTCACCGGGTTCGTAGTGCAGCGTAGTGTAAACCGTTGCACCACCGCTCCCCACTTTGTCTTTGTTACCACCACCACCACCCTCATAAGCAGAGAAAAAACAATCACAACCAAAACTCCTTTTTGTGTCCACGGCGCATAAACAAACGCGCTAGAGTCTCCGTTGGCCCGTTGGCCTTCACGCTGCACTCACAAAATCGTGCGTCTGAATCCATTATTTATGAATTAGGTAAATTGCACGCAAATTATATTCCAATGCAAGCCGATCGCTCAACGAGGCGGATGGCACAAGGCAGCATAATATGGATGTTGGAAAAAGTGTAAGCGATTTCTTGAATACGATCGGGACGCTGATTTCGTGACATTTCCGTTGAGACGTTTATGGGACCTGAATTACTGCGTGCTCTAAGCAAGCGCCGCGGTACGGTACATGGTGACCGGTTTATGGGTTTAGCATTTTTCGTGAAAAATGTGAACTCGGTCGTTGCGCGGACAGAATATTTTTTCTTTCTTGGCGTAGGGATCCGCCAGTGAGTTATGATATCTCCCAAAAGGGACACCTTTAACAAGCCCCGAGTTTATGGAGAAAAGACTACCCGGCGGGTAAAACCCCGAGAGACGCGCCGGCCTTGCTCGTACGTTCACGTGCCCTCTGTCATGACTGCTGACTTGGGTTCAATCCAAGCGGGTATCTGAGACAGTCCCAAGCCTGGAGATAAAGCAGCAGGGTCGGGCGAAAGGGTGACGATACGTCGGCCGCGAAAAAAAGGACGGCAATCCAACGCACGTGACGACGACTACAGCGACGACGTCCGAATGACAAAATGCGCAGCGGACACCGACGACGGGCTATCTGCCCATGGACCGTGATGCTGCTGCTGCTGATGATGATGCGTGGGTACGGTGAAGGGCGTACCCTGCGGCGGGGCGTCGGACACGGGCACGCCCTCGGGGATGAAGCGCCACTGGAAGAGCGAGTGGTCCGTGCCGCCGATGCTCACGAGCCACGCGTTGTCCTGCGACCAGCGGGCGCACGTCACCGGCGCCGAGTGGCCCACGTACTTGCGGAACTTGGCTCCTGTCGTGAAGACGGACGGCGACAGCGTCAATGACATCATCGCCCACAGTGACATCGGCGTCGTCATCAGCGTCAACAACAGTGGCAACACGTGACAGCATCGTCGGCAGTGGCAATTAAAGTGACGTCGAAGACGTTATCATCATCATCGGCTGACGACGGGGAAATCAACAACAATACGACTACATCGACTACCAAATCACAACAAAAACAACAACAGTAGCAACAACATCAACAGTAAGGGCATTTGCATTCAATGTGTATTTAAGTCCTCTTCCCAATTCCCATCCCAATTGCGACGTTGGCATCATCGCGTCACGAGAACGGAGAGAATCCACATCACAGAAGCAGTGCGGCCCTGGACCAGTTCGGGACATCACTCGCCACCGACATCACAGGCGTTGGGTGCACTCCGGGTGGGTGATTAACCCTTACCCAGGGTCACCGTGGTGGCGAGATGTTAACTACCTCGCCTGGTACGTAGGACGTCGTGGGTTCGATCCTGACCCTGACACCTGCATATTTGGAGTTTGCATGTTCTCTCTCTCTCTCTTTTCCTGGTGGTCGCGTGGATTTTTCTCCAGGACCTCCAGTTAATCTCTCCGCATTTTTAAACATGCGTTGAGAGTATTTGGCTAATACATTCCCACGCGATAAGCCACTTCGTTGGGCTATCGTTTGTGGCCAGGTTGCTTCTGAAAAAGAGCTTTACAGCTCACTGACCCTTAGCGAGTAAAATAAAAAAATAATGTAAAAATTAGGACACGGGAAAATGTGAGTTACAATGATGCAATGCCACCAAGGGTACCTTTACAATTAAAGTAGAGAAAGTGAACCATTAACTTACTTAGCCGAAGTTTCTTAAGCACTCGAGGGAACCCCACGGAGATTATGAGAGGTGTGGGTCGTGGGCGGGCGTAGAAAGCTGCTCACAGTTATCCAAATTAAAATCTAGCACAGCGATTGTTTCCTTCCCAGACAATTAATGAAATCTCATCAGGGGAAGTTACCGGGCGAATCGATTGCCATTAATCCCACACTCGCGGCGGTCTGCGCCGTGTGAGAGCGGTGATAATCTACGGCGGGCGCATACTTTCTGTTCTTCTTTCTCGGGTTTAATTTGAGGCGTTCTTCTCCATGGCCGCCCCCACCTCATTTGATGGTAAATTATCGTTGCGGGGCTGAAACGGGGAGAACGGGCACGTGGTTGCCCGCGCGGTACAACGTGGCTCGCGGCGGCTCGCGACCGCGCGACGCGGGCCACCCCCTCTGCCGAGACGCGTGTGAGCTCTCACGCAAGCGAGGGGGTAATGAACGATCCGACATGACCGGGCGGGTCGGCTGCTGCCGCTAACGCCGCGGGGGGGGGGGGGGGTGCGTGCACCGGTACTATGTACCGACGTTTTGCACCACATCCTTAATCTCCCAGCACCGAAGAAGCTCCCGGCAAGAACAAGGCGAAACGCCCAGACATCACGCCAAACAGTGGGCAGTTCAAGCCGACAAACAACACCATCGGAGAGCCACACAGTATTGCAAGAGATGGCAGTGCGTTCGTGAATGTTTAATCCATCTGTGTGGCGCTCTGAGTATTCCTCTCCTCGTATCCATGGTGGGCTAGAACCCGGGCACTCCAGTTGCATCCCGCATGCCAAGGCTCATCAATATGGTTTTAGCCAAACATCCCATAGACATGACCCTCCTGAAAAGTAGTTGTGAAGCTCAATAAACCTTTCCTGCGTAAATCTTAAGATGCCCCCCTCCCCCCCGATAGTTTATATCTATCCAGTATGTACCGCCATCATCAGCCACGATGATTCCACTGCTGGATGACAGCCTCCCCAAGCCATCGTCGCTATCATCGGTCAAAGTCGTTGTTGTTTGACTTGCATCCCACTGGGATATTTGCACAGGGTTGGTGTACGGTGATTTTTCTGCAATATTTTGCTGACTTTTCTTGGATTTTCTGTTTGCACATAGTCACTTTAAGATGTTTTCTTGTTCATGTTTTTTTGTTTGTTGCGGTTGCACCCGATTCAAGAGCCGGATGGCTCACAGGGCTATACCTAATAAATGAACTTTGAACTTTGAAAGTCTTGCGGAGCGAACGAGGGGTGTCCCGCGGGGGCCGCCGTCGTTAGTTTGTTTGAAGCGGCCGAGTTGCCCGCGATGAATCGGTGGGACGGCGCTGAGCCTCCGGAGCCGTGCTTTGACTCGTGGTCGCGTCGTTCACAAAGCGCGTAGGAGGAGGAAGAAGAAGAAAAAGTAATAGCAATCGCGAATGAAGAGCAAATCATGGGTTCTGTTCATATAATTAAACCGTTTCAACGATGATTTAATTGGTGATGATGCTGCGTTGGCAGTGGTGCAAATGCACAATTAAGAATAAAACTTAACACGTTCGTCAGTAACAATGTGTGTGGCCTTCAAAAGCGAAAATATATAATAGGCAAAGCTTCGGGCAATGGCTCTCCCAATAAATGTTGATTATGTTCACCCTGGAAATCTAAGCTTTCTTGCACCTCCCCACCCCACCCCGACCACCTTTGATCAATTCTCACCATGGGAGTTGTCAATATCACGAAGCCCATGCACTCACGCAGGGCTTCAAGTGAAAGCGGGAGGTGGACTCGATGTGGTGCGGCTGGCAGGGACAAACCCCGGCTGATGGACTTCAATGTAGGCCTTGCTTCGAGTTTTTTTTCTGTCTTTCAATTTTATTCCAAAATTCTAAAATCTCGGAGAGCAGTGGCCCTAGTCAGAGAACGGGCCATGGTAATGGATGTCACAGAACCACTTCTTAAATATTTTCCAATTGACCGCTGAACCCCACTTGGCTTCCTGCCAAAGGGATGTTTACCACATGGCAGTCAAACCAACGTTATTCATTTTAAGAAGTGGAATTTTTGCTAAATTTAAGTAAAAAATCAAAAATGTACTTGACGGGTATTCGTTAAATGGCAAGCACACTACATTGGTGACCAAGCTGAGATCATCAACTCACTGCACCTGAGATTCTCATTTAGTTAAACGCCACCGAAAACAACCTGGCATCGAACCCGGGTTCTCGATCGTGCCGGCTGCTTATCACGATGATGACCATCAATGATTTATGTTGACGACTTGTGAACGTGGTGATAATAACGTATTTTGTGCAACAAACATTGTTTCACCAAAATTGTTTCTAACCGATAGCGCTACTTCTCAGCCTGGCCGGAACGCGGCTCGGCACACCGAGCACACGACGGTGATTTGTGCTCCGATTGTAAATCACAGCACGGGGTGTTCAAGGTGGAAAAGAGCCCCTGACGAATGAGCTTTCATCATGCGCACACAAAGCCCGTCCCTAGTAGGAATTGGATTCCAATAGAATCAGACGGCGAACATCCACGAGGTTTGCTAACGGCTCAACAGTCGAACGGACGAACATGGGAACGACGTCGTCCGTGAAGTGACCAGCCGCTCGCCGACGCAAGGGTGACACAGTCGGGTTGTTTTACAAATCGGGTTTAATTGTCTTTTTATATTAAACCCGATCATCTGAGATTGGGAGAAATACGGTTTAATTGGTTCTAATTAGCAGAACCGCACTTCTCAACGATAGGCTTCATCCATTCCAAGCTAAGGAACTCACTGGCGCCCACGATTGTGGAGGAGAAGCTCGTGTTCATCAAGACCAACCTGCCCGCCGCATTCTACGACTACCCCGTGCCCGACGGCCCCGAGTACGATAGCAGCACCGACGAGGAAGCAGCCTAAGCCTTGGATCAGAGTTTCGTATTCATTAAACCGGGTTTTAATTCCCCGAAATCGGGTTTAATTATATTAAAGAAAAAACCCGATGCCTGCCGCTGGAAAAATCGGGGTTTTTCCACCCATGCGCCGACGCCTGTGACTGCTGCGCGAAAGCAAAAAAAGACCCGAATGTGATTGCGCGACGTTGCGGCTCTCGAGCGAAGAACTTTGACAGTGCAAGGGGGGGGGGGGTGGCGATGAAAAAACTGCGATTGAATCGGAACGAACCCAATAAAGCCGAGCTCAGGCCAGAGCCGCCAACCGCCAACCGTTGCCGTAACCTGGCGGGCGCGGCGATCGGATCCGAACAGGCCTCGGGGTATATATTTTATAACATGCAATTTGTGTAAAAAAAAGAAACGTGTTAGGAAAGTGCACGGCGGGCGTCGTGAGAACACGCGGAGAGCGAGCAACACGTACAGCCCGGTTGTGCGAGTGTCACCAGGCGGAAACACAAACGATGGCGCGGCCCATCAGCCGATCGGCTTTCCAGACCAGATATGATCCGGGAGCATTTGTTTGAGGCTAACTCTGGACCGATTATGACCTTCTGGGTCTCAGTAGCAGAATCGCGCTTGTGAAGCAAATGCTGCTGGGTTAACCGGGTGTTATTGGTAAGAGCACTCCATCTGAACTCCGTGAGGGCGCGACGGTGGTGAAATGTTAATTGTCTCGCCCGGTATGCAGGCGGCGGGTTCGATCTCGACCCTGACGCCGGCTGTATATTTGGAGTTTGCATGTTGTCTCTCTCCCCGTGGTCGCGTGCGTTTTTCTCCAGGTCCTCCGGGTTTTCCCTCTACGTTCAGAATCAACGTGCGTTTAGACTGTTTGGCTGCTATACATGTCCACGTGATAAGCCACGTTTGTAGCCAGGTCGCTTCTGAAAAAAAGAGGCATTAAGATCAGTGGGCCTTACCTGGTAATAGGGAAGGACAACAAAACTAAACACAAACAGCAGTTCGAAAGAAATTCGTTTTCAAACTAGATGAAATAAAAGTGCATTGCTCCAAGTGTCTTCCTAATATCGGAAGGAAGAGCGTTCCAGACGGCCGCAGAAGCGCGTCTGAAAGCGCCGTGCGACGCAGTGAGCGGTCATCGAGTGACGCGTCCTGCCCAGGGCCCAACTTTGATTATTTTTTCACCCCCAACAGTCAAAACAATGTCCCTCCGCCGATCCACGCGATCTTCCGTTTCATTCCGCTCTCTCTCTCACCGTAGTTAAAAAATCAAATGTCATCTTGAGTCCTGGATGTAACACGAGGGTTTAAACGCGAGTAAAGTAGCTTACCCGGCGAGCCAATCATTTGATTCATTTGCACGTCGTCGTGCACAACACCTGAAGTTATTGCCATCGCGAGAGACGCGCGCACTGGCGGAATGACGGGAGCTCGAGGCGCATCAGGCGACGCGTCCGTTTAATGAAACCGATGTCGCCTCTGCAAGGCGCTTCTGAGACGAGCGACCGAATGAATGTAATTACGAAGATCACCGGCGGGAGAACGAGCCCCGACAACCCGAAACCCAACGCCCAACCCAAGGAGGTTTCATGAATCGCCGTGATTGAGAGCCGCGGTTCAATCCAACGATGTATTTTATTTGTCTTGTTTTTACTGCCTCGTTTGTATCATTAGTAGGGTTTCCCCCCCTTGTCACGTTCGAATAGTTGTGTTCATTCTATCAGCTTAAATGTAACATTGGCATATAAATACATGACAGTATTATTAATAGAAACAAAACATCACTCACTGCCACTTGTCGGTACAATACACCACGACGGCCTAAGGTGACGGGACAGGGAATTGAGCTGAAACCAACAAAGGCACAGCACGGCACGGCTAGGGGAACAGCTCCTAACGGAACCGTGCAGACGAAGCACGGGTAGCTGCTTCCTAATCCCCCCCTCTCTCTATCTCCCCGTGTCTCCTCCTCCCCTTCCCCCTCGCCTCTCCAACTACCTCTCTGCCCCCCATCTCCCTTCCGCTTTCCTCAATCCCCGCCTCCGTTTCTCGTCTCACCCTGAGCGTCTTGCCCCCCGCCCCTCCCTCCTCCACAACCCTCATCCCCCCCACTCTCTCACACCTCTTCGCTCGCTCAGCCACTCTCCCATCGATTCTGCTCCCTGTGCTGGATGCCCGTCACCGTCAGCTCGTGCAATCTCTCAAGAGCGCGGAGCGGCGAGCCCCCCCCCGCCGTAATTTATTATCGCGGGGCGAAATTACGAGCGAGGGCCCTTGAGAGAGTCTGAACTGCCCCCCACCCTACCACCTCCTGCCCCCCCCCACTCCAGTGGGATAACGCAGCTCCAATGCGGCCACCTCTTTTAGTGTCGCACCAACCTGACCGTCTGGCTGCCTAACGCCGCGATGAGGAGTCCTGCATCAGCGCTGGTACCAGCGGGTTACCCACGGACCACCTGTTGGTATCAGCGGGTTACCCACAGATCGCCCGCGGGTACCCGCAGAGATTGCCATTCGGGTGCAGGTCCAGCCAAGTTCATCGCAGTCACCTTGACCCCATCGGCAAATCCGTCGAAACGACTTAGTCCCGACCTGCTTAGCGGGTCACCAGCAGGGTCACCCGCTGCAGATGTCGATTGCAACGTGTCGACAACTGCATTGTATTGCAATGGGCCCAGCTATTGATGACGTCATGGCACCCTGCGATGTCACGTGCTCACGATTCGACGTCGAGCTCTGCACGTCAGCAACGCAGCACGTGCCACGTGCCACGCCCGCGTCGTCGTCGTCATTATCGACCGCCCGCCATCATCCTTCCTAACGACTCAAGCCCCACTTACGTTTATTAACGGTCAATACGACGTCGCTGATTTGTGGTGGCTCCCTTTGCTGATCCACGTGTTCGTCCGCTCCCACCCCCACCTCTCTCTGTCTCTCTCTGTCTCGATGCGATTCCAGGCAACGAGCCTCTATCTCTCGCTGTCCTCTGCTGCTTTGCGAATGTCGCAAGCTCTTCACTGTCGCTCCCCTGTTTTTTGTTTGACGGCGGATTTCGTTTTTTAAATCCTTTATATTAAGTTCACTTGCTTGCTTGCTTGCGCGCTTACGACCGTGCAAATCTTTCGGTCGTTTTTTAACCCACTTCCCGTGATCCAATCGAGCTGACATTTTGCACACAGACTCGTTGTGCGTGACAATTTATTTTCGTGAAACATTTTTTCCAAAATTTTCCACTTTTTAGGAAAAAAACATTTTCATATTATATTTAAAATACCAATGTGATACTCAAGAAAAACAGAAATGAATAATAAAATAAAACCGATGCCACGCATATAAAGGATTTATAGTGAAAAACTTTGTTTTTACGGGTTAATTTTCTTTTCATATCGAAGCGTCGCGGCAGGTGATGACGCAAGGTGATGATCATTGCCTCCTTTGGGGCGCAGCGGAATGTGGATTTCCGTGATTCGATTCAAGTTTTCCCACCGACGATGCTAAAGCTCGACGCGATGTTTCATTTCTCGCTCCGGAAACGCCGATGTCACGCGTGCGGTCACGTGATTTGTCGTCGCAGGCGTCTGTGCGTCCCTTGTGATCACAGACGGCGTTCATCTTCAGTACAAGGAAGTTTTCAATTCGAGTGCAGTGCTGTCATTCAAGGAGGACGGGAAACGCGAACAAATATTCAGCACGCTGCCGCACGCCACCACCGCACCACAGAGCACAGCGCCAAGCAGAACCACTGCACCACACACAGAGCATAACATGCACCACCACATCACACAGCACCACACATACCAGCGCACCGCACACTGCACCACACCACGCAGCACCGCACACAGCATCACACACACGCCACGCACACACAAGTCACACCACGGCACTCGCTCAGCACCGCAGCACCGCGACGCCGCCGATACAGTCAGGGCGTGTGGGAGAGTGGGGAGGGGGGTTTGCGATGTGCCTTGGCTCCCAAAAATATTGCGGAATCGACGTTTCGGGACGGTTGCCGGCCGAGACCGAACGCCCGGCTGAGGCGCCCCGGGGTTCCACCCTCGCCCGATGAACCCCTCCTCAACGAAGCTCGCTCGCAAACCCCCCAACGTGACAAATAATGTCCGTTCAGCAGCCTCGACCGCGTAATGACACAAGCGTAACGACGACGCTGACGACGACGATGATGACGACGATGCTAATGATGACGATGATGATGACGACGATGACGGTGATGATGATGATGATGACGACGATGATGATGACGACGATGATGATGATGACGATGATGATGATGACGACGATGATGATGATGCCGATGACGACGACGACGATGACGACGATGATGATGATAACGACGATGATGACGATGATGATGATGACGCCGACGACTCACAGCCCCCGTGTCGCGACGACGTGAGGCACCTCTTCCTCAACCCGTGTCCTTGGCGGAATGCGGCACTGCCGGCTTTTATTCCCCCCCCCGTCACGTCATCTCTTCATCGGAGTCGCCGCTTGACGCCGCGGGTGGAAGCGCTACGCACGACAGGTCATTTGCTCCCATTGCGAGGATATTATAATTAGCAACGCGGAGCAATTCTAAAACGACGTTAATGTCTTCTTGGTTCTTTCGGTAAAGTCACGTATAAAGAAATTAATAAAAGAATAAAAATAAAACATAATAAACATTTTTCATTATTATTTTTATTTTATTAATTTCTTTATACGTGACTTAATAAAAATAAAACATAATAAAATAATTATTTTATTATGTTTTATTTTCTCAAACGACATTAACGTAAATTTCGATTTAAAGCTTTCGTGACTGCAGGGATTCATCTTCTTGGTTCTTTCGGTAAAGTCACGTAGAAAGAAATTAATAAAATAATAAAAATAAAACATAATAAAATAATTATTTTATTATGACTTTACCGAAAGAACCAAGAAGATGAATCCCTGCAGTCACGAAAGCTTTAAATCGAAATTTACGTTAATGTCGTTTGAGATTTTTTATTTTAATTACACGCGTAAATGTGTGAAATATTGTCTGTCTCTGAGAAGCGTTTGGAGCATTTGGCCTACGCTCTCATTTGATGAATTATCCCCATTCAGGGTCGCGGTTGCCTCAACAATCGATTCTCTTTTGTTGTTGCTTACGTTGTGGCGACGTTGCGGTGAATGCAGCAGCCACTAGTGGCTGCGAGAGGTCACGTGAACCCATGACGTACAACACATATACGAATAGGATAAACACAACACAACTAGGATGTTTTTGCTTCAAAACATGTAAACCGCAATGTTTACACCTACAAACATGGCCGTATTCTGAGATGCCGTACACGGAGGCAGTCGGTCACATGTAGAGTGAAAGAGCAATGTCAAACATGCGTGTCGTACATGTGCCACGTGCGTACGTGACGTGTATATCACGTGTTGCACGCGTGTACAATGTCACACGCAGTGTCACGTGTGTGTCACGTGCGCGCTACACGCGTGTTGCAGGCGTGTGACTCGAGTGTGACGTATGCTATGGGCATCGGCGGGCGCCTTGTAATATATTCCACGGACGGCATGCTTGTATCATGCGTGCAAAATGTGTGTATGCACGTATCGTGCCCGTGTCGCTCGCGTGCCGCACGCGCGCGACACGCGTGTGACATGCGTGTGACATGCGTGACCGCCGCACCGCGTTTGAAGCTGGGGAAGCGGTAGAGCCGCACGAGGCCCTGCTCGTCGCCCGCCCCGAGGACCCCTCCGGCGATGTTGGCGTCCAGCGTGCTCACGTTGGTGCCCGCACCGCCACCGCCAACGAAGCCGCCACCGCCGCCGTACTTGGGGTGGACCCCGGCCACCTCGATGCCATACGGGCACGTCCAGGACACCCACGGGCTCACCTCCAGCTCCTCCTTCTCCGTCAGCACCTTGCCGACTTGCGGACGCGGGACACGGGCGAACGTCACCGAAACGCCAACGCAGCGTGCATGCGTACGGCGGTAACGCGGGGAGTGGGGGTGCGGGTGGTATTGATTTGACGTTGAAAAGTGGTCAGCCGTGGGTAGAAGGCAAAGGACGTTGTTGAGTTTGGGACCTGGGCAGGGAGTGGACAGCAGGGACGATTGGGGGGGATGGAGTTCCAGACCTTGGGGGTAGTGGAGGATAATTAGCGAAATTCTACTGAGCAATGGTTGAATGAATAGGACCTTCGATTCAAAGTCTTAGTTCCTGGAGTGGAATGTGTGTGGAGAGGAGTGGAGGGAGATGAGAGGGGAGAGGTCGTAGAGTATGTGGAGAGGAGTGGAGTGAGATGAGAGGTAGGAGAGTGCGTGGAGAGGAGTGGTGGGAGATGAGAGGTAGGAGAGTGCGTGGAGAGGAGTAGAGTGAGATGGGAGGGGAGAGGTAGGAGAGTGTGTGGAGGAGAGTAGAGTGAGATGAGAGGGGAGAGGCAGGAGAGTGCGTGGAGGGGAGTAGAGTGAGATGAGAGGGGACAGGTAGGAGAGTGCGTAGAGCGGAGTAGAGTGAGATGAGGGAGATGAGAGGGGAGAGGTAGTCAGGGATGAGTCGATGCGAACCTTGACGATGGTGAGCATTAAACATTGCCATTGTCAGTCGTTATTGTATCATCGTCACCATCATCATCGTTATTTACCCACAGCTATTTACTTATTTTTTCATTCCCACGAAACAGCCAAAAACCAAAAGTAATACACAAACAATATAAAAGCACCCACAACCACAAAACAACTCCACGCGCATGTCCCACTTAAGGATGAACTGTCAATCGATTGTTGATGCCCGGCGGTGCATGGCCCACTCACAGGGCATCCTGAAGACGGCGCGGTGCCCGCTGGTGTCGTTCGTGTGCAGGAACCGGCCGTCCAACGTCCAGTCCATGTGCACCACCACAGCCGGGCCGCCCGGCACAGCCAAACCACCGCCACCGCTGCCAACGCCACCACCGCCCCCACCACCACCAACAGCCGGCCCGCCGGAACCTATCGCCACCACGGCGCCCGGCGTCACGGCCGCTGGCACCAGGGCCATCCCGCCGTCCAGCGGAACTCCGGACGCCCCCACGGCCCCCTGCAGCGAGCAGGCGCCTGCGGCGAGAACAAGAACGCAGTTAAATTTCGATTTAAAGCTTTCGTGACTGCAGGGATTCATCTCCTTGGTTCTTTCGGTAAAGTCACGTAGAAGGGAAATAATAAAATAAAATAAAAATTGTATTATTTTATTATTTCCCTTCTACGTGACTTTACCGACAGAACCAAGAACAAGAATGCAGTTGTTGCCATGGAGCCGTTGGTCCGCCTCGTGGAGCTGAAGGGAAAATCGAAGGGAGGCTTTTGTGTCGCCCGTATTCCAAGCGTTCCGTTATTCGAACGGACAGAAAAGGGCACATTTGCACAACGAGGGCGCTGTGAGTGACAACCGTTCTCGTCGTCAGCCGCGGTCTATCCACTGCTGGATGAAGGCCTTCCCAAGCCGTCGTCGTCTCTCGCGCGTCTCGCGACGCAATAATCCGTCTCGCTCCCGCGCGCGCGATCCGCATCCGTTGGCAGTCTCCGATGCCTTTCTCACGACGCGTCCTGTCCACGCCCGCCGCCAAACACGATGCCTTTCACTCGCCCGCCGTTCTCCCGCGCACGTGTTCGTCCGCTCTGCCCGCTCCTTCCCCGTGTGCCGAGCCACGGCCTCCTCACCCGCGGGTGCCGGCGAGCACTCGCCGACCTTCTTGTAGCGCTGCGACGTCGAGTAGACGTCCACGCCGCCCTCCGCCGACGCCGCCGCTAAGTACGCGCCGTCGGGTGAGAAGCGCAGCACGTGGACCGGGTCCTTGCGCTCGCGAACGTGCACCACCTCCGACATGTCCCTGGTAGGGCGGGCGGGGGGGGGGGGGGAGAAGAATCCGATGAGCTATGAAGCTCTTTTTATTTCCAGCAGACGTCCAGCAGGGAGCCGGGTAGTGATCATGTCCCGACGATGTCGGTATGCTGAACTTGTTTCGCACCGTACGTAGCCGAGCGTGCTATTCGGGACAACAAACTACACGCAAAAAAGCAGTTCTGAAGAGAAGAGTTTTCAATCGAGATGATTTAAACGTGCATAGCTCCAGTCGCTTCCTAATATCGGGAGGAAGAGCGTTCCAGACGGCCGCAGAAGCGCATCTTGAAAGCCCGCGATGGTGCGGTGACCGTCTTTGTTCGATGGTCAGCCAAAAGTAGCTGCTGCGAGGATGACCGGAATGCGCGTGACGGTGGTTTGTGCTCCTTGACGAGATGAGCAAGGCACTGTGGTTCGTTCGTGGAGAGCACTTTGTGTGTAGTGAGTGCGAACTCATCACTTATTCGGGCAGCAACCGGAAGCCAATGCAAGCTCGGCGAGCACTGGACGGGCACGGCCGATGGCATAACACGAGGCCTCCGCCAAGGTCCCATGTAATTCACGGCGCATGCAGAGATCCCCCTACAGGGTTACGGATTAGCCGGAGCAAGTGCTGCTTTCGTCGAACAGCCTTTGAAGGCCCTTAACGGTGCACCAGCGCTCATCTTGACAAACCACACCAAGTAGTCACTTCAGGTCGAGCCGACATAGGGGAGGCCCCAGGAGCGATTTTGATATGCGCCTCTGATGTTGCCCTTGGCAGAGGGGAATGAAACCCAGGTCACCGGGCTCATAGCGCGGCGGCGCTGACCGATACGTCAGCACTCCCCACGCTTTTTCCATACCAACGACAGACAGGTCGCCCCCTATAGCCCTCACAGGCCATGAAGGCCGCCAAGGAGCACGAGGGGGCGGGTGGCCAGCACCACGCCGGGGACCCCTTTGTGTCCCGAGCGGCGATGTTTACACACAGCTCGAGGCCGAGTCGACCTAGGGGAGGCCCAGGACCGGTTTAGATCAACGTCACCGGCGTTGGCCGTGAGCGAGCAATCGAACTCGGGTCCCCGGGTTCGTAGCGCAGCGCTAACCGACTGCGCTACCGCTCCCCGCATCTCGCGCGCGCGTGAAGCTGAGGGGCAACGGCCAAGCCGAGCAGAGCGGAGCGGCCGCTGAAGGCGCGCAGTGGAAATCAATCGGCGGCGAGAGAGCGCACGCGTGTCGGTGGGCGGGGTGGTGGAAGAGGTGCAGCGCCCTGGGGTCGAGCACTCCGAAGGTTCCACCCCCCCACCTCCACCCCCAACACCTCCCCCACCTCTCCCGAACCCCCTCACCTCCTCCACACCCCCACCTCCCCCCACTTTCCGCACCGCCCCACCTTCCCCCCCAACACCTCCCTCGCCTCCCCCACCTCGCCCACCTCCCCCACCCCACCCCCCCCACCTCGCCTACCCCCCCCACCTCGCCCACCCCCCCCCCAACTCCCCCACCTCCCGCACCCCCCCACCTCCTCCACCCCCCCACCTCCCCCACTCCCCCCACCTCCCGCACCGCCCCACCCCCCCCACCTCCCCCACTCCCCCCACCTCCCGCACCGCCACACCCCCCCCCACCTCCCCCACTCCCCCCACCTCCCCCACCCCCCCACCTCTGCCCCACCCACCCCCCCACCTCCCCCACTCCCCCCACCTCCCGCCCCACCCACCCCCCACCTCCCCCACCTCCCGCACCTCCCCAACTCCCCCCACCTCCCGCACCCCCCCCACCTCCCCCACTCCCCCCACCTCCCGCACCGCCCCACCCCCCCACCTCCCCCACCCCGCGCCAACTCCACCCGCCGGGTTTTTGTTTTTCCCAACAGCGACGGCCGCTCGCGGCGGACGGAACTCGGGGGTGGAAAATTGCCGGGCGGGTGTGGTGAGGGTGGGTGTGGTGAGGGTGGTTGTGGTGAGGGCGGGTGTGGTGAGTGTGGTTGTGGTGAGGGAGGGTGTGGTGAGTGTGGTTGTGGTGAGGGGGGGTGTGGTGAGTGTGGTTGTGGTGAGGGAGGGTGTGGTGAGTGTGGTTGTGGTGAGGGCAGGTGTGGTGAGGGCGGGTGTGGTGAGGGTGGTGAGGGTGAATGTGGTGAGGGTGGTTGTGGTGAGCGAGGGTGTGGTGAGGGTGGTTGTGGTGAGGGCGGGTGTGGTGAGGGTGTTCAGGATGGATGTGGTGAGAGTGGTGAGGATGGATGTGGTGAGGGTGGTAGTGGTGAGGGTGGTGAGGGTGGGTGTGGTGAGGGTGGGTCTGGTGAGGGTGGTGAGGGTGTGGTGAGGGTGTTGTGAGGGTGGGTGTGGTGTGGTGAGGGCGTATGTGGTGAGGGCGGGTTTTGTGAGGGTGGTGAGGTTGGGTGTGGTGAGGGCGGGTTTGGTGAGGGAGGGTGTGGTGAGGGTGGGTGTGGTGAGGGAGGGTGGGTGTTGTGAGGGTGTGGTGAAGGTGGTGAGGGAGGGTGTGGTGAGGGTGGGTGTGGTGAGGGAGGGTGGGTGTGGTGAGGGTGTGGTGAAGGTGGTGAGGGTGGGTGTGGTGAGGGCGGGTTTGGTGAGGGAGGGTGTGGTGAGTGTGGTTGTGGTGAGGGAGGGTGGGTTAGGGTGGGTGGGTATGGTGAGGGCGGGTGTGGTGAGGGTGGGTGGTTGTGGTGAGGGTGGTGAGGGTGTGGTGAGGGTGGCGAGGGTGGGTGTGGTGAGGGTGGTGAGGGTGGGTATGGTGAGGGCGGGCGGGTGGGTGGTGAGGTTGTCGGTCATGAGGACACTTCGCGGACGCTTCGCTGGAGCCGCCCCGGGAGCCCTTTCGTTCTGAAGGAAGCGGCGTCGGCGTCGTCGTCGATACGAGGAGAGTCAACAACAACCACTCAGGGGCGACCAGCGCCCCCCCTCCCCCCGTCGGCAATTACAGACCAGTCGCCGCGTGCCGTGGAGTGGCTTTTAGGCTTTTGATGGCCTTCATGCCGCATCAGCGGTTTATAAAAAAAAACACGGACGGATGGATGGATGGGGGAATGGGGTGGGCGGGAGGGGGGAACGGTGGGGGCGGAGGGGTAAATAGCGTCGATAAAAAACAAAGGGAATATAAATGAATAACTGCACACGGACAAAATGCGCGTGCATAACGTGCCGTCCAAAACGGCATTGCCGCAGGAGCGTCGATGCGATCGTAAGCCGGGTTTATTTGTCTCGCGCAAAGACTAAAAAAATGAGAAAATAAGCAAGCAAGCAAGCAGGGCCCAATGTCCAACCGTTGCCGCCCGCCCAGATGAACGCACGCACGTAAACCACGACGCGTCGCTTCGTACACATTGACGTTTCGTTGTTTTTTATTGTTCCGTGGCCACCCCTGCCCACACCAACACACGGGGCGAGATTTAGAATTCGCCACTGCGCAGGGGACAAGCCGAGCAGGCCGAGGCTGCAACTGGTGGCACTGGTATCTCGGAAAGGAATTGAGTCTCGGTGCAGGGCATCCCCGTGGATAAAACAGAAATGGGACGACTAATCGCCGCGTCTCAATACATTTACCTTGATTCGTATTCATACGGAGCAGCGCCTTATCTCAATGCGCTCTGTAACATAGTTTAAGATTGATGACGAAAAAAATTGAATGAATTAGATGGCAGGGGCAGTGCAAGGGCCGAGGAAGGAGTGACCGTAACAGAGGCCACGTGGGGGGGGGGGGGTCACAACAGGGCAGGGAAGAGAATGGACAATGGAGAAGAGGCGAGGCTTTAAAACGGAGCGAAAGGAGGTTGAGGGGGACTGCTTAATGTATATGGGCAGTGTTGAGCCTACGGGCAGTGTTGAGTATATGGGGCAGTGTTGAGTCTATGGGCAGTGTTGAGTCTATGGGGCAGTGTTGAGTCTATGGGCAGTGTTGAGTATATGGGGCAGTGTTGAGTCTATGGGCAGTGTTGAGTCTATGGGCAGTGTTGAGTCTACCGGGCAGTGTTGAGTATATGGGGCAGTGTTGAGTCTATGGGCAGTGTTGAGTCTATGGGAAGTGTTGAGTCTATGGGGCAGTGTTTAGTCTATGGGGAAGTGTTGAGTATATGGGGAAGTGTTGAGTCTATGGGGCAGTGTTGAGTCTATGGGCAGTGTTGAGTCTACCGGGCAGTGTTGAGTATATGGGGCAGTGTTGAGTCTATGGGCAGTGTTGAGTCTATGGGCAGAGTTGAGTCTTTGTGCAGTGTTGAGTCTCTGAGCAGTCTGCTGGATGAAGGCCTCCCGATGCCATGTCAGTTAGTTTAGCTATACTTCACCACGCTGGTTAAGTTCAGGTTGATAAAATAGGGAAGCCAAGGACCGGTTCAGATACCACTTGCCACCTGACGTTAGCTATGGCCAGGAACCAAACTCAGGTGCCTATATTTGTTGCGCGTTGCGATAACCACTGCACCACCGCTCCAATCATCCAGAGGCGGATTGATCGTGGCTGATCATGGTACGGATAATGAAATTTGCTCAAGGACATGACTGAAATTGGCAACAAGAGAAAAACTGTCGGTTAATTCAACTCCACATAACCCCGCACAAATATAATTACCACACCTGTTCCACAATCACTTTCTCGGGCTTCGCATTATCTCCGAGACGATTTCTTGGAATTTGGCTCGAAGCTGGATGTGCGTGCTTTGATTGCGTGTGTGAGTCCATATGTTCACGTCAGGGACCCGTGCCCCACCCACAGCATAAGCATTACGTCCCATCCCAATTGGCTATTTTTTATTGGAAAAGTAAAGACACGACACGGTTGTGCAACTGTGGACATGCATCCCCCAGAGTACACCGCTGTAGTCTGCGCTACTTCAATGGGGGCGAAATGTTAACTACCTCGCCTCCTATACAGGAGGTCATGGGCTCGATACCGACTCTGACGGCTGTATATTTGGAGTTTGCGGTGTCTCTCTCCCCGTGGCAGTGCCTCCGTTTTATACCTCCACGTTTAGAAACATGCGTTTCGAGTATTTGG